TTTTTGAGTGCTCAGAACATACAAAGGTATCCTTAACAAGGTTTATAGCCTCTGTAACATGCATAGCAGCTATTTATATGTTCGTGTCGTAGCAGATCATTATGAAATTGTGTTTAGTTTGATCACTATTAAAGTGATCTCTTGTTCAACCTTTAGAAATGCTTTTCCACCTGATAGGTTTTTAGACACGTTAAACATTAAAATAAGCATGGAATTTTGTGCCCGCTTATTAATATTGCTGTTGTAGCGTTGTCAACAAATTTTTGCAACAAGAATTTAAATCATTTTTGGAAATTAGTCCCTATCTGTTCAACCATCAAACCATTTGAGTTCAGATAAAAAGAAACAGCAAAGAGCAACGTAAAAAGTGTATCGCGTAGCATAAGAGCCGTAAAAGAGAGTATATCAAGAAGTTTATGGCTGTCCACAAACTTTTGCAACAGAGTGTACAAACAAATTACGTAATTTGTTTGTTTTTCAATTCTTATTTTTGTAACACGGTATTAGCATTCTCTGGCTTCTTATGAGTTATTATGAAGTCTTCATGCTACATAATGTGATGCTAGTTGATGTGCCCCTTATGCTGCGGAGAATATACAAAAAGCTGCCACTAATTTTCTTTTTCATCTGGGCGCATTCACTGGCCGTTATAACGATGTTTGGTGTGAAATATCAGTTGGAATGCAACATACTTGCAGCGCTTATCGGGGCTGCGAACATCTTTATGCTACGCAGAACATTTGATTACGACAAACTCAAAAAATATGCTGTCATTCTGAAACTAGACAAAATCCTATACTGCTGGGAGATGTATACGTGCTCTGCAACTACATTCAAGTACAAAATACGGAATTTGGTCGGCACTGGGCTGATCATCTGTGGATTTGTGGACTTTTTCAGAAATCTGGCTGTATACTCGCTCAAGCGGATATTCTTCACTGATGACGAGCTAAAGAACTTCAAGAACACCATTGAATTCGAGAGATTCGTTCTCAAAAGCAAATTCGGGTACAAGGATTACACTGATGAATTTGTGATGAACTATATTCTGGTGAATAAGGGTCGATACGATCCAAGAGTGCTGTTTTGCATGTGGACTGATGATGATAAGACGAAGAAGATGTATTTTAGGGAAGAAGCAATGGCATTGATCAGACAGAAAATAGCAGAACAACACGATGATCTGATGATTGATCTGAATGCTGTTAATGAAATGAGAAGTGCAGTTGGAGACGTAACTAAAGTTCTAGAACAAGAGCAAGAAGATGAATTTAGCGAAGAAGAACAGGATGAGATCTCTAACGAAGACACCACCGAAACAGCTGTACAGGATTCGACATTCAAGGAGTGCGATTTGATTATAAAGACGGTAGAAACCAACGAATCAGGATCAAACAAGAAGAGCTTGGACACAAAACTAGATGAACAAATACAAGAGAAGGTGGAAACTGATCAGAATACGCTATATGATTATTTTATGATACCTGAAAACAACTATGAAATGGATAAGGTGAGTGCAGAAGAGTCGTATGGAATAATAAGAGAGCAACTTGATGATGACGATGCACTGATATTGGACTGTGAGAACGAGGCAGAAGTAACGAAACTGAAACTGATTTATAGCAATTTGAAGCATAATAAAATTGGTAGAACGCATACAGTCAAAATAGCACAGGAGAAGCACAATGAGGTGATGAAGGAGGCTGAAGCACAGCTGGTAGGAACCATCAACGAGGAGAGCCTGAAACGAGTCCTTACGGATGGAGATGCAAAACAGTGCATAAAGATGCTTGCTAACAATTTCAGCAGGTTTCTACCGTACGAGGAGTTCTTTGATAACATGAGACAGTTCAACAACGATAGAGGCGCATTCATTGGCATGTGTAAAGCACACAAATCGATCTCAATCAACTTGAACACGGTATTCGTGTCGATGGAACTATTTGTGTTCCTATTCGTGTTCATGGCGCTATTTACGAGCACAATTGGCGCCAAGACCACGGTGCTTCCTGCTGTACTCTTCATTATGCCAGGATTATGGTACTTCTACATGCCATTCCTCTATTTGCTCTATCATAAACCGTACGATATTGGAGATAGAATCGTTATTAGGGGTGAAATTATGATTGTTAAGGAAATACAGCTCTGTTACTCAACATTTGCCAAATGGAACAATGATTGCGTCATAATACCAAATGCATACATCATCAAGAACGTGATATGCAACATCAAGAGATCCAATTACCAGATGATAAACCTGAAGTTCTACATCTCAAATAGAATCAGAGACAGTTCGTTACATGAACTCAAAATCACGTTACAGAAGTTCGTGAAGAGGACTCCCTGTCTCAAATCGATTCAAATCACCTGCGAAGACGTCATGAACTCGAATCAGCTGCTGCTCTCTGTAAATATTCGTCACGCCCTGAACCACCAGAACTCGTTCTTCTACCGGAAGGCACAGAACATCTTCATGGTTGAGTTTGTGAAGCAGTGCGGCCGCCACAACATCACGTTCTTCCCCCTCAAAGTCACGTATTCGAGCGATAAGCGACAAGAAAAAAACAAATTCAGGAACTTCCTGAAGAATTCCAATTAGAAGCCAATAAATGTCACACTTTATTCATAAATCAATCTTCAAGCAATTTGTTGCTAAAGATACCGGAGTTGAGGAACCACGTCTTCATTGGTTTCACGTCTGCTTCGCTCTTAAGTGGCACAAAGTGCGTCTCTCTGTCTACGCAATAGACGCCTACACGATTAGACTGGTCGAAACAGTCGAAGACAAATAGTTCTTGCTTCACAATCTTTGAATGGCCTTCCATTCCTTCTTTTGGTGACTTCTCTGCCTTGTGGATTTCCATTTTTGATACGTCGATTGATTTGATGAATTCACCTGTCAGCATGTGGTTGCATATGTTTCCCATTACGTCCTTTGTGTCCACCATGCCACTGCTTGGGTCATATTCCTCGATTACTACACTTTGGTCGTCTCTGAACGTGAATGCACCTACTTTCTCACCCTTATTTGGATTCACAGCCTGATTTAATACGTCATACTTCTGATCAATCATACAGCCCAGAATTGATTCCTCGAAGAATGTGGCTGCAATATTGTCTACTGAAAATAAGTTGAAATACTGGCATTTTGAGAAATGAGCTGCTTCACGAAGTGGAATATAGACACCGCCATTCCCATTGGGGCTATTGAAATCACCAATGGTGTTACCTTCCAAGTCGAGTATTGGCATATTGCCCTGTACAATGATCTCATAATCAGTGCAGTAATCAGTCACTTTTCTCGTTCCAAAGAATTCCTTAACAAAATCTTCTGTTTTCTCTCTCGTAAACGCACTGGTCATGAAAAACAGGTAGATCAATGCCTTGACTCTTCCTTTGAGTTGTTTCAGTTTCTCCATGTGGACATCGAAGAGATTGGTCTTCCTATCAACGACAAATAGTCCCTTTGGCCCCTTGCATCCCAACCTGGATCCTTCTCCACCACCCATCATAACGACACCAAATCCATTTGATTCGTTATCCAAGGCTTCTTTACCAACAGTCGTCCATCTGCAAATATCCGTTTCATCTGTGTGCGCATGGCACTTTGTGGACATGAAAGGTGCAATGGTTTTAGATCCCATACAGGGTAATGGATTGGTGTTTATTATATTCAGGTAAACAATGATGACGTAAATGCTGATTGATTACCACGAGATTAGAGTTCAGTGTGTATCTTGAAAATAACAACTAAAATACAAACACGAATTGTGTTTTGTTACTCAATGACAAATAAACAAATCTATTTATTCATCTCATCAGGTTTGATATTTTTCCGAGCTTTCTGAATCAGTTCTTTTATCTTTTGCTGCACCTCTTTCTCTTCACCTGTCTTCTTTTTCCTATCATAAATGGATAATTCCTTTTTTGTTATTTTGTAGGCAACTTTCTCATTCACAATTGGCCTCTCTTTATATGCTTGTGTCTCCAGGTAGCACACAAGCTGGTCGTATCTCCACCTGAGCATGCTTTTGCTTCCAGATACGTCTATTTTGTGCTCCTTTAGAACTTTCTTCAGGTTCCCTTCTGTTTTCTTGGTTATTTTCTGTACTGTTCTAAACTTCTTCTTATTTACCTTGATATCCAGGTGTGTTATTCCATTTGAATAGCATCCTGGACAGAATCGGCCTCGTTTTAGGTGTTTATTGATACAGTAGTGGCAGAATATGCACTCACAAGGCAGTGCTGCTTTGATTTTTATATTTTCCTTACAAATCAGACAGACTTCTTTCTCACACTCACTGGTTTCTGTTGTATCGAATTCCTTTTCTTCAACCTTCTTCCTTTTCTTAGTCTTTTTCTTCTGTTCTTCTACTATCACGTATTCATTTGAAACATTCTCTTTGTCATTGACGTCACAAGACGATTTAATTTTTTTCATATCAGGGTTTAGTATTGTACCTGAATAAGCACCATCTTACATTTCACCCAATCAATCTTATTCAATTGGTAGTGTGGTATTGGCTTCCTGATCGTTTTCAAAATAATCATCCCCAATGGGCAATATTTTTTCAAGACCAAAAACCACGAACGAGAAGCTGTTTGAATACGAGGAGAAGATACTGAACATAGAGGCCCAGCTGATTAATCTACGAAGAAGCAAAATATCCTGGCGACTTCTTGGAATGTCAGCCATTCTGGTTCCCATCTTCATTGCCGCTGGCCTGGGCAAGTGGCTTTCTTTCTTTGGTGGCACAGCCCTGGCCATGTTCGTGGTGGTGTTCCGAACCAAATACAAAAATAGCTGCATTCGAATGGCTGAGTACAAGTTGAAGAAGCTCAGGGAGGAGCAAAAGAACTGTGTGAAATACGCAAAGGAGGACGTAAACTTTGCCAAAACCAGGCGACTTATTGAGAAATACGAGGATGAGAAGATGAAGGAGGCCTTCTTTAAGACTGTTGTGAAGAGGAAGCATACGAATGCATCTAAGCTTGCTGATTTCATCCTAGCAAATGATCCTAATAAGATGAATGCCCTGATATGCAAGTTCTGTGGGCAGCACAATGGGTTAGTTGACCCCAGGAATCCAGATATAACGCACTTCTACTGTTATGACTGCAAGAAACGTAATGATAGAGTTGGAATTGAAGAGATGAAAGATGAAGACACACTATTTGAAGAGAAGATGGAAGAAGCCCTTACAAAAGAAGCAGATTAGTAAATAAACTGTAGCGATCTTTATTATTCAGTGACATAAGGCCCATATGGATTTATCCATTCTGTTTGGTGGTGTCAGTTGTTACATCTACAACAGTATGGTGAAGGAAGTAGGTAGCACATGCCTATTCAAGGTGAAATTAGCCAAAAAAGTGGTACAGGAATCCCAGCAGATTGTTCTTCATGAATTGCCCCTGGTACCTGAACACTACAAATTCAATAGTGAAAAATGGTTAGGATTGCCCTGGGTAAAAAAGAGTGCTTTTAAATTCACCAGAAACGAAATGGCTGAGGCAGATCACTACTATTACGCTGATATCCATAGTATTATTAAGGAGTCGCATTACTATACGGTGGGAATAGAACACAACAATATCACATTCTTTACCAACCCAATCTACAAAACTAGCTTTGGTTTCATATATCCGGTGATATTAAATCAGGGCAATAATTTCATCAGAATGAACAGTGGCATCAGGGTGTGTATAACAGACAAGGATGATTTCAACAGATACTTCTGGACCAATCACCTACCACTCTTCCTTTTTGGTCTCTTGATAGGAATATTGATCATAGTCATTCTACTCAGGCGACTATGCAGTAGGAGGCCTCCAGACAATAATATGGTGTATCTTACAACCAAATGAGTGTCGTTGTATCACACTAATCAGTAAATAATCACAAAATTGAATAAGTGTCAATTCAGGTTGTTACTGATTGGTTAGTCGAATTAATAAAAATAGAAAACACAAATAGCCCTCCTTTTATGACAGTCGAACCAGTGAGTAAAAAGTATCAAGTGTATTTGAGGAAGTATGACATAGCCCATGCAATGAGCAAGGAGATGATTTCAAACATAGCTGGATTCAAAGTGGATGGAGTGTGGCATACGTCTATTGAGGTGCACGATAAAGAGTACTTCATGGGAGTTGGGATTGAATGTGTTGAACCAGGACAATGCAATCGATACGGGGTGCTTGTAGATCGAATGCTACTGGGTGAGACTGAATGTGATCCAGAGACATTGAAAGCATTCATTGAAGACCACAAAGACGACATGTGGGCTCCACAGACGTATCACATGCTTGATCACAACTGCAATCATTTCACTGATTATTTGGCCAAGTTTCTGACCAGTAATGGAATTCCAGTTGAAATACTGGAGCTATCAGAAAAGGCAAAAACCAACCCAATGTTCGTCCAGTTCTACAAGCAGAATCAGAAGCAGTTTCATTCGTCCATAAACAGCGCAAGAGGCGGACTGGATAACTTATCCAAAAAATTCAAGTAGACGATTCTATTTCTTTTTATTGTTCTTCTTCACCTTAATATCCAGGTTGTTGACGTATTCGGTTGCTTCCTCCTCACTCATTTTGACCAATTTGAGTCCCTCAAAATCCATTTCGTTCCAGTCTTCAACAAATTTCATTCTGACCACAGACTTCTTTAGATCAACGAATGCTGCGTTATTGATCTTCTTTTTAATATCGGCAATCTTTGCCTCTTCCATGTTTTCCACACCAGTCAACTTGTACATCTTTGGAATGAAATCATTTTTGATCTTCTCAATTTCAGGTACCTTCGAGTTCTCTTCGCAGTTCTTCAGGTGCTCATCCTTCGTGATGATTTTAAGGTGCTTTGGTGCCACTTTGGCCTTCTTGGTCTCATCATCTCCTTCTTCCTGTGCCACTTCAAATTCCAATTCAAGTGCCGCCTTGGCTTCTTCGACTGTTTCGAATTCAACAAAACACGTTCCAGAAAATGCCTTGTTCTTTCTCCTACGCATCAGAATCCTGGATGGATTACATTTTGATCTTAAAAATGCGTCAATATCATCCAGATTCATCTCTGTATCAAACCCAAGCATTGCAACAGTCTTGTCATTAACACTCTCATTCTTGTATGTCTTCAATGACTCAATGTCTGTTTTGATGAGACTGTCTCCTTCTATTTTGATATTCGGTGAGTTCTTGACTGCTTCCTTAACACCTTCAACTGTTGCATTCATTTGCTTCAATCTGTTGAAAGTTAACAGCACATTTATGTCAACTTTACCACTATTCTGTGTTGCAATTTCATAGAGGAATTTATCCTTTGAGAAGTTTGCGTTACTGAAATAATACTCGACTTGTCTCTTTATTTTGGCTGATTCAATCGTGCTAGTCCCCTTCTCTTCCTTTGTTTTAGTTTTGGTGTTCTTCTTTGCTTTGGTTGCCATTTGGGTAAATTTTTTATCAAAATGAAAATGTTGCCTAAAAATCATTGAAATAAAGCAATTGAATTCAGTCAATGATCATCTTATTCCATTATTCCTTCTAGGTTCTGCCGTTGATAACAGGTAAATTATCGATTAACCACGCCATTCATTTTGATCAAACCTCTTCAATGTACTTGAATACTTCCTCTTTCGTGATTTTGATCGAGTCTTTTGGGTAGGTGATGTCCATGTTGTTTAGTTTCTTTGCAACTACTTCATAGCTCTTGTAATCTTTGGTGTACTTTTCATCAATGATGAAGACGTCTACGTTTGATCCAGAGTAGAGATCATTCAAGATTCCTGCTTTAATGGCATTTTTGCCCAATTCAGTGGCTTCTTCAACACTCATATTCTTCTTGTAATTCAATTCAAGTACTCCTGTAGCAGCAAATGAACCTGATCCCATTGTAGCATAATCCAAATCACTGGAATTGCCATCTGGTGAAATGGAAATCAACATTGGACCATTTGTATCATCGATTCCACCCAATACAAGAGCAGCGACAATGTGACCACCGTATCGTAGCAGGTAGTCTTCTATTAATCTTTTTGCATGTGTGACATAAGGCTGCTTCAAATACTTGTGTTTGAATAACGAGAGTTCTTTGAATGCCATTCTAGTAACACGACCCGTATCTGCTGATGTTCCAGCACCACAACACATTATTTTCTCAGAAATGTAGTGGATTTTCCTACAATTTTTGTCAGCCACAATTGGGCCATTTGTTGAACGAGTGTCTGCACAGAGTACTACTCCTGTCTTGTATTTGACACCAACGATCGTCGTACCTGTCTTGGTGAGTCTGCTTCCGTATTTCAAGTCAAACTGTTTCGTTGCGTCCTGTTCTGTTTGTGTCATTTTAGGGGTTATTTTGCATCAAATAAGGTTACTTGCATAAAATATAAAATACGCTTATTCACAGTCTACTTAGAATTTATCAATTCTCTCCTGTATGAAACTCATTATGTTGTCCAAGTATCTTTTGCCATTGAAGTTGATTCTGTGCCTTGAAACCAGTTCAGGCACCAACTGGAAGTCAGGTGCATAGTGCTCTCTGAATGTGTCTTCTTCTGGAACAAAGTTGTCCACTTCCTTCCCACAGAATACGGCTGTTTCATACGCCCAGCATCGTGCTACGTTCTGAATCGTGTATCCTCCGCCTCCAAGCAGTAGAATTGGAATATCGAACTTCTTTACAAATCTAATGCATTCAGAGTGTCCTTGAATGCTTAGAGCAAACGTACCAAGTTTGTCTTCTGCCAGTGAATCCGTACCAGACTGGAATACGATTACGTCAGGCTTGAATTTCCTAATGCTATTTTCTACAATTGGCTCAAAGATGTATTTGTACGTCTCATCTGTTATTCCTGTTTGCAATGGCACATTCACAGCACGCTTTGTGGATGTAACAAGATCGCCTGTGTTTGGAAAGAAGTTCTCTCCATGTTTATGCAAGGAAAGTGTTAGAACACGATCGTTGTCGTAGAATGCCTCTTCGACTCCATCTCCATGGTGTACGTCGATATCAATGTACATAACACGCTCATGCTTACAGAGCAGCTCTTGAATGGCCATCACAATGTCATTTCCAAAACAGAATCCACTTGGCTCATTTTTATGCGCATGATGCAATCCACCACTCCAATTCACAACGTGCTTGTACAGTCCGCTATTTATTAGCATTGCTCCATTTAGTGTTGCACTGCAGTATCGTTCCACGTAGTCGTTGATTCCTTCGAATGTGGGACAGTCGTCAGTTGCGTCTCTTGTTCCAATGCTATTCAAATACTCCTTGTTGTGATAAGTGAGTTTTACACGACTTGGAATGTACAAGTCCATTTCTCTGTCTATTTTGAATGATTTGACTAGTGAATGTGTCATAGATATTCTTATTGGATTCATTGGGTGTCCTTTTCCGTAGCTATGGAGTCCCACAGTGTCATCATACATGTAAGCTACTTTCATTGAATTTCTGGGGGTAGTTTTTATAAATTTAAAAAAAAGAGGCTGAAAAATGAAAATAAATTGGATGTGTTGGATTAGTAGAGCCATAAGAACAGGATTTGTGTAGAAATTTGGATTATTCGTGTGTTTTACTCCTCTCCTGTGTTTTAAGTTGTTATTTTTAGTATTTCATTCATACTATACACAAATATTTTGTTTATTATCCCTAAAAATGGTAGCTCTCAAGGATATTTATCTGATTATAAGATATAAGGAAACTACAGTGGATAAAAATACATTATTTAACAAAATTAAAGAGAAGTATGGGATACTAGGACTAGCTGACGTCTTCTACTTCGAAATCAAGGAGGATTACAAGGAGCTCAAGTACTCCATTCTATGGATACCTAGAAACTGTCAGGATATGATTAAGACGTGTATTGATGAAATGGATGATTGTGAGGTATCATCAGCCAGTGGAACAATCAAGAAGGCAAAAAAGAAGATCCTGAAGATGTCTGGTGCCTGAATTCTGTTTTTGCAAATTTATCCCTGGATGAAACAAAACAACCAACACGTTGATTTCAGTCTCCAATACAATGAAAACTACAGAATGAGACACAGGGAACTTAGTGAGTTGATAGAGTACGAGGATGCACCCTATTCACGGATAAGTGACGTGAAGAACAACACAAGAATGGTTAAGGCGGTGCTATTCATGAATTCATCCAAAAAGCTGTCTATTTTCAACAAGAACGTGGAAATAGACCTAGAGAGAACCAATAGAGAGATTCAGACGTACGAAGAAGAGAAAGATGGTCTCCATTTCATAGAAGACCTCTCTTGTAGGGTGGAAGTTGAATTCAAGTGCAACATTTTCAATGACTTTCTGGTGACTGGAATGGTCCTTGGATTTGTTGGTGCGATGGAAGGAGCCAAATTCGTCTGTACCAAAATAATTTATCCAGGAGCACTTTCAGGCAGAATGGATGACGTAGTCTCAGAACACAGGCTACTCATCTTTAGCAACGTCAAATTCAACAGAAACTTCCCAAATTTGCTCACTCTTCTAGATCTAAACAGGGACAAATACGATGACGTAGTCTTTATTGGACCAATATTCGATAGAACACAGGATGATTGGGATTTCAGCAAATTCAACAGGTTTCTGGACACATTTCCAGGCAAATTGTACATTCTACCAGGATTGGATGATCCAACAAGTGGATTCGTACCACAGCCACCACTTCACAAACTGCTCTTTTCCAGAAACAAGAATGTTGTACGACTTACCAATCCAGCCACTGTGGAAATCAACAGCAAAACGTGCCTATTTCTTGATGGAAAATACGCAATGGCCGACTTACTGAGATACAAGAAACACAGTAGAGCCACGGATGCAATGAAAGCAGTGATAAAAAGCAGACTGATTCTACCAAATGCACCGGATACGATACCATGTGTCCCTGAGTCACATAGAGACCCTCTCTTGCTCTCCAAAGTGTCCCTGATTGTCTCAGGTGGCACCAAAACTGAATACGACATTTTCAGGCAGAAGATGCTTCTTTCTGTGGCTGACTTCGACGAGACCAAAGTTGCGACACTTTTTCACATGAAAAACAAACAAATTGAGGAGATCGCCTTCTGCGAATAAATTATTCAGCATCCCCAGGAATGACCTTCTTCCTGTAGCCCTGGTCGAAGGCAAAGACGACTACGGCGCACTTGTAGTTGAAGTAGCCACCTACGTCCTCTCCAACTCGACTCACCTTCATTGGAGCATACACCTTCCCACAATACTCGTCTTCCTGCATGTTCTCGTTTGTCTTCTTCAAGACTGAATCGTACTCTCCAAGTAGCCCAGTCTTGTTGCTGTAAAGCAGACTCATCCCAGCCGTGTTTCTCTCCAGATCCTCGTATCCCAGCTTTATTCGCTTATCAGTCGTAAAATCAGTCACCTCACTGCTTTTGATAAATGGCAGAATTGAAATGTACTGCCAGTCCATCACTTTCTGGAAGTCATCAACCCTGAATTTCAGGTCTGAGAACGTGAAGATGTCTTTGACCTCCAATCCAGCACAATCCTCCTTCTTCTGACCCAGTCTCCCGTAAACAGTGTTGTACTCGTGAATGTATCCCCTTTGTCCTGCATCCTGAATCCAATCCTGGTACTTCTCGTGTATTTTGATGTAGCCGTGATCGTAGTAGAACTTCCTGTACTCTCGTGGCAACAAATGCATCGAGTAGGCAGGTAGCACCGAAAGCAGCTGCTCAAATGGCGCAAGTGGCTTTGAGTCTTCGAATTCAAGCTGTTCGACTTTCAGGGCGTGTAAGTCGCACATGAATGGTGCAAAATAGTATGGGAAATAGTAGTCCCAAGATGGGCACCCCTGGAAATAGTACTTGTAAATCCAAACCATCCCCTTCACATACTCCTTACAAGCAACCTTAAGGTCCTCTTCTGACGAAATGCCCATCTTCTCAATGTAGTACTTCAGCTTCCCTTCCTCCCTGTTAAGCTTGAACTCCTTCTCTGGGTCGAACTCCTCGCCCATTCTAAGCCTGCTACTTTCCAGATTCCTCCTCTTTTCAATCAGATTCTCGTCCTCGTCCTTCAGCCCCTCTGCAAAGAACTTCCTTAGAACCCAATAATTCACAGATCCATCAGGATGCGTGATGTAGTCGCGGCAGAGCATGTGCGTCTGAATCAGAAACTTCGCTATCTTCTCTATCGCATTGGTGCGGATCTCGAAGCCAGGGCTACAAGGAAGGAAGTCGTTTCCGATGCAGAAGCAGAGGAAGACGAAGTCAGAAAGCAGCCTGTCTCCGTCAGAGGGGATGTTGATCTCGTTCTGGAGCCGCTCGATGATCAGCATCTTCAGCTTCTGCTCGTTGATCATCACAAACTTCTTTCTCATGAAATCGTCCTCGTTCTCCTGGTCGTCCTGGTTTCTACGGTACTGGACGTCTTCTCGCATGATACGCAGATTCAAGGCAGGCGTAGTGAGGCCAAGGAATATCAGATCGGCATCAGGCGAGAATATGACGTGTGTCTCCTTCTGCCCCATCTTGTGCATTCGCATGTACTCCATGATCTTCTGCTCTCCTTCTCCAGGCACCTTGTAATTCGAGTAAATCACCGTCTTATTCTTCCAGGCGGAATCAGTGCTCATTTTGAATTTGATCAGCTGATTCATGTAGTCGTCGAGGCGGGCCATGAAGTCGGTTCCAGGCGTGATCGAATTCGTGTCAAATGCAACATTCACGTTTGGGTTGTCGCACGTCTCCTTTGGATCGGCGTAGATCGTGTTTGAGTTGTACGTCTCCTTTGCACTCGTAAATCGCCTGGATCTCTGCTGGTTCAGCTTCGCCTTCGGGGCCACCCCGTCTACCGAAATATAGATCATTCTTTTAGGCTTACAGTATGCCATCAGAGTGTCAATATACTTCTCTAGCTTCGCGTACAAGTCAGCGTCAATCTCCTTCAGGTTGTTCAGATTCTTGTTGCAGCACGGGTGGATGATTGCATTGAAGTCGAGGTAGAGGTTGTCCACGTTGTAGTCGAAGTCTTTCTTCAGGTGGGCCAGAATGCTTGGAAAACGCATCGTAAGCCACTTGTACAAGCTTGGAACACCCATTTATGGGTGAAAAAAGAGAAAAAACTCAGGCAAAACAAAGATTTAATTAGAGCAAAGAAAACGAATTAATATGAAAATAAACCATTTTTGCTGATTTGCCTGTTGCAGTTGCAAACTGATCATCAGTTTCAATTTCACATATCAATCAGCTCCAGTATCCCATTTGCTACCTTTTTCTCATCCCCACAATCTGCACAGAATACGCTCCCTTCTTCTACGTCCACTTTGTAGAAACAATCAACGATTTCCTGCTCCTTTCCAATTCCCTCTACGAATTCAATCGCATCTGCCTCAGAATACCCAGCTACCCCCTCAAGCAGCGTATTCAACTCATCTACGGTTGTATCACTCTCACGTAGCATCCTAACCACTGCATCCTGCTTTGTTTTGCTCACGTGCTCCTTTATCTCTCTTTTCTTTCCTATTTCCACCTTTGGCACTCTGGTGCTGTTGCATTTTGAACACTTCAACATTTTTACTACGAACATTCTCATTGCTGGGATAAAACAAGAAATCATTTCAACTTCTTTCTTCATAAAATGGTCTCTTTGTCTCCAACTACGTCTTCCAATGCCCTCGTCCTGTACTGCTCGTACAGTTCATTTGCAGTCACTTCCATCAGTGAATCCAGGTACAGACTCAGCAATGCCTCTCTTAGAACAGACAAATCGTTGAAATTTGGATTATCAACTTCAATACTGTATCCGTTGATCTCCTTCACCTTATTTTCTCCACTTATCACTGAAAATGGAACAATTTCATTCAGATTAATACCAGTTTCAAGTGATTGAGAAGGGTGCATGTTGAATATCGGAATACTGTGCTCATCAAACTGTGCTCTAATGAGCTTCTTGTACCTTTCAGTCTCTTCTGGCGTCAGGCCATCAGCCTTGGATAGAACTGGAATGATATTAACAAGGTGTTTGATGCTTCTAAGAAAGTGTAAATCAGTCTGTTTCAGCCCGTAGCCAGTTGATGGTAGAAAATACAGCAGGCAATGAACACGCGTGTCTTCATAGAGCGGGTTCCTTCTGATCTTGTTCTCCTCGGCCATGAACAAGTCAAATTGTTCCTTGATGAAGTTCAAAATGCTCGTTTGAATACTTTCGTTGTTGCTGCTATCAAATCCAGGCGTGTCTATGAATGTGATCTTTTGTACAACTCCTTCACAGTCCAAGTTCAGCATATAGACGTTTATTTCATCCTGTTGATCATCCGTTATGATCTGTTTTCCAACCAAATTGTTGAAGAATGACGATTTTCCAGATCCCTTGGCACCTGCAGCCATAATTGAAAACCTATTCATTTTATTCACCATTATTACGCAGGATACTTTGTTTTTATCAGAAACCTGAAACAGTAAATAAATATTTGATCATTTAGTTGATTTAGATTTGGTTGTTTTTGATTTTGCTGCTGTTTTCCTCTTTTTGATCTCCTTCCTTTTTGTATCAGACTTCTTTTTTGATTCCGTCTTGGCTGCTGCTCTTGTTACATTTGCACCCTCTGTATTCTTTGAATCCTGGGCATTTAGCTCATTCTTCATGGCCTTCTTTACTGATTTTGATTCCTTACCACTTTTATAGGCTCCTGTTTTGACACCCATAGATTCTGTCTTCATTTCCCTATTTAATTCCTGTCTCTTTTTGCCTATCTGCTTGATTGTGTCACTTTCTGTCTCTGTTGACTTCGACCGTTCTGTAACTGCATTCAGAAATGTTGCTACTGACCTGGCTGCCTTTTTATACATTTTATTCTCAATCATTTTTGAATCTTTATTAGTTTCCTTCTTTACTGGCATGTGAACTAGGGTAAAAACAAATCAGAAATATTTGAGAGGGAACTGAATGTGAAACAATTGCCAAACAACGATAAAAACAGAGATAATGTGATATGTGAAACATTCATGTGTAATATCATGATATGAAATAGTCAACAGGAGTAGTTAGTCAATAGTGTAGTTAGTTATGCGATGAATAACCAGTTGCTGTACATAATGATGTACGGTTTGTTCTTTATCTCCGGTGGTGTAATGGTTAGCATTTAAGCTTGTCACGCTTGCGATTCGGGTTCAATTCCCGGCCAGAGAGCTTTTTTGAAACATGGGTGCTGTATTTTGGGCGTGTTTTGCTGTTTTAGATGGCTGAGAACAGTGAACAGAGTATGACATCAACCATTAGACTACTGAATGCTAAATCAGATGAAGGAATGAAGGATGTGGAAGAAGAGATGAAAAACAAGGAGAAGGAAGACCCTGGGAAAGAAACAGCCAAGAAAGAAGAGAACAAGAAAGAAGAAAGAGAGTCAGAGAAAGAGAAGAAGCTGGATAGTGAACTAGAAGAAGAACTAGAAAAGACAAAGAAGGAATCAGGACAGGAAGATCAAAAGAGCAATCATGATGAAGAGAAGGCAGATTCAAAACAGTCAGTTGAGGTTAATGGGGATAATGAGGATAAACAAATATTTGAGCATAAAACAGACACAAACAAAGAGATTCATAGAATTCTTTCTGAATACGATGACATTTATATCAAGGAATATCTGATAAATGAATTGAATATTGATGAACACTACGAGATTGATAATGAAACAGCCGAGTTAATGAAGCAGTATATTGAAGACTACACCAAAGAGGAGCACTATATTGACACCAAATTCACCAATTCAATCTTAAGTGCTTTAAGATTCATTGATATGAAATCTGATGATCACATCGTAGCAAACAAAGTCATTGAATGTGTGGCACTGCTTGATACGAAATATGAGTATACGGTACACTACAGAAGAATACTAGGATACTCTAAAATATACAAGAGCATCAAGGATGTAATTGCAAGCATGTTTGATAGAAATAAGTTCATCAAAACAGCATTCAGTTACAGGTACATTGGTTACCTGATAACACTATTGGACAATGATCAATTGGTCTACAAGAACCTGAAGCCGTTGCTCACAACATTAATCAACTATGTTAAGAATGATGTTGTTGAGAATAACATTGAGGCATGTGCAACACTAACAAGCTCAGTGGTGGATGGAGCACCAACACTCTTCACAAACAAGCTGGCTTCGTGTCTGATTTCATACTACACCAAAATACTGTTTAATAGCAAGAACTACATCAACTACAAGTTGGATACAGTTGTAAAGACAACAGAAATGCTATTGGAACTTTATGAAGTAGAAAAGTCATTAGCACTTGGATTACTAAGAGAAAGTATAGCACTTCTCGTTGAATTCAGGAACACGAGTATTAAGGAAGAAATAGAAATGATCAATAATATCACAAGACTAATGAGTGGCATCTATGCAATCTACAATGACGTCAATGATGAAATAACAGATTATAAGAAGTATCTGAATCCCAAGTTTGCAACTGAAGCTGGCTCTACCACAGAAACATTTCTGTGCTACAAATACCGCTATTTGGACAAATTGCTAGGGAAATTCAACTGCTACGATCGAATTGAATTGATCAATGACCTGACCAATTCAGAGGATCCTGGTGCAATCGTAGCCCATTTCAAGAACTACAACGAATACGTCGTATGGGATGATCTGGTTGGTGTAAAGAAGACAATGGGAATGTTGCGGTATCTCTTTGATGAATATTTCATAAGAAACAGAACCAAAAACCATCAGGCACTGATCACCTTGTTCTTTGGCTTCTTACACGAAGAACAAGCTGTTTATTTCACGAAATTCGCATCAGAGAAAAACTGCCATTTCATCACCATCAAAATATTCATCAGATATTCAGGTAGCAACAAATACGAACACATGAAAATGAGACAGATGATTTTATCAAGTATTAATGAGATTGAGACTGGTGATGAAATAACAGAAGTGTTAAAATACACTAAGGAAAACAAGGATGAGTACAAAAAGGAAGAAGAGAACAATTCAGGTGAAAAAAGTGAGACTGATGAAAGCAGTGGAAATGATCTGAACAATCACTATAAAAATATGCTGATGCTGTTTGTGGTGATATGTAGCAAAATGAAGCCAGTTCAATACAAGACTGATGAATATCAGAATGTGCAATCAGAACAAATTGACCTGTACAAATCAGTGATCAGCAAATACATCACGTCTGAGAATGAGCATGCTGATTACTACGTGGCTACTCTGATCTATTTAGACAAACAGATCAATAGATCATTTTACAGCTATTTTGATGTAGTTCAGGAACTGATGGCAATTCAAATCAGAAAAAAGAAAGACGAATTGGACAACTTCAAGAACAGGACATTTCCACTGATGTTCCAAATGACTCACAAGGAAGTTGATGAGATCGGGATGCTCTTCTGCAACTTCAATGACTCCCGATTTGTAGCAAAATACAAAGAGATTCTGGTGCTATTTCAGGCCAAGGAGTCCATTGACACCAGCACTGTATCAGAGAATATCGAATACGAGATGGAGTCATCTAGCACAATTGAATCAGGAATATCTGTTGAAACAGTCATTGATCACGAGAAGGAGTTTCTGGCTCGACAAAAGCAGTTCATCACTGATCGATATGAGTTGGCTGAACGTGAGATGGATTTAGAACAAGAGAAGTACGATCTAGCAAAGAAGGAGCACGAATTACTTGAAGAGGCAACTGATAAATACAGTAAGGAGCAAAGGAAGCTGATCAAGATGAAATACAAGGAGGCCAAGAAGGCGTTGGATGAGATGAATAAGAAGTATGAGCGAATTAAAACTGAGAAGATTGAATTAGAGAAGAATGCGAAGAAGGAGAAGCCAGGAATCAGTAGCATATTGGAAAACAACCTGAAGAAAGCACAATCTGAGCATGAGAAGGCAAAGGAGGAATACAGAAAGTCAAAGAAGAGGTACAAAGAGGGAAATGAGAAGTATAAAGAAGCATTGAGGGATCTAAAGGATATGAAGGTGAAAGTAGAAACAAAAGAGACTGTAGAGAAAAAGGAGTATGAAAAGACTGAATATGAGAAGGATTCTGAGAAAGTGAAACTGGAGGAATTCAGAGAGGGAAAGAAAGAGAACAAGACTGATTTGGATAATAGCAATTCAGAAGAGTACAAGAATGATTATAGCCCACTGATAGATAAGCCAGAGTTAAATGGTAAATAATCCAGTAGAATAAATATGAGAGTGAATAAGACCCCCAGTTTAGGATGGGAAAGAAGAAGACAAAAAGAACAAGAATGAAGAGAAAGGTGTCCCAGCATCTGACAAACCGATTTGACTGCCCAAAGTGCAACCACGAGAAGGTGGTCACCTGTCGAGTGAACAGAAGCCACCTCGTTGGACTGGCTGTCTGCTCTGCTTGCGAGGCAGTCTTCAAATGCAGCATAACCAAGTTAGACCAGGGAATAGATGTCTACCACAAATGGGTGGATGAGAACTAATTTACCCATGGAAAGAGGAAGCCACACATTTGTGAAGAACGAGCCACGAGACTTCACACTGCTCTTCTTCAGCGGTGAATTTGAGAACGACGAGCTCTTTGACGGCGTCTTTGATGGATGCAACTTGGAATTCAACAAGTTTCTGCTCCATGGGAGAGCTGAGACAGTCCCATTTTCAGTCTACAAAATTGATAAAAATGGAAGAATATCCCATATAGGGAATACCAGTAATAATATGGTAGTATTTGATAGTGACCTCAGGTACAAATAGGCAGAATGTGTCAGTTCAATTCCACCCTACACATTGGACACTTCTCACTCCTGGCTTGCCCAATCCACCTGAATATGCAACTCCTGTGAAACTTGTTGCCGCAGTTGCTACACTCGTAGTCTGGTGCTCTCTTGTATTCTGGATCAATGATGAAGTAGCAAATCAGACACTCTGTGAATCCAACCAGCTTCTTGTCGTAGTTGACTTTCCAGGTGTTGAATATCTCAGTCAGGTTGTACGACTTCTGAAGGAGGATATTCAGGCGAATCTGTGAGTCACAGACTGGTGGCCTTGATACGTCACTGAACAGCCTGAAAGTGACACCGTCTTTGATTGAATCAACCTCGTAGGAGTATCTGAACTCAGTTACGGTGTGGCTGGGGACAACTGAGAGTGTGACACCATCAGGGAGTCTCCTGGATCTGATCAAACTGATTAGGCTGGTGATGCTGAGACTGGGCTGGCTGAGTCGTCTGAATCTACGAGGAAACAGGTAGCAAAAGAGAGTCATTTCACTGGGAGTGGCGTAGTTGGTGAAATCAGAGACAGCCTTGTTTGGGATGCATTCTTCTATGAAACTGATCAATATCAGGTTACTGATACGGTGGAGAGTGTGAAGGAGGATGGTGAAGTAGGCGTTGGTGTATTCTGAGATCCAATCAGTCAGAAACTGACGAAGGAAGTCGTGATCTGTGTGTTGCTCCTGTTTGCTGAATGACCAGTTATCGATCATCAGGTTCGAAGCCAATTTTGAGATGGCAGTGATCAGGCTGGAATAGGCAGCAAGGCGACGGTGACGGAATTCAGTCAGAAGCATTCGATCACCATCGATCATTTTGATTGATTCAAGCAGGGAGTTGAAGACGGTGCAGTTTCCATCTACGAAGCAATGCGTATCAAATTCAGTTGCGTTGATGATGTGACGTGATATCAGGGACACTGCTTCATCAGAGAGAAATGTGGGGTCAGTGAGACCAAATACCTGAATTGATCCATTTCTGATTGCCACGTCAAGTGCCTTCTTGTTTGTTTTGTACTGGAATCCAATTTGGGATAGTTTGGAATTGATCTGATTTGGGTGACGGGTGATTCTGTTCAAAAAGATGCCATTTTTACCAAGAAGCAATTCAAGTGGTGATGTGATGGTGCTATCCAGGTCAAACATTTCAGTAAATTCATCAAACAGTAGCAGGCAGCACAGGCTGTGGAGCAGTTTAGCGCTGATTAGGTCACTTTCTTGGTCAAGAATCATTTTTAGGACATCTCTGATGATTTCAACTCGTTTATCCCTGTAGGGGAGAACAAGGGTGTTTTTGTAGAAGAATTCGTCTGAATCAAAGACACCTCCAGTGAAGTAGATCGAGTTCTGGATATCAAGTTGACCAATGTGGGATGCAATGTGGGTGATTATTCTGCCGTAGCTTGGTGCCAGCTGAACCAATTTGAGCAGGAGTCTCTTGCTGCAGAAGTGGTTGAAGATGAACATGAAGTCGATTCTGTTCCAGATGGATTTGAGGTCGTCTTTGGTGATGTTGCAGTAGCAGAGGGCTGCAAGAAGCGTGTTGTTGCTCCTGTATTCTCCAAATGCAATTTCAGACTGATCGTATTTCTGTTCAAACAACTCTTTGGTTGCATGAAAGCTGGTTAACCTTAACTCCCTGAAGCTGATTTTAAAATGTTTCATGCATTCTAAGTTGGCAAGTTCCTGATTTTCATTGATGAATTCAGTGACATCGAGGTCGTGTCTTCTGGTTTGTTCCAGGAATTCAACAATTCTGCTGCTATTGAGCACTTTTTGTGCGCACCTGAAATATGTTTGGATTTCTTGGTTTGTTAATTCAAGTGGCTTCTTCTCTCCTAATTTGAACAGAATATGCAACTTAGCTACATTTGATATCTCCATCTCCTTCATTTCATCCAATATGGTGTTATCTACGTCACATTCAATAACACTTTGAAAGTGTTTATTGACGCTTTTGACAATTTCACTCTTCTTATTCTTCAGCAACTCCACGTAAAATTCATTCTTTCTTCCTTGCATCATTTCAAAAACATCAAAATCGTCTCCAAACACTCTGATCAAATATTGATCATCTTTCTCCTTCCCTAACACCTTGCATTTTTCATACGATTCAACCTGTATGTTATCTTTCACTATTTTGTTACACTTGAATATCAATTCCAGTGTCTTATTTGATAAATCCCTCGAATGCTCTTCTACCTCTTTCTGTATTCTGTCGTAATCAGTGATCTCATCACTAAACTGATCTAACAACATGTATATTTTGATATTGAACATGCCATTCATTTCCATCAGGTACTCGTATATCACACGTGCAATCAAACTGTTCTTATCAACATTCTTAATCACATAGTGAAGTGCCTTGAAGTCATTTGTTGTTAACTTGTATTCAAACTGAATATTCAGCTTATTCAGAATCGTAGCATTTTGTTCTACTTGATACTGTACAAATAGTTGTAATACACCCAAATCAACACTATTATTGATCACGAACATGTGATTTGCAACCTTATCAGCTGCCAGCAATTTGATCACCTTCTTTGTGGATATTCTGTTTCTAAGACACATCGTGTTGAATCTACTGTCTCCAATCTCTTTCATCTCATTGAACACGTCCACTGGCCACTCCCTGATTATTTTGTCGTAAATTCTGTTCATTTTATCCTCCAGCAAATCATTCGAATCATTTTTATTCTTGTTCAATTTGCATAAGAGCATATTCAAATGAGCATTCTTTATTTCACTCTTCTCCAATTCATCCAACACCCGCAACCTCGTATTCTCATTCTTCTTTTCCAATTTGCATATCAAATCAAACACGTGATTCTCACTGGTCTCATCTGCTCCCTCATCAAACGGATTGAACATTTCAGGGGCTCAAATATTTTTTATTCACTGGATCCCACACCTCTCGTATCTCTCAATTTCTCGCCTGAAATATTTCATGAAATCGACCTTGCGATACTTGGAGTGCTCACTGAATTTCGTAACTGATTTCCTGATCATCAAATCAGTGTTTTTTATTGCAGTCTCAACATTCCTCAAAATGTCATCAAATTCCTTGTTCTTGAAATCAAACAGCAAACTCTTTTTACAGTAACAGCAGACTGTCAATGCATTGGTGAATGTTCTACCACAATCCAAACATGTTCCCTTGCTGTTGCAATGGTTGTTGTTGCTTCTCAACAAATTCAGAATCTTCTGCTCAATCCACCTCTGATCAACTGATTTCTTGCATTTCAGACACTTCTTCTCGTTCAAATCCACCTGATTCTCACAGCACTGGCTGTAGAACACGAGTTCTCTGGCTCCTTCTCGTGGAATATGGACGTCTTTGGTGTTGAATATCAGGCCAATCTTCTCCATGTGGATGTTTTTGATTGGACTAAGCAGCCTGTAGAGGGGTGGAAGTATCTGATTGGTGATGTACCAGCCGTAATCCATTTTGAATGCCTCCTTTGGTTCAAATGGAATTGTTTTCCCCTCTTTTGTTTCACCCATCACGTAGTTTATTACGTCACCAGGCCTATATTTCATTCCTTTAGTTTTCAGTCTCAGTCCCAGCTGAATGTGTAGGAGACTGCTCTTGTTCCCGTAGTGTTCGAGTTCCTTTCCAAGAACAATCGAAATCACAAAATCACTGATTGGCCTGTTTTCCATTGTTTTGTAAAAATGGAGAGATTGATCATAAATTGCCTGGGCATTCACCTCGTTCATCTTTGGTTCCACCAAATCAAGGGACTTCTCATCAAATACGATCTTGAGAATGTCCATGAACAAGTCACCGCTTGCCTCACAGAAGTCCCTTCGAACAATTTCAAGGCCCTTTGTTTCGATACGGTGGCCTTTCATATCAAAAATGAGACCAGCGTATTTCTTTTTGGAGTAAATGATCATTTTGGCAAAGCAGCACTCCAATTCAATGACAACGTGCTTGTATTTCTGGTTGATTGCCTTTGCAAATTCAGCAACACTCTCTTTTGCCTTAGAATGATACTCCCTGATTCCAGGATACTTCGTATGGATCATTATTGAATCAGTGTCACCGTAGATCACCTTCATGTTCATCTTCTCAGCAACTCGCTTGGTGTCTTCAAGCGTCGTTCTACCCATTTTGGTGATGAATGCGGCCATTTTGTAGTTGCAGAAGCGGCTGTTGCTGAATCCAAGACACCCGTAGATCGAGTTTGCCGTCAATTTCAACACTTTCTGTCTCGTATCAAATTGGAGCAGCTTCTCTGCCGTCTTACACGTCTTGATCTGCTTCTTGACTTCTGCTCTTCTTTTTACAAGTTGATTCAGAATCCTAGGCAGAAATAGCAGATTTTCATCAACTGGCTTTCCAGCCTCCAATTCATCAATGGAACTGAAACAGACGTTGAATTCCTGAACTATGGACGGATAGAGGCTGTTGAAATCAAGTAGCAGAATGATGTTGGTGTAGAATCCCTTTTCAGGTTCAAGAACTAGGCCACCTGTATAATCCTGAGTTTCGCCACTTTTCGTGTTTAGTGGAAACAGAAATCCCCTTTCGTACAAATTGTGTAGCATCGTGTACTCGATTCTTCCAGCCCTGCTGTTACTGAAGCATTTGTTGATTGGGTATCCACTGATTTCTGACATTTCCCGAGCCAGGTTCAATATGTTCATTTTTTCGTGCAATTGGTGAACTGATTTCGTATCAGAATGGAACTCCTCTTCGCATTTGATTGAATATTTCTCACTGAGCTCTTTGATCGAGTAATCCTTGCATTTGGTAGTTCCTTGTGCAAATGTGAAGATGTCACACATCAATGTCCGCTTATGAAGAGCAAGTCTCCTCAGGTTGAAGTTGTGCGTAATCACAAAATCGTATTCTTTTGATTTTAGTAGCGCAATCAAATCATTTTCAACTGCATTTTCATTATCAAAGTATCTGATTGTGAGTCCTTTTTCTTCCTCATTCTTATCATTATTCAGTGTTCCAATTGTACTTGTTTTACCATCATATACGCAGTATTTGGCTATTTTACTGTTCTCCAATCCAACCATCACCGTACAAGTGGCCAATCGCTTGAATTTTGCTGCTTTTACAAAATTGATTTTATCAACGTGAATGAATCTTATTTTCTTCTTCTCAATGACATCACTCTCATCAAATTCAATCAGTGCGCATCCCATCAGTTTCTTGCTCACTATAAGCTGTTCAATTGGGTTGCTGAACTCGGTTAGTACGAAATCACAGTAATCTGACTCAAATTTGTCCAGGTTGATCTTCTTTGTGAAACTAACCTTGAACATTTTCAAATACTTATCAAAGTTCTTATGAAAGATATTTTTGCGCTCAACCAGTTCTATTTTGCTTATGGAATTGGCGTACTGCGCCAATAACTCCTTCTTGAGGAGTATTTGACTCGAAATATTCTCTCCTTCTTCTGCCATTAATTCATCCTCTAGTACAGTTTCTGATTCCCTAGCTGGCAAAAAGTAGACATCTGATATCAATCCATTCACAACCAGTACCATTTGTCTGTTTTCTGTCTCATCGTACGACTTACCGTACAGAAATACCTCACTCTCATTTCTTAAATCGTAGTTGTAAATCTGGAAAATCATTAGGGTAAAATTTCACCAGGTTCAACCCTTCAAATTCTTCTCACTTCTCTTTCCCCCTAAATGAAAAACATTTCAATCCGTGTTAGCACATTCTTTTCGTACCTGTTTCAATCAACGACTACAATGTGCATTCTGCTCTTCTTGGCCACGCTCGTGCTGAAGAAAGACCAGATCAAGGCAAATCCAACAATAACCACATTTGGGCATAAAGCCAATAACTGTTACATGCGATTCAGCCCAAACATCGATTTGACCAAAGAATTCAACATGAACACGAAACAAGTCTTTCTGTACGTAGTTTGCGTCACTGGAAGCAAGCACGAAATGGTATGGAGCAAGATTGTGGAAGAATCATCCCGCAAGAAGTTGTATGATCTTGTACGCAACTCGTATCGATTTAGGATACGTGGTGATATTTCAGCCTATGATGCAATCTATTTTGAGTTACGTGGCAGCGTATTTCCTAAAATAGGCAAAATGGAGGACAAGTTGTATGCGAGATTCGCGTACAAAAAGAAAGTCGTTTACTAAATTGGTGTCTCAGCCTGTTTGATTCAAATGATGTTGAGTTTCTTCTTAAGGAAGAAGAGCAGTTCAAGGTGTTCTTGATCCAACTCGTCTTTGAAGTGCTCTTTGAGCAAATCAATCGACTTCCTAGTTATTATTGAATATATCTCATCAGTTGCCTTGAAATGTCGATCAACCATTTTGGGAGACTCTCCTCTGTCCACTTCTATCTTTATTGCCACCTGCTTCCTTTTGGTTGCCTTTTGAACACTTTTCTTTTTCTCCTCAATCGATGTCACTCTACCTAATTTGCATAAACCATTCTTACCAAAAACACAAAGAGGCGTATTAAGCTTAACTGTACCCTGAAGAATTTCAACTCCTAGAACAAGGGGACTTCTGCTACAGAATGCGCAGTTTGGGAGTATTCTGAGCTTGACTGGGAATGTTGCCTCCTCAGAATGTTTGGATTTGTCCATTTTAGACACATTTTCTGTAAACTCATTGTAGAAATCGTACAAGTGGTAGATTATGGGAGCCAGGAAGAATTTCACATCCAATTCTTGTGCTGTCTCAACCAGATCCTTCTCAAGTGGCACGTCGAATGACAGAATGACTCTGTAGAACTTGTTGTTCATTCCGCCACACTTCAAAATATCCTTCTTTTTTATTCTGCCTAAGGAGACATTTGATACTGGAACTTTCTTGCTCTTCAAAAATGAAAGAAGCGCCTCCATTGATCCAAGTGTGTTTGCAGCAACATGAACACCTTCTTCAACAGTCTCAATCTCAGACATAACAGCCTGAAAGTCCTCCTTCAGCAACTTTATGGCTTCTGATTCAACCAATCCTCTTTTTGTGCCTATGACGTACAGTTTGGATCCAGCCACTGCATTTTCAATTGAGTTGTTCTTATCTAGTGATTGGGCTACCAACTTGATTCCCATGGATGCCTTCACGCTCTTGACAGAAAGATACTGTGATTTGACTCTGAGTTCCTTGAGAGGCTGTGGAACCAGAAGTGTTCGGATTGTTGCTGTTATTGGTCCATCAATTCCATTCAGTGCTACTTTATCGCCTTCACGAAGTGTTCCATTACTTAATATTCCATCTAATGTTAATCCGAATCCTTCAACCTGTTTCACTTCCAATACTGTGCATTCTACAAATTCCTTGATCTTCATCTTCTCTAGCATAAACTGATGTGACAGTCCCAAAAACAATTTGATCAAATCAGGGATGCCTTCGCCTGTAATCGCAGATGTTGGAACAAGTGAGACCACCTTCTTCACATTCTTGTTTTCGTTGAACAGTGCTGCATTTAGTTCTTGTTCAGCAAATCCCATGATTGTTTTATCAACTAGTGATCTGAATTCACTTTGTGTGTAATCTGACTGCTTTTTGAGATCAAACTGTCCGTATTCTGTGCTATTCCACTGGTATATTCTGTCTATTTTGTTTAGTGCGACAATAAAAGGAGTTTTACGCTGCTTTAGTAGCCTGATGCTTTCAATTGTTTGTGGTTCCAATGCATGACAAATATCTACAACCAAAATAGCCAAATTGCACAGCGATGATCCTCTTGATCTCAAATTGCTGAATGATTCGTGTCCAGGCGTGTCTATCACCAGAATTCCTGGTAAATCTGGAATTGCTAGACCACACTTTTGAGCCAATATTTCTGTTGGAAAGAATGTTGCGCCAATCTGCTGAGTGATTCCACCTGCTTCACCGCCTTGTACGTTGCTTTCTCTCAATTTATCCAGTATTTTTGTTTTTCCAGTATCCACGTGTCCCAAAATGCAACAAATAGGCGACTTGTAATTTCTTCCTTCTTCTTTCTCAATTTTGTTCTCATTGGTATCCTGTTCTAGTTCATTTTTTACCATTTCTTTCTTCCTTGTGCACATCATGATTCTATTCAGGTTCTTCTTCAGTTTCATTGTTTTCTCAGACGCTTCTTTTGCTGCTGCTTCTCTTGCTTCCACCTCAATTCGTTCTTTTTCCAACTTTTCACGTAGCAATTTTGCTTCCTTTGCTATTTCAGCTTGTGCATCCTTCAGAGCCTGATCTTCCTGTGCCTTTGACTGCTGTTGCTTCCGTAATGCTGCTATGTTCAGTGTTCCCTTCCTTTTTGGTCCACTGCTGCTTACAATTGTTTTTGTTACGACTGTCTTCTTTTTATCTTTTTCTTCTACCATTTTATAGGATAAAAAATAAGAATTCTTCCATAATTCATCTTTATTACTTTCTCCACATGTTTTATCGCTGTATAAACATCTTAATCATGCTTGTGAGACCACTGGCACCACCTGGAATGAATGAGATTGCAAAACATACAAATGATATCACTTGCATAATCATCAGTAACATTGAGAGCAGATAGAATGCCTTGGATGCCGTATAAAGCGTAAAGAACGTAGTCACAAGGAATGTGTACGTGTACACTCTCTTATGTGGTGCATTGAGTCCCTTCAGATACGTCCTAAATCCCTTTATGAATCCAATCATCGTAAAGAAGAACAGATTGCTGAATGCGTATGGGATTGCGAACTTAGATGGCTTGATTGGCAAATAGATCGTGTTCATGAGAGCATAGAAAAAAGTAAGTACACCAAGTATCAAACAAACGAAGAATGCGAGGAATCTTTGGCTGTGTGTGAGACCCAAGTGTTCCACGTCAACCTTCTTCTTGAAGATGCTGCTTCCTTCTATTGGTATCGAAAACTTGCCGCTTTTCTGTTTCTGTAATGCTTGGAAGAGTGAGTCGTTGTTACTGTACATTGGGCCCTCAAAATAAAAAGTTTTTATGTTTGAAGAATTGTTACATGCATAAACAAACAAACTAAAATAATGGTAAAATGGTCTATATTGATGGAATAAAGGGATGTTGATGACATCTATGTCATTTCCATGGTCAATAGAATCATTTCCCATTTTTAGACCATGGAATTTGAAGGAAATGGAATAATTTTCTACAAAGAACGGATGAACAGAATTAGCCAGTTTTCAGATGCAGAAGCATGCATTAATATAGATAAACTAGTCATTTGTATGAGAGATGATAATCCAGAAGTGCGCAAATGTGTAATTGAACGTTTGCGTAAAATCAAGGAATCTAAAATATTTGATCTCAAATTGCTTGAAAGAAGCTGTTTTCTGGTATGTGACAGGGATTCAGATGTCAGATTATGCTATGCGAAGTTACTTCATCGATTCAGGAACATCTCTTGCAATGACAAGGAAAAGTTGTTTGATAAAAATGAACTTGGTTTGTTTATTTATGCAATAGAAGATGAAGACATCGCAGTTAAAAACGAGTTCATAAAAGCACTTGAACATTTCCTGGTACCAGAAGCAGTGAACTTCCTGATTGATATGCTCAACGAAGACTCAGAAATAATCAGGATGACTGTAAGTAAGGTGTTAAAGAAAGCAACGAAGATCAAGAATGAGGAAGGGATGGTCATAAAGTGCACAGATTCTCAAATCAAGTTCATTCTACTCTGTTTGGAGGAGAACAACACTGTGATCCAACACAATGTGCTCACAGTGCTCTCGCATCTCTATCAAAACAGCGAGAAACTCTTCTTTGCTTTGTTACGCAATAGAACACTGAATGATGAATTGAAAATCAACAAACTTCTGAAAATGGTCGAAAACAACACGGGATTCTTTCTGGAATATCTGAATAAGAATGTGGACTATACGTTTGATAATAACAATACACTCAAAGATGAGAAGTATTTTGGTGATTTAATCATTCTGAAGGCGGTGTTGAAGGAGAACAAGAACATGATTTGTCAAATATCAGGAAAAATTAAAGAAGACCTGAAATTCCTCGAATTCAAATTGAGGTCAAAGAATACAGGTGAAATTGATTTTGATAAAGTTGAATGTGATCTGATAGAAAATAAGAGACTGATTAGAAGCAAATGTGAGAGAATGTGTAGGCTTGAAATTGATGATAGCGTAATACAATGCGAATACGATGAGAACATGAACGTGGCTGATTTCATTGAGAAGAACTTCAGGGTTCAGGATACCATCAAATATTCACCAGTAGCATATTTCATCAAGAACAATCAAATGATTGTGCCATTTGGTGAGTTAATAAAGCTGTTTTATACAGGAAACTATGACAAAAGCATTGCACAATTCAAGAACACATTCTACATGATTGTAGGACCAACTGAGGTAGAGAAATATTTGAATAGGCCTCTAATATTTGATCTAACAGTCCACTATGATGAAAAGAATACATCAACACTACTAAGAAAACTGAAAGTTGTAGTAACAGATGGAACAAGATCACTTGTGTATCCGATTAAAAAAATACTAACGGTTTTACTGGAAGAAGAGAACCTGGAGAAATTGGAGTGTTTTATAGCAGTTGATCTTGGTGGAAACATCTTGAAATTGGGCCAGAGCATCACAGTAGCAATCAAGAACGGTACTGGTGAATTGGTGTGACACGAATTAAACAAGCATGAATTTATGAAAAAGTTTTGTTTGTTTGCCCTTAATGACAAAGCAGCCTGAAGCACGACAAATCATTCAGTACAACAAGAAGAGTATAAGGAAGATGAAGAATGTGGTTGGAGATGCAGAATCAGCACTCTCTCTGACAGCAATGCAAGTTTTGGTCTTCTACCTTGTTTTCATTCTAATGGTGTTTGGATGCCATCTGGCATGCAAATTGATGCCTAATGCATCTCCAATACAGCTGTTTGTGGCTGTAATTGCTATTTCTTGTTCTATTGGTTTCTCAGCCTGGTACAAACAAAAATAAAGAACTTTGTTTATCCATTCATGCCCATTGACAAAAATATTCAGAAGAAATTGAACAAATTTCTAGGACCAGAGTTCTTAGCAGTGAGACAGGGAGCAGGTGGAAGCAAATTAACGTACGTGGAAGGCCACATGGTCATCGAAATGGCCAACCGAATCTTTGGCTATAACGGGTGGAAAACAAAAATAAAAAAGTTGAAACAGGAATACTGCGATGATAAGGATGGCAAGGTGTCAGTTGCATACACATGTATATGCAGAATAATGCTATCAGATGGAACTACGAAGGAGGATGTTGGTCTTGGCCATGCTGAGAATCAAAGAAGTAAGGCGCTGGCAATAGAAAAGGCAACTAAAGAAGCAGTTACGGATTCGTTTAAACGAGCATTTAGACAATTTGGAAATGTGTTAGGTAACTGTTGCTACGACAAAGGGTACATTGGAACTGTTTCGAAGATGAAAAAACCAGTAGAGAAACCTGACTACTCAAATATGCTGAGAAAGACGGACCTATTTAATGAAGAGCACGTTATAAATGAGAGTGAAATACCTGAAGACTTCTTTGCGACAAACAAATAAACTATAAGCATAAATATACAAACTTTTAATCCCTTATGCAACTAGTGAAGAATATGCTACGAGAACCAAACAGAATCTGTGACGTGGAGATGATTGAAATGGACAACGTGTGCTATTTTGTTACTGGAATGTACAACAAAGTCGTTGTGTACGACACAGAGCTAAATGAGCTGTTCAGTTACAAAACAGGCTTCTTCACACACCTTGTGAAAATTGAAGAGAACACAATTCTGGAGGTTGGAGCAGCAGCAACAACGCAGACTACGCTACAGAAGAACAAGAATGGCGAATTCGTGCGGACTACGAAAGTCCACAGCTTTGAATTCCCAATTCAATGCAACAAAATTGTCAAATTTCGCATTGATTCAGCGGTTAAGGCTGTTTTGTTTGGAAAGGGCATTTTTACGGTTATCAGAAAACATGAAGACGAATTGAACTTCAAGGTCTTTGACAACTTCGAATTGGCGAATATTCTGAGTGTATTTGTTCTATCACAATGCACAGTTGGATTACTCTTTGAGAACTACACGAACTATTTCGTAACAAGCCTGGATTGCTGTTCACATACGCACACCAAAACACAGGTACTTGATAGTGATTCGAAGTTGAATTTTAAGAATAAGGTCAAAGGATTCAAGAACAGACAACTCTACACGAATCTACAAGCATTTTATCACGTAGACACTGTTGTATACTGTGATGGAAGCTGTCTGTTCTATGAAGAGAATAATGTTCAAAAATGCAAGAAACTTGGTAAGGAAGTTGGTAGCATCAATTCATTTAGCTTCAATAGTGAGATCACCTTGGTATATGGAGATGAATACTGCTACATGCTCAACAAAGAGTTCAATTTGTACTATTTGGGTGAATCAAACATTCGTGGTAATATTGTACGGGCTAATGGATTAATGTTTGCTGCAACCAGTACAGGATATTCTCAATTCAAATCGGATACAGAAAACAACAAGTTGATTTGGTCAAAGAACAAGGAGACTGAGAAAGAGTTGATCAACGCATTCTACAACAGATCAACAAAATGCAATGAACTCATCACTGGAAACAAACAGATCAGTTGCAGATTTGAATATGATGCTGGTGAATTCAATGACATTGTGTACTGTTACAAGGACATAGACATTTGTGTGATAAGCACCCTGAATCAGTTTACAATTTGGTATAAAAATAACACGTATCATGGAAATGATCAAATAGTTGATATCAAAATGAACAAGAATGGTTTCATGGCCTGTTCGAAGCGCATTCTGTACGTCATGAAAGGAAGTAATTTTGATCAATATTACACTGGTAATGAGATTGTATTGTCCCAGTTTGGTGGAATAATCTACGATAAAACCTACATGACCATTTTGAAAGATGACACAGCCAGAATCTACAAAATTGATAACATTTCTGAAATCTACGAAGTGAAGGATGAGATTTTTGTAGAAGAACCAGGTGAAGAAACTCGCATTTTCTACGATTTTGAGGAGAATATCGCAGAAAAATACGGTGATGAAATTGGCGTATACACAATATTGGATACTGTGGTAAAGGATGGAATAACATTTGAGTACTACGATCAAGTATTCATCACAAAGCCATCCAAAGAATACACAGACCCAGATATCACAAAATTGAACCTGAATACAAATCAGAATACAGGAAATCCAATAATTGAAGCATTCTACACAAACGAAGTCAGAAGATTCAAACGCATTGAAACTATCAATCAAAGGAAGGCCATGATAACAAAACACATCAAACTAAGAGACAGAATGATCCATCACAGTTCTCTAGGCACCATCATCACCAAATACGACACATTTGTCTTTGGTAAAAGAGGAATAGACTACATTTGCGTAGAGAATAAGATAGTTAGGTTTGATAGGAAGAAGGTGCAGTTAACAACCACTGAATTGGAATTAGAATTCATCAATTTCGAGGATGATTACAGAAACAGTCTTGTATTTGAAAACAAGGAGTATTTGATCTATGAGAAATACGATAGAAACATCCACGAACTGTTTCTCTGTAGAAAGAACAGAAACAAAATTGTATTCATCACCAGCCTCAAATACGAAGTAGCAACCAAATGCATTGTAGAACGAATCAACGAGAACAGAATTGCACTGGTTGTGAATGATATCGTAGATGGATTTGTACTGGTAATTTATGATATTGGCAATTTCAAGCTGACTGAGGCAATAAGGTACCCAATCAGTCACAAAGTCATAGCAGTTGCCCATAATCCAATCAATAACTCCCTGTGTGTCTGCACCAGTAGAAACATTCTGGTTTTCAAACTGTACAACAACCTGATCAAATTGATCAACACCTTGAGTTGTGAGAATGTGATCTACGTCAGACGAATGATGCTGATCAATATCACATTGGTTCTTGAGATGAATCACAATGCATACACAGTGATCAACAACATCTTCTACACCAAAGACAGTGATTGTCCTAACAGACCCATTCCATACATTGTTCCTGATTCAACTGCTACCAAATACGCTGATGGATCTGATATTGAGCTAAATGGCCTGATTCAGAAGGAGGAGCCAAACGATGATGAATTCCGCTTTGAAGACAGACTGAAAAACACCTACGAATTCCACATTCCATCCACATCCCAGTTCAAGCCAGGCCTCCTCTTTGAACTGTTCAAGTTCCATCCCCCATCATCAATGGAAATAATGCACGAGTTCATGGTAGAGGATTACTCCCTATACAACTTGATAGTTGATCCATCCATCACCAGTATCACGTACACAAATGGACTAGTTGTGTCAAAACATGATGGATCAGTCTACCTCTTTGATTAGAAGACAGGGTTGTGAATGATAGTCATCTTACTAGCCACAATACCAAATTATCACTTTCTCTCAATAATGACAGATCACTAAACCTGTCATTATTGAGTATTTAAGAAATACTGGAAAAAGAGGGGTATCTAACTGAATGACTAAGGCGAGACGTGATGCAAAGCAAGTGGATAAGGCTGAGACTGGTAACGGCCAATCAGATGCAACAGCACAAGTAGCCCCAAAGACGGTAGATTGTGATTTGATCAATAAACCCAAGAATCCTCGCAAATTTTACCCAATGTCGAAGGATGCGCCAAAGAATGCGCATGATTTAGCAGGAGACTGTAAAGAGAACACCTTTGACTTCAGTACTGTGGTAACTGGCCTGGATATGGATGGAGAAGTGACATTGGATACGCTACTGCAGTCATTTAGCACAACTGGAATCCAGGCATCCAACATCCACAAGGCCATTCTTGAAATACGTCGAATGCGTGAAGCAAATGCCAAAATATTCCTAGGATGCACATCGAACATGACATCGTGTGGAATCAGAGAAATCATCAAATTTCTGGCCAAACACAGCCACATCGACGTCTACGTGACGACAGCAGGTGGAATTGAAGAGGATTTGATGAAATGCAAGGCACCAACCTATTTGGCTGATTTCAAGTTGGATGGTAAGGAGCTCAGAGAACAGGGGTGGAATAGAATTGGAAACATGGTGGTTCACAACCGGAACTACTACGCATTTGAGCAGTTTATGACGGCATTTCTGAATGAGATTGTTCTGGGAAAGGAGGATGCTGAATTCAACACCAAAAATGGATACGTCAGTTTGATGGATGATCATAGGCTGGTTAAGAAGGTGATCAGGGATGATGGTGTAACCTGTGTCTGTATTACACCATCAGAAATAATACGCCTTCTTGGTAAGAAGATCAATGACAAATCGAGCATACTCCACTGGTGCTACCTGAATGGAATCAGGGTCTACTCTACCGCAATCACTGATGGTAGCCTGGGTGACATGGTCACATTCTTCCCACATCGTGATCAGCTGATCATTGACATCTGTGCTGATATCCACAACCTGAATTGGGAGTCAATCCACACTAGTGAGAATGGTGCAATCATTTGTGGTGGTGGATTGATCAAACACATGATATTCAATGCCAACCTATTCAATAATGGACTGGAATATTGTGTATTGGTGAATACTGGAATTGAACACGAGGCATCAGATGCTGGGGCTGATATCAGCGAGGCGTACAGCTGGGGGAAAGTGAAGCCAAACAGAAACTGCGTAAAAGTGTGGGGAGAGGCATCCATCTGCTTCCCACTGGTTGTTTACGGTGGATTCAAGTCAATGACTGATTTCAGTAGCAAATAGCATTCTACCACCCTATTTGTCACATGAATACGAATAGTCTCCTATTCTTGTATTCCAGTGTGTCAAACAGAGCCAATAAATAGGTGAATGCCTTGTTTCTCCTATCGTTCTTGATTCTGCTCTCCATTGCAATGCTAATCAACTCCTCTGTCACCTTCAAGTGCCTGATATTCTGTGCCAAATAGTAGTTGCTGATTGCATCATCGTATTCTTCTACCAAATGCAACAGGTATCCATTTGCCAAATAGTAGTGGAGTCCCTCTGTCTCACTGCATTGGGCCATCTCCTTCTGTGCCTCCTTCAGCCTGTCTGTCATCAGGTAGTAGAACACTCGTAGCACCGTATTCCTCTTAGCGTGTTTCTGGGCATCCTTGTTCCTCTTGTTCTCAAGCAGAAAGTAGGCGTAGTTTGATCCAAATGCACCAGAATACTCCATTGCTATTTTGTAGTAATAATTGGCAATGCTGAATCCATTGGATCCCTGGTGCTCGCATGCTAAATAGTACGCTGGTAGACTGCTATCAGTGCATATCAGATACGCCCTATCCAGGTGACGTAAGGCGTATTCTGATTCACGTAACATGCTACAGCATATTCCCAGGTAGAGATGGCTCATTCCACTGTGGCTGTTCTGATCCAATCCACGCTCCAGTCTCCTCTTTGCCTCCTTGTACTGCTTCTTTGAGATGTAAAACAGACTCAGAATCAGATTGACGTGTTCATTGGCACCGTGGTGCTCGCTGAAGTAGACTGCTCTCTTGAAGAGTGTCTTCAGGTGTGTCCTGGTCTCATCCACCGTGAATAGTGGCAGATATAGATCAGTTAGTGGTGTATTGTACAGCTTGTTTGATTCACCACTGAATATGTCAAGTAGTACGTCACGTATCAGGTTGAGTTTGATGGCTCTGATGTGACCTATGAATACGTCATATCTGATCATTCCATCCTTAAACAGGAGTATGATGGCCTCTGTATTATCTGAATCCTCTTCTAATGACCGTATCAGTGAGTCGTATCTAAGTCGATCAGTCTCTGTCAATGCCTTATAAAAGTGAAGCAGGGAGTTGTATCCAATTTCGTAACTGGTTACTTTGGGAGTCAATTGAATGGTTCCTGTTTGAGGAGAGATGTCCAATACGCCGCATTTAGCACAGATCATGGCCACCTGCCTGTATTTGAGCAATGCTGGATCCTCTCTTGCCATTTCTACGACACGAGCGTGGTCTCCACTGTGGTAGAGTGTCTCAAGCAGCAACACGCGTGTCTCCTCACGTTGGTCGTGTTGCGCCTGAAACTGTGCCAGAAGCAGCGCTGTCTCAAACAGCCCTGTTTTGTTGTAGTAGGCGATGAGTTCAGGCAGTTCAAACATTGGGGTTGTTTTGGTAGCAAATTATTCTACTGAAATATTCTGCCGTATTTTGTCTTATTTTCAGTAGAGCAGTTTTCCAGGACAATTGCACGAACATTTTTCAGTAGGAGCAATTCCGCCTCAGTTGGCCTGGTTGATTTGCCACGGATCATTTCAACAACTCGTTTCACATTTCCAACCTCATCGTCTCCTCCAAACACGTCAGAGACGATGCGTGCTTCCATTGCGTGCATTATTTCACTCAGAACAACTCCCTTTTGGGCTGAATCAGATGGCAGCTCTCTTTCCACCTCAAATGGAATTCTTAGGCTGTGAATCGCCTTGAATCTGTAGATCAACTTCTCAAGTGATATCTCATCAACCTTCCTGAGATAGCGTGTCAGATACATCCGTAGCATCCTGGATTTCAGGTCACTCATTCCCTTCTGATTCAGCACCTGTTGAAGAGAATCAAGTTTGATGTTCTTACGCAACTTCTCTTCCTCGTCCTTCACAAATCGATCTTGAAGCAATTCAAACTTCCTGTACAGGTCGCCCCTGAATGAGCGTAGAAACAGTCCACGAGGTGTCTCGGAATCAGATGCGATTTTAGAGAGGCTGATTATCGTGATAGCACGAGACTGCTTGAACATCTGATCAAGAAACTCAAATATCAGTCCAGAGACGCCCTTGAAGATGTCAATTGCACCCTGTTCACCAGTCTCGTCCTCTTCGACCAAATTGATCAGGAAGTTGAGCTCACACGTCACCAGTGACTCAAATGATTTGATCAACACGTCCATCGACAGCTGCATCTTCTCTGGATCATTCACGAGCTTCAGAATCGCATCGATGTGGGCTGCAAACTCAGCCTCGTACAGCCGCTTTGAGTGGAGCGTGTAGGAGCCAAAGACCATTTTGAAGGTGTCTTCGTACTTCTTGCTGTGCGTGAAGATGAATCGATACTGCTTGATCTTGTTGTAGAGGTCTCGATGCACCTTCAGCTCGCCCTGGCTCTCTGATCGCACGAATGTCTTGTTCAGGTAGCTCACGAATCTCTTGAAGAAGTCACGTTGGCATCGCAGCACCTTCTCCTTCGTCTCTCGCACAATTCGAATCGTGTACTTCTCTACGCGGAATCCAGCCAGAATGTTCAGCGACTCCTGCATTTTGACGAGATCGTCCATTTTGGTGAAGCTGCCGTTGTCGAGGATCTGAAGATGCGTGTCATCGATGCTCAGGGCGAGAGTGAGGCTCTTCAGCTTCTCGAAGACGTCCTTGTCCCTGTTCAGTCGCGTCTCCAGCTCCCTGTTCTTGTCCTGGATCATCTGCAAGTCCTTAGCAAGTGAATCAAGCTGAATATCGTAGATCTCGAAGTTTGTTTTGATTCCAACAACCTGGTCAGAAATCACCTCAAGATGCGACTTGATTCCACCAAGTCGTTCGATGTACTCCTGCAGGTTCCTGATCTTGTTCGTATCGGAAGTGGGCTGTGCGTTGTGGAGGAAGATCTCGTCTATTTCTTGCTCAATTGCCATGGGCTAAAATGCATAACATTTATTTATGCTTATTAGGATGCATCAAACCACGAGATTCCTAATTCTGTTTTCATACAAATAGACCAGGTCACCGAGTTCCAATGCACCGTAGAGGCCATCTGCAACTTGTCTGGCGTCGTTGAACGTGATAGACGTGTCCTGTGACATCAGAATGTATGTAAGGGTGTTTTTACATGCTTCAACAAATGCCACTTCTTTAAGGTTGTTTTCCCTGTAGAATTCTTTGTTTGTTCTGTAACTATTTTGTTTGTATGGTTCTATTCCATAATACGCATAAAGTAGGTAGTTTTTGAATGAGTCGCTATTGTAACTGAAAGATGGGTTACTGAATCCCCATAGCAGTCCGTCATCCTCTGGAACATTCTTCCCACTCGCATTGTCCCTCATTTCCAATGTCTTTGAATTGAAACTAGGCAAATCGTGTCTGTTGTAAAATACATTTGCCTTGTACCCAGTTTCGTTCCTTTTCACTGTTCCCAATTCGTGTTCTGGTAGATAGAATGCATTTCTCAAGAACTCTTCTGCATCCAACTTGCTGCTTTCATCGTATTGCGTCCTCTTGATTCCAGTGCATATTTGCCCATCATAGCATAAACTATCTGGATTCTTCACTTCCAGACTTCCATGTTCTATTTCACCGTAGAAGTAGATCTTCTCGCTTTCTGGTAGCTTCTCCCACAGCTCCGTGATGTATTTGTCACTAAGCTGCTCCTTTGATACGTCCATGATCTGTGCCTTGAAGTTCCTGAATCCTGATTGTTCAGCCATGGGCCCCTGAAACAACAAATTAAAAAGTGAGCAAATCGGAATGTGATCGGCCATCAGACACGACGAACTGCCTGATTCCACTCTTCTTCATCCAACTTGGTCTTCTCTCCCAGAAACACCTCAATGAACTTCAATACGTCGTATTTGTTGATTTGCAGCGTCTTTCTGACTGGGACACTGCTGGCCCATGTCATGTAGAAGTCAATGACGTAATCAACCTGATCCATCACACTCTTCTTCTTGTTCACTCTCAGAATCCTCACAATTCGTGATAATCCATCATCTGACACCAGAAACTTCTTTATGTTTTCACTCGCTTTGTACGCTTTCTGCTCTGGCTTCTCCTCATTCGCTTCGTTCTTTTGAGTCTGTTCAGTCGTCGTAGCAAGCAACGTGTCCACGCGTGTCGTGAAATGGCCAATTTCGTCTGTTTTTATCCTTTTGCTTTCCATGGTCTAAAAATGCCTACTTTTTCAGGTAGTCCATGATTTCACCCTTGTTTAGTACTCGTTTGCTCAATACTTCAATCATCACTCCCTCGTAGTTGCCCTCTATTATTCTATCTGTCATGGCATTGATCATTTCATCATCCAACATCCCCAACTTGTACACGTAGCCTAGAAACACTTTTATCAATTTTTTGTTCTGATCGTTCAATGAGTCAAATCCCCTCGTTTTCAGATCAAGCAGCTCATTTCTCATCTCAAAAATCTGCTGTTTCTGGCTCAGCAGAATCTCGTAGTCCTCGTTGAACTCGAATGGATCTGAGCTGCTTTCACCTGAGAAATCTGAAATGCCCTCGTTTGAGGAATCCCCTGCCATTGGGCCTAAAATAGGCAGTTTAATTATTCATCAATGTTTGTGATGCGACCATTGGCCACGAAGAACGTGCCCTCGATCTCCTGTCTGACTTGCAACAGCTTCTCGCCCAGCATCCTCCCATTCTGAGAGTAGCGAGAATACTTCTTCTTGATCTCAGTCAGCTCGTTATCCAAGTCCTCCCATGTCCGCACATTCCCCAAATCAATCTCCAAATCAAAGTTCTTGGTGTCGTGCTTCTTGAACATCTGTGCCAGAATCCTCTTTGATCTCGTTGGTTTTGGTTGAATGTGCTGTGATATGAACATGTTGATCTCCTCCTGTAATATCTCAGCCGTGTGATGGATCTCACTGTTTTTCAGGTTGTATTGGAGACCATTTCGTGGAATCCGCCTCAAATCCAAACAGAGACAGTCGCACGTCTGATACTTCACTCCCTTTAGATCATCATTGATCACCAGCTTCTCCAATACTCTTTCCAGACACATTGGTGTTCTGATTACGTCATTGTAGTTCTTGTAGTCTTCCGTATCAACCATTTTCCTGAATACCGAATACTTCTCATTTTGAAGCAGCCCAGTTACGAAATCAATGGCCTCTTTTCTGGTCACCTCATCCAGCAGTGTCACGGTCTTCTGAATTGTGGAATGCTGGTAGAGCGTCTTCTCTATCACTGAGACCATGTTCTTGCATCCAAGATAGACCTTGCTTGTTATTGGAATGCATAAGAATACAAATCTGATACTTTTTGAGTAGAGCGAATCAAGGAAGTTGGCCAGCGTGTAATGCTTGTTGCTGCCACCCTGTTTCTGCTCCATGTGTGTCACAATCATCCTCTCTCTGGTGTACTCTTCCTCTGTTCTTCTTATTGGAAGTGCATCGGTGTCGTACTTCTCCATGTGCTTGAGACTCCTGAGATATTTCTCAATTCCAGTAAAACTCTTATTGGCCCTGATTCCTTGCATTATCAGAAATGGAATATCGCAGTTTCTATATCGTATAATGATCCCGTGTGTTCTGAGTCGTAGCAATACGCCCTTGAACTCGTTAATTGGCCTATATTTGGTGTATTTCAGGCATATTTTGAATCTGTTCTCGTACTCCTCAATCTGCTCTTCCTTCACAAGGGGCAGTCTCAGCTTCAGTGTGCGAGCAAACACCATCTTCCGCAACTTAACGAAGTCCCTGAGCACAATCTTCTTTGATCCCAACACCCGTTCGACAACTTTGCTTATTCCCTGCTTGTGTTCCAATGCATAATTGATCTCGAATACTTTCTGCTGCAAATATTCGTGTTCATTCACAGTGTGCTTTCCCAGCACAATTTCGAAGTACTCGCTCTCCTCCAGTCCCATACACGGCCTATACGCATCCAGAATGTCGTTATAGTTCTGCTTGAGCCATACTCTAATGCTCCTGAATCCCAGTTCAACCATCTTTATTATGATCTTCAGAACTGCTACTACGATCTGCCTGTCGCCTACGAATGCCCTGAACTCCACTGTCTCGATGTGAAACAGGAAGAGTGCCTCTATTGCCACCACTCTCAATTCTATGTAATTTGGGTATTTTGATAGCCCAGTCAGAAACTCCTCTCTGAGCCTGATTTTGTTCGCGTATGCAAAACGCATCAAACAAATCAGACACGTCTTCGTGATCAGATTCCTTGGGGACGGAAAGACCATGTCAAGCAGCCTGAATCGCTCTACGCTGCTGAGAATGGTCCTGATGTCCTCATTCAGGTGCAACTTGTATATTGTCAGCTTATTCAGAATATTTGCCAAATAGTATGGATCATCAAAGTGCTCCTTGGTGGTGTCATTGTAGTTGATGATGTTGTTCAGGAACGCCACGACCACACTCACGTTGCTTGTGCCGTCTGCAGTCTCGTTCTGGTCGGTGTGGAAGTCGGTGATCTTCTTCACGAGTGACTTCTGAATCAGAAAGTTCAATATGCCCATTTCGGTGTTTTTTACAATGGTTGAGTTTGGGACGCACCTGAGTTTGATGAACATCTGAATCAGTCGCATGAGCCCGTTGTACTTGGACTCGGTCTCGTCCACTGGATCGTACGTCCTCGTGAACACGTTTGCCAGTATCCCATAAATCCTGTTTTTCACCTGGTGAAAAGTGTGGGGATTCTCTGCCACTCGCTCCAAGACGTCAATGGCCTTGCTGCTCGTGTTGTTTCTGAAGAAGTCGACTCCCTCGAGCTGCCCAGTCACGTTCTTGTCGAGCAGCTGCTCGACGTAGAGGGCCTCGGGCTGGTTGACTCTGATTCGTCCCAGAATCTCTCGCTTGCAGTCTGCGCGAATGAACAGCACCGTCCCCCCTTCCGCCTTCTTGTGAATCGCGTACGAGTTCTGCCCATTCAGCAGAATCTTCTGGTTGAATGTTCCATCTGTTTCGACTGACTTGATTTTCACGAAGGAGTAGTGTGCCGTATTTGCCGTCTTCAGCCTCGTTGTGCTCGTCTGCTTCGTCTCTATCACCACGCGGCCCTTCTTCGTGTTCAGTCGCACGTTCAGGTCGATCACAACCAGCCCGGCATTGAAGACGTAGAAGTCGAAGAAGCTCTTCATGTCCTTCCCAGAGGAGTCCTTGATTATTTTGATGAAAAAGGGCGTGAAGCAGCCCTCGTCCTCAGCCTGCGGCTCCTCGAGCCCAATCAGCTCCTCGATCCCGGTCTCCTGCCCCCGCACCGCCACCAGCGGCTGCCTCTTCTTCGGCAACTCGATTTTGATCACTTTCTGGAACTTCACTGATTTGGTGATTCTGACTGTGATTCGACTCGACGAGGAGTGCGACTGATGCGACTGCTCCGCGTGGACTGGCGGCCTGCTCCTCCTCGTCTCAACCGTGTTGTTTCTGAACTCGTTCTGCTTTGCTCGTGTCACTGCCAGAATCATCTTCTTCACAAATGCACCAGAAAGCTGGTTGTGGAGCGTATGGAAAACCAGCTTCGATTTGGCCCTGAAGAAATGCGACTTGTAGTCGAACTTCCTTCGCTCCGAGTAGAACAGCGGTGGCTCAACCACGTCGTTCTCGATCACAAACTCCTTGTCCTCGCTGTATCGGAACAGAAACGTGTTGTGGCCCATCAGGAACCTGAGAGCCATGTCAGCGAGGTATCCGCTGAGTCCCTGGAATATCCACGAGTCGACCAGGCTGTGGTTGAAGAACATGAACATCTGCTCGGCCAGCAGGTCGCAGAGCGTCTCCTTCAGCCCGAAGTTCATTTCGATGTCCCGTGATCGGCCCAGGCTGCTCAAATTCAGCACAATCAGGTTCCTCCCAGTCAGTGACAAAAAGGGGCACAACGTGAAGACCACAGTTGGAACAGGCAGCTCGCTGTAGCAGTTCATGTACCTGATGATGTTCTGCATGTCCCCTACGAACTCGTCGAGAAACAGGTCGAAGTTTCCAGGCGTGTAGAGCGTCCCCTCTTCCAGAAATGACTGCGCCTGGTACGTTCCAAGGGCAAATTTGATGCTCGATGGACACGTCATCCTTGATTCATACGCATAAATGAGGCTATTCTCTTTCTCGCTGAAGGAGACAAACTTGCCAGAAGATGCAATTTCGATGTTTCGGTTGTTTGGCATCACGTAGATCATCTCGATGTCGGTGATCTGCTCCATGTACGGCGCAGAGTACACCGCATCGTACACCACCATCTCCCTATGCTCGTCATTCTTCCCAACTGGCTCATAGTAGATGACACCAGGAGAGTCCTTCTCCTTCTCGTAGAGCACGCGTAGCACAAAGGTGGAGAGCTTGAATGTCTTGGGAATCTGCAGCTCGAATCCATCAGACTCCTCCTTCGCTGCAGGTCTCCCCTTCGAAACCCATTTTGGTTCAAGTTCAATTCCATTTCCAGCCAATATCTTCGCAGACGTAATGGTCAGGCAGCAGCACCTGAATGTGAATCTGTTCTCCTTGTACTCTCTTCTGACGTGTATTTCAGTGTATCCTGACAGTATTTGCTTCTTGAGGTCGAGATAATACACATTACGCTGTTTATAAATTTTCATTCTTTTAGGGGATTGAGAAAAATTTTAAGGTAGCAAAGTCGCCTGTTTTCGAAATAGGGGATTGGTGGTTGATGATAGACCGTATTGTAACTGTAAATATGGATGATACCACTGTTTTGGGTATTGGATGTGTTGTTTAGATAAATATGCAATATTTGATCTAGGAATGATAAATAGGCAGGTGACTGTTGTGGGGAATAGAATGGTTCAGTGAAACTCATCGTGAAGTAGATGTCTACAACTAAGAGGATAACAGAGTTGACAATCAGGGTAGTGATAAGAGTAACATTGATTAATTATTGATCACTTCAGCAACTTGAGTACTGTATTGATTATACCAGATATTAAGAACTTATCTCTGTTTGAAATATACCCTTTTAGCTTCAACCTGTCCTCCAAATCAAGCAATTTGTGATATTCCAGTAATAAAATGCGACTTTCAAATAATAAATTCTGTACCTGTTCACGTTCTGAATCATTGAGCTCACCTTTTCTCTTTTTATCACCCATTTTCTCCAATAACTTACTTGATCTGATATAATACATGGTTCTAGCTGCATTATACTCCACTACAACAGTCAGAAACTCTCTTTGATCGGTGTTAAACACCTGTTTTTCTTCTACTGCAACGCAATTATCATCAGAATCAGCGGAACACACACATTCTTTACAAATCAATGAGTCTTCTGCATCAGAATCAGTCAAATCATCAGAAGAAGGTTCCTCAGGTTTGATGAATGTGAAATTTGTCTGATATTTTGGTATTTCATAGATTTGAGTTAACACAAGAAGAGGCTCTTCTCTGGTTTCATCCTTGATTTCAGGTGACGAGTCAGCTGCAAAGCGCACACACTTTGAAGCTGGATTTGCTACATCATTTTCACACTGTCTTTTCTTACTAGATGCAGTCATTGAAACAGGAAGAATCAAGTAGCACCAGAACATTAGGGTTCAAAACACCTGATTGAAATTAGAAAACTAATATTAAATTATTCATCAGAGTCACTTGAGTTGCTGTCATCAGAGACCGTTTCTTTGAATTTCAGCTTGTTGTGCTTTGTCTTCTCCCCGTATATTTTTGGTTCTGACATTATGCTGAATGTGCCCTTTGATTCCTCAATTTTGCTTCTTATCACATCCATCACGTTTCTGACTTTCTCAAAGCCCTCTTCTTTGCTGTTGCTCGTTGTTGTGATTGAGAATGTCGGCGTATTCAACAAACAGATCTCCACCTCTGCTTCTGCTGCTTCACCAGCAGCAAGTGCCTCCTTGATCTTAGCCAGTCCATTGCTCTTGTAGCAGTTCACATCCACATCCGCCCTAATCTTCACCTTTTCTGGCTTGAACTCGTTCGTAATCACCTCAACCAACACCCTCTCGTAATCACAGCCTGTGTCTATGATTTCCGTATTCTCTTTCACCGCAGCCAGAAAGTTGTACAATTCCCCATATTGTTCAATACGCCCCTTTAATTTTGAATAAACTGCCCTTGTTTTGAGACTGAGTTTCTTTGCTGCCTTCTCTGCTATTCCATAGGCCAGCTTGTTCTGCTTAAACTGCGTCATTGCCTCCGTCTTCTCCTTCTCATCAACCTGCTTCAAACTCAGGTCGATGTTGCCTCCTTCTATCTTTATGATCTGACACACTTCTGTCTTTCCTATTTTGGTAGCCTGAGATGCGTTCTTGATTCTCTTTCTGCTCAACTCACTTGGCATTATCAGCCCCTCCTTCATCTCGTACTCCAACAGCTGCACCGTCACAACACCCTCTCGTAGTTTCGTTGTCTTCGTCACCACAAACTGCCCTTCGTGCAAATCAACGCTGCTTATCCCACAATCGAACATTCTGGGCCAAAAAGAGCCAAAAATTTAACCCATGGCCAAAATCAAAGGAATCGTCGACCGAATACCAAAGAAAAAGATGATCGACATCTCAACGGGGCTCAGGACACTCTACGCGAGGAAAGAGGTCGTGCAGCTACAAAGAGACTTCCTGGTTGACAACTATTTGAGATACAAGAGACTCTATGAGGAGAATCTGGCGTGTGATAAGAGCAACGAATCACTTGAGGCTGGGAATGCGTGGGGTGTGAAGGACACCAAGACGGTGCTGAAGGAGAAGAATACGCTGATATTTCAGTATGAGAAGGAGATTGCTGGGTTACGAGAGCAGATTGCTTCTCTAAAGGAGGATGAGCCGAAAAAGTTCAAAGAAAATGTCAAAATGGTCACTATCTCGTTTCCAGACCAAGTCAACTACCTGTACGAGGAGATTGGGATTCTAAATGAGAGTATGGCAGATAAAGAGCGAGAGAGCAGGGAGATTGTGTTGGAATTAGAGAATAAAATTCTGGAGTTACAGAAAGCGGTAGTTAGGGCAGAAGAAGCAGCTAATAATGTGACTGAATGTAGGAATAGGAATGCTCTATACGACACACTTGCAGTAACAGAGGCATTGCAGAAGGTGGAGAATGAGAATCTGTTGCTTAAGGGAACCATAAAGAACTTTGAGCAGAAACTCTATTTCCAGGACAAGGAGAACAAGCACAACAAGATGGAACTGGAACAAAGAGAAAAGGCAACTAAAATGGTAGAAATGAGACTGGAGGAGGCTGGTGAGTTACAGAAGACACTTTCTGGGGATGAATACATGATAGAGGAGATCAAGTCAGTTAGTGAGGCATACGAAAATATCACGAAGGAAAACACGAAGCTGATTGAACAAATCAACTACCTGAACAGGAAGAACAGGGAGATTGAAATGCGTCTAGTTGAGAACCAAACGAAGGCGAAGTTGACAGAGAAGAACATGGAGACAACAGCGAGACATGTCAAGGAGATAGAAAAGCTCATGGAGGCAATTGAGACAGCCAGAAACACGCACATTGAGAAATATGGTACGGTTGAGGAAGAGCTGGCTCACAAGACAGCAACGGTGAACGAGCTGAGTAACGCAGTTCGCGTCTACAAACGAGACCTCGGGCTGGTTGAGAAGAGCGCAGAAGACAAAGTCACAACCATTTATGCACAGTTAAATGAAATAAAGGAGCTTAGAGAGAAGAGCGCTGGTTTAGAGAAGAAGGCGAAGACGTACGAGGCCACTGTGAATGCGTACGAGAAGGCATTCAGGGACAATTCGACCACTGTCGACCTGCACATGCAAATCCAGGATCTCAAGGAATACGTTTATTGCGCCTTGTGCAAATCCAACCTGAAGACGCACGTCATCGACACGTGCATGCACTGCTTCTGCGAGGAGTGTCTGGAACACCGTCTTAGAACACGCTCTCGCTTCTGTCCAAAATGCAACCAGGAATACTCCCGTAGTGACATCAAGCGTGTTTATCTGTAAGTAAATTATTCTGAGCCAATCCCCATAAATGGAGACCAATTTGAAAGAAAGACGGTTTGAGAAGGAGTTGGCTGTGGCACCGATGTTGAAGGTGACTACGCCGTGCTTCAGGCGGTTTCTGGGCATCATTTCGCCCACAGTCGCACTCTACACGGAGATGATTGTTGCAAATACGGTCGTAAATGTCACAGACCACAAATTGCGATTTCTGCTTGGGGATCCAACTGAAACGACTGTCGTCCAAATAGGCGGATCGGATCCACCGATGATTGCAACTGCCGTTGAGAGGCTGATTGGAATGGGATACGACAAATTCAACCTGAATTGCGGCTGTCCATCAGATCGTGTCCAAAAAGGGATGTTTGGTGCCATTTTGATGAAGCACAAGGAGCTCGTTTCCGAGATCATCAACTGTGTCTACGACAGGTGTGGTGTGATTATGACAGTAAAGTGTCGAATTGGAGTCGATGAGTTCGATTCGTACGACTTCTTCAGCGAGTTCATCAGTCACATTGCTGATACCACAAAATGCAGGGTGTTTTACGTACATGCCAGAAAGTGCTGGCTCCGGGGATTGAACCCCAGACAGAACAGAAATATACCGCCATTGCACTACGAATTTGTTCATAAAATCAAGGAAGATCGTCCCAACCTGTTTATTGGGCTGAATGGTGGAATCAAAGCCAGAAACATCGATTCAGTAGGCGATTTAGACGGGGCAATGATAGGCAGAGAGGCCTGGAACAACATAGAAGTATTCAACGAGATCAGAGGAGAGGCAGTTGATATGAAAGAGGCCGTTAGGGAGTACTTGGAGTGGTGCAGCACCACAGAGTATTCGATATCACGAGTGGTACAGCCACTGATCAATATCAGAAAGGGAATGGGAAATAGCAAGGCGTACAAGAAGGCACTGAATGACGCAGTCCAGAACAAGACGAAGGACTTCCTTGATTTCTACCAGAATATCGAACACTTCTACCACAGTAATTCAGGTGATTTATTGATCAGTCCATCATGATCTTGTTGTTGAGACCAGCAACCTCCTTGAACACGAGTTTCGCGTACTGGTGGATGATCGATGCTGCCAGAAACATGTTTGTTCCCGATCCAATTGTGCTGGTGATGTCGCAGAATACGATCACGAATGACGTCACCAGCCCACTCAGCACCGATGCAACTGGAATGTACTCGTTGAGCTTCTCGAGCGTGTTTGAGTCCCTGACGCCCTTGATTGAGATGCCCTGGCTCTTGAACTTCTGCTGCACCTTCTCGGCCGTCTCGCCCTGGTTGTCGTTCCAGTTCTTGCTCATCAGCGCAGCAAGGGAGAATGTGAATGTGAGATAGATCAGAAAGTGAATTGGGGCACTGACTCCGTCTGTGACTGAAAGTGGTGGCGTAATGTAGTGGACGAGGCCACCAATTGGAATCTGGCCGTGTTTGTAGTCCATTTCCCAGATACCAAGAAGGCGTACGAGCCTGTTTTCTGGCCACTTTCCAAAGAGCAGTCGACTGACGAGAGAGAGGTGGCTGCAAAGCTGCCCCTGTAGAACAATGGGCGTGTTTGAGGTGTAGAGCAGGTTGATTGGGTAGATCTCATTCACTCCCTTTGCCCTGAGGGAGTAGACGCTCAGCTCGACCCTGAGCTGCTGGATGTAGATCACAAATGCGAAGATGAGGGCGGTGTAGACGAATTGGGCCAAATTGGGCAGATTCTCCCTGAAGAATATTTCGTAGAGGGCATTAAGCTTATTCCTCCTGGCGAACAAAATATGCACCAGTGAAACAAGGCAGCCTTCGAACTCCATTCCACGGCCAGTGTAGAAGACACGCGGGCTCAGCGCAGACCAGACGAACTTCTCGCACACGTTGGCCACGATGAAGAGGTTCACGCCGTTTCCGTAGCCGTATCCCTTCTGAAGCATCTCGTCAAGTAGAATTATTATGAGCCCAGAAAAGAGAAGCTGGACGAATATTATGCATTTGAAAGCAAGTGGAATATTCTCAGTTGGGCCGTAGAAGCCAGTCTGAATCTGGAGAATGGCCTGCAGCACCGTGATTGTGATGGCAAACATCTTGCTCAGGCACTCGTAGAGCACCTTGTCCTGGACCACGCTGTAGTCTACGACTACCAATCCAGCCGTAGTCAGGAAGTTCATTATCATGGACGCAGAGACAACTGGGCCGATTCCAATGTCCATGAGGGTGCCCCTGTTCGATGCCATCATCACTCGCAGCCACTCGAGTGGATCCTTGGTGTTTTTGTTGACCATTCCAAAAAGTGGCACCTGTGATGCCACGCTGTAGACCAGGATGGCCATTGCTGTCCAAAACAGCTTGTCGTTGATATTCAGTGACCTGAGTGGAGCACGCACCTCTGGAATGACCGAGAGGAACGGGCGTGCTATGAGCACCGTCGATGCGAAAATGGATTTTTCCTTTTTGTTTGGATTCTGCATTGTAACGGGGTATAAAAAAGAAGGAAAAGCAGGGCAAAATGGAAATGGACGAAATGGCCTAGGCAACTGGAACAGGGTATTGGACCAGGGTATTGGAAATTTAATAAGGGTTCAAGAAGTGTAGGAAGAAGTAGACCCCATGAAGAATGATCAGGGTGTTGGTGAAAGAGTGACTGTGGATGAATTGGATGAGAAGAGTGATTTACTGGTTGACATCTACTCAGAATACTGCAAGAGTGGGAGACAGAGCAGTTGTAGTCTGATTGATCAGGATCCTAATAAAAATGATACGGTTGAAATCAGTCAGAATGAGAGAGTGAGGGTGGAATACGACAGATTGAATCTGGTTGATAAGGTCTCATTTGATAAGATGCTGTTGAATTACTACAAATTGATCAGTATCAGAAAGAAGACTGATTTATCAATAGATACGCGTAGAATAATAGGTGAACTTGATTCATATGGAAACAAGGCATCAAAATTAGTATCAGAATTACTCAATGAGATCACTGGTGATTTGTTGGTGAAATCAGATACCACGTTATCAGACACATTACAGTCATTCATTGATCAGTGTAACAATCACATCAATAATATCATATTGATCAGTGGATTAATGCATATCAAGAATGATCTATTTCAAATGGATCAGAATGGGAAGCAGGAGTGTCTGTTGGGTAGTGGCATCGACTACTTCACTAGCAGCCAGAAGAAGGAGAGCTGTTTGAACAGGTTGAGAGTGCTTGTTTCTCAGGTAGAAAATGGTGCACCAAATTCAAGCAGAATATCCCACCAAATCAGAAGCAGCCTTGAATCAATAATGGAGACACTCCATGGCAACTAATATTACTGATTTACGCCTGTTATTCAACCTTGGATGGCTCCTTCTTGACCATTTTGTCTGTTTTGTACTTTTTGTAGTTGCTGACGATCTGTTTCAGTGGCTCTGCCTTCCCATTCATGAAGTTGGTTTGTATTCTACGAATGAATCCACCAAAGTCGTAGTCCAAGAATGCCATTTTGTCCATGTACGCAACCAGATTCAGAATGAGCTGGTTTCCAGAGGAGTTGAACTTGTCGCAGGAGCAGAAGATGTCAAGGAACTCCTTGCACAGTCTGCTGTTGTACAGGTTGAGACAGAGCATGAGATCGTCTTCAGAATAAATGTCCTGGAAGTGGCTGGCCTCGTAGTTTTTGTTGTCGCAGCCTGTGAAATCGAGATTGTCGTGTTTTGAGCTCTCTTCGGTCTCACTTGAAATCCCCAGAGTCTCCTTGGCCTTGAAGTCGATGTCGTCGATGTTCTTGGTCTTGTAGAGCTGCTTCTTCTTGAGGAGATCGACGTAGTTGAATGTCTCCCGCATGTCCTTGATGATGATTTTGATCCATTTGTCAGGCTTGTAGAAGACACGCTGCTCTCGGCTGAAATCAATGTCGATCAGATCGAGAATCAGGGCCCTGATGGCCAGGATCTTGTGGCCAAGTCCAGCGTGGATCAGCCTCATTTTGGTCTCTTTGTTTGTGGCATATTGGGTGATGTTCAGCAGCAGAAGGAGCTTCTTGTGCCCAAATGGTCGATGGTCTACGATTTTATCAATGGATCGGCGCACGTAGTGCTCAATGAGCTCAGCCTGTTCGCATTTCTCAAATTTGCGTATTTTCTCATTTATTTCCCTAAACAGGTGTGTCATGGGCATTAGACCATAAATATTTATTCAGTCTTCGATTCATCCCTCTTTTTCTTTATTTCACTCACTGTTGGTATTCTGATGTTCACCTGTTTCTTTCCAACGTATTTGCTCGTGTCAATGCGTCTTTCTCCTGTTGGCATTTCCATTGGCTTCTTTTTGAATATCTTAGGCGCAGTGGACTCATCCGGCTTCCTTCTGAACAGATTGAAGAGAGAGCCAATCACAGAGCTGTCTTCGTGGTCTCTTCCGTAGATGTTGAACTGTTCGTCGTCATCTACGTCTTTTTTGGATACCACTGGCTTCTCTGGTTTCTTGACTTCCTCTTTTACATCTGCTTTCAACTCAAATGCATCTGACAGGTCTTCTTGTGATCTGATTCGACTGGCATCGCGTATTACAGTGTTCTGGAGAATGGGAGTGGATCTAGCAGCCATTGGAGGTGTGCGAATCCCAATTTTGTTTGTTGGTGGATTTATGCTTTTATTAAGCTTATTATTCAGTAAAGTGTTCATGTTTCGTGGTGGAGGTGATAAAAATGGCTTTCTTTGCGTCTCTGTTTCCTCTTTCTGTGGCACTTTGGTCTCTTTCACTTCCTCAGGTTCTTTATAAAGTGGTTTTGAATTGTGCTTACTTACTGTATTTGTTTTCCCCTTCATAATTTCATCATAGTTTACGTCAGTCAAGAGCATTTCTACTAGTGATCTGCATACATCTCCTTCTGTCTTTTCTCTTCTTATGATGTTTTCAACATTCTTTCTGTATTCCTCTCTTACCTTCTTCTCAGCCTGTTTCTTCTGTTTCTTGTATTCTGCTAAAATGCCTTCTTTTTCCCGCTGTATTTCCTTTTTGACTATTTTTGCCATGTTTTTGCTGTACACCTTCTCCAATTTGATGAACATTGCCTCTTCTATTTCACTTTTGAGTCTCCCCAATGTCTCTGTATCAACTTCAACTGTCTTTGTTGTATTCACTGTGTATGTGCTATCCTCATGTCTCCTATTTTCTAAACTGCCCTCCTTACTTGAATCCATCTCCTTATCCAATTCATCCAAGACTTCTTTCTTAAATACGATGTCCTCTTCAACCATCTGTTCCTCAATTTCCTGTGTCAGACTCTTCTCTGTTCTATTTTCATTGGTTCCTATACTGCTGTGCTCATTCTTGTTTGAGAATATTTCTGAGTCATTGCTGCTCACTCCAAACACGTTTGTCTCTTTCTTGCTTTCTTCATTCGACCATACGCTATTTGTTTCTTGAATGTTTTCAAGACTGTCTTTTACTTCTTCTTCTTTCAAGGCCTTTGCATTTTTACCAAAAGCAAATGGATTGTCTTTCTCCTCTGAGTCACTGTCCAGAAAATCCATCACTGCCCTTGGCATTGTGATTCTGTTTTCGTCCCTCTTCTTTTCGTTCTGCTGTGGAAACAGATCATCGTCATCGTTCGTGAAAGCACTGCTTGCACCATTCGGTCTCATAGGGGCAAACAAATCAGATTGTTTTCTAAAACAGTTTGAGACCATATTGATGAATAAAGTATCTAGAATTGTGCTTATTTAACTACTAACAGCAACCACGGTTGTTTCTTTTGGCTTGAAGCATATTTACGTTAGATGCAGCATCATCTGGGTCCTGAGGGTGTTCCAGGTCATCTGCTATTGCACTCTTGATTTCCTGAGACAAATCTACAATTTCAGCCTTTTCTAGTGCTGAAGACGTACAGAATTTAGCATTGTGCTTTGCTGCAAACTCCCTTCCCTCTGAATCCAAAACGTAGTTTGAATCAGGTGCCTTGTTCTTCCCTTTTCTGCTGCCAGACGGCTCGTCATTCGTCTTTATCTCCACATTGGTCCACAAATCCTTCTTGTTTGCTACAATCACAATCCTTGCCTTTTTATTGTTGCTTTTGCTCTGAAACAGTTCAATCCAGTATTTCAGCTGGTTAAATGAGTTCCTGTTATTCACGGCGTAGACCACGACAGCCAGAAAAGAGTCACGAATGTACGGTGTGATGATACTCTTGTACCTCTCCTGTCCAGCAGTGTCCCATAGTTGCAACTTCACATTCTGCCCATTCACGTCCAACGTGTTGCTGAAGAAGTCGATTCCAATTGTTGGCTCTGGAAATGCAAATCCATCCGAAATGTATCTATAAATCAGCATTGTTTTTCCAACTGAAGTGTTTCCTAGGAATATTATTTTGTAGGACTTTTTCATATGGGCACATTCTAACAAATGTATTCAGGTTGTTTCTGAGTACGCAATAATTCACTATTATGTATCATAAATGGCAATCAAAACATGTAGCAGATCCAGAATAAAACAGCAATGTTTACACTATCATGTTTGAATTCATAGGCAACATGTTCAAGTCGATTGGTGAGTTCTTCTCAGGACTTTTCAGCACCTTTTGGAGTGGCGTATTCACCATTGTGGCACTGATATGCCTCACTGTAGTGATCGTAGCCCTAATCATCAACTATCAAAAAAACCACCAGGTTGAGGAGAAAACAGTAAGCACCGATGAAAAAGTAGTTTGAGCACGTTACTTCTTTTTCACGACGTACACACTCGCGTACACCATTCCGTTCTTCACGCCTGCCCTTGTTGATTTGTCTGTTCCCAAATAAGTCGCCTCAAAAAGCGCCTTTTTCTCCTGGTTCTCAAGCAGCTCTTTTGTCACGGCTGTTTTTGCCTTCTCTTTCTCCTCAAAGAATCCACTTTCTTCTATTACGCCACACATGTCGTCATAGAGGCTCTTTACGTCCGTGGAAATGTACAATCTGCCTCCGTCCTTCAGCAGATACTCAAACACACCCATTGTTCGCTTTCCAACAATGCGACCCTTCTGCTTTGTTTTCTTGAAATGTGGATCAGGAAACAGAATGAATATTTTCTCTAGTGATTTCTTCTCAAAAATGTTAGGAAGAAAGAGAAGCCCATTCGTGTTCATCACGCCCACATTCTCCATTCCACTCTTCTCAATCCGCCTCTTGGTGTATTCGTACACCTTGTTCCTGATTTCTATTCCCAGAATGTTCTTCTTGCATTTATCAGCTGTACGTAGCAGAAACTTCCCGTATCCACAGCCCAGATCCAAGTAGTCTGGTTTCTTTGTGTTTCTGAAGTATTTGGACCAGTCAACGTGTCTCGGACTCAATGGCCTCTCCATTCCCTCCTTTTTGAAACTGCCTGCATGCGCCTTAGTTCTGTAGCTCTTCTTTGATACCATTCAAACAGGGCTAAAATTATCAGACCTGATTTAATAATTTGATATTAAATACATCCACAGAAACCACCACAACATTCGTTAGGATACACCGTATTATCCTTCAACACCAGTGTCTCTTCATCATTGATTATTGTATTGGCTTTGATCACACAGCCCTTTCCAATCAATGCATTTTTGATCACACATCCTTTTTCCACTACCACGTTATCCAATAGGACACAATTCTCCAATTCAACTCCATCAGCCACTTCTACGCCTTGTCCTAGAACAACATTTCGCCCAGAATCACCAGACAGCTCCAATGCCATCTTCTGCCCATTCAAATACTCCCTTGGAACACCAATATCACACCATATTCCATCCAAGTTGAATATTCTCATGTGACCAGCTTCTGCTATTTCAGGAAAGATCTCCTTCTCAATCGATGTCTCCCGTAAATGGATTTTATTCAGTATTTCTCTACTGAACACGTACATTCCAGCATTGATCGTGTTTATGTTGCCTGTGTATTTGTCAGGTTTCTCAATGAATTCAACTACTCGATCTCCATCCGTCTTAATCAGCCCAAAACGAGTTGGATCATCGATATCAGTGGTCATGATCAGTGCAACACACTTTCCAGTCTCATTCAACTCCACAAATCGACCTATCATTTTGTCCAATTCTACAAATGCATAAATATCCGTATTGAATACGATGAATCCATCTCCACTGATGTGTCTTTCAGCCAGTTTGAGTGGCCCAGCCGTCCCAAGTGGCACCCCTTCCTTCGAATAAATCACCTCAATCCCATACTTCTGCTCCCACAGCAATGCCTTGGCCTTGATCTGTTCTGAAAAATAGTTCAAGGCCAGAATTATCTTTTTGATTCCTGTTTTAACCAGTATTTCAATCTGATACTCAATAATGGGCTTGTTCAGAAATGGAACCAGTGGCTTAGGCCTCGTTGCAGTAAGCGGGTACAACCTGCTTCCTTTACCACCAACCAGTAATACAGCCGTGTTTACTTCCATGGGACAATAAACAAACAATATTTAGAAACCTGTTATGCCATAAACAAATAAATCACTTCTTTAATAACAAACCCCCAAGATATTGAGCCCTTTGAGTTTCTCAATAACCCGACCCTTGCTCAACCTCTTCTGTTTCTTCTTGATCGGTTTACTAACCATCTCCTTCAGTTCAATGATTCGATTCAGTGTCTCCCTCGTGTCAAACACCTGCATTCTGATGTGCTCAGTCAACATTTTGGTATTCTGTTGAACCAAACTGAACATTCTCTCAACAGAATTACACAAGTGAGGTGTTTGACAGATTGGAAGTGTTGAATACTGCCACAGATTGCACTCAGATACCTCATTTCTGGGTGTGTTTGGCTCAGAGGTGAAGCCAGAATCGATGCTGCGATTGCAGTCTATGACTTCCTGGTTTGCGTAAAGTGGATTATTCACAATTGGTGAAGTCTTCTTGGCCATTTCTGGACTAGTCATCGTTATGTAGTTCCCATCATCAGATTCAACGGCCACTTCCTCAATGGGCTCAAAGAACACAGGCTTCCTCTTTCGTGGCGAAGCCGTCTGGTTGCATCTCCTGTAGGAGACTCCAACACACATCACCTTCTTCGTATTTGGATTTGCTTCTGCAGTTAAGCATATTCCAATAAATGAATAAAACATGGTGTAACCTGAAAATATTTTGATATTTCTGCTAAATTGGTTTTTCAATATCACTTCGCTTGCTGAAGTGGAATCCGTCTATTGCATTTCCAACACATCTCTCTGAATTGCACTTGTTGCATTTTACAAAAAAGAGCCTGTTGCTTTTTATTATCACGGTGTTATCTATCGACTCACATGACTTGCAATTCACATACTCGTTTATGAAGGCGTTGATCAGGTTCTCTATTTCGCTCTGGATGAATCTGCCGTCTATGTTCAGTACCCCATTGTTGTTTATTGTTCCTTCTGTAAACAGCCCCTTTAAAATGTACTTTGAGAGGTGTTCAGGCTGCCTGTTTAGCTGCAATGCCACCTCACACACATTCACCTGTGTCTTCTTATTTCGTCTTGTGACTACAAGTCGTATGTTCTTTCTGGCTGTCTTTGAATTCGTTCTCAAATGCTCCTCTGCTCGTGCCAGAAGATGCTCGTATCTCAGAACTGGTGGCTGACCAAATCCATCTTCAGCCACCTTCTTCACCAGCACATTCACTGTCTGTGGCTTCGTGCTTGCAAATCTATCCAATCTCTGCTTCGAGAGGCCAACTGGCACGTAGCAGTCACTCGAACTCGAGTCGCTCTCAGAACAGTCCCTCATGGGCTAAAAATACAGCGCATAAATGAGCTTGACCATTTATTCATCGTAATATACGTCGTAGGAGAAGTACTCGATCGATTCAAGCAGACCAAACCAGAGCGAAATCTCCCTATCCGCGCTCTCGGCTGAGTCTGATCCGTGTACGATGTTTAGGCCTTTGCACGCACCGTAATCTCCTCTTATTGTCCCGCATTCTGCCTCAAATGGACACGTAGCCCCAATGATCTTACGTGCAACTTTAATGGCATTTTTCCCTTCGAAGACCATTGGAACCACGGCACCAGAGGCCATGTGTTTGACCAGGGCGTTGAAGAACGGCTTCTTGGCGTGCTCCGCGTAGTGCCGTTCCAACAACTTTTTGTCTGGGATCATCACGCGACTAGCGACCAGATAGAGCCCCTTCTTCTCGAATCTACTGATAATTTCACCTACCAGACGTCTTTTGACACCTTCCGGTTTCACCATCACGAAAGTCTGTTCCATGGGTGAAAATAAACGAATTGATATTGACATCAGAAAATTAAAAAATGGAGAATGCGGCCAATAGTGGATAACTAACTATTTTTGCATATTCGTTCCAACTGCGTATTAAGGGGTTAGTTAGGCGGGAATAGGGGAAATTTTGCGAAAAACGAGGATAAGGGAAGGTAAAACTGTCAGACGGTTGTGATATGCAATGGGATAAAAGTGAAACCAAATTAATATAGGTAAATTGCACTTGTTTTGGTTGGGGTAGTTTTGCATCAAGTTGATGCTTTAGACTGGTTGATTGTGCTGAGATACCGTTACGCAATGGTTTAATATCTCTACTTTTTAATTCCTTGAAAATAAACAAGTGCAAAGAAATTGATTTCGCCTGATCACCATTTTACATTTCAACCAGATTTATAAAGTCCAATGGGTTCTGTTGAGACTGATGAAGAAGCACAAGTTGATGTCAAATGTTGCAAAACAGTTGTTTTCTATGGGTAACGATTTTTACCTGGAGACGCAATGTGAAATAGAGAAGTTCTCTCTGGTTAACTAAATAGGAGAACAAGAAGTTTCCAACTCAAATTAGAAATATTAATAGTAATCATCACAAAATACTTCTGAATGCGGTCGCCAGTCAATAGTAAGCTACTATCGGCTCAATTTAGTCACATTTATCCCTTTTCTCGTGTTAAATCCATTACAATTGATTGGTCAGTAATTTACTACCGTATTTTAGGGTGTTTTATTTTTAGCCCATGGAAATATTCACCAGACAATTCGCATATAAAGATGATCTTGTATTTTTACTATGTGATTATTACGATGATAAATATATTCCAATGAATATGTACGATGTAACAGACAACCTAACGCTGTTTCCAATAGGACAAGATCCAGTGATAGACTTCATTCTACAGAATCTGTTGGAACAGAATTACAAGAATGTGGTGCTAGTTGGAGACAGAATTGGGAGTGTGATACGGCACGTGACTAAAAGCAAGTTCGATATTCTGATGAGTATTGCGTTTCTAAGCAATGATGCGCTATCAACTAAGTTTGGAGAAGTCACGTACGTTAAAGACAAGAAATATCTACTGGATAATATCGGACAGTTCTTTAGAACACTACTTGAATTCAACATTCAAAACAACTTTCTGGTTATGATGGCAAATCAGTACAGCAACTTCAATATTGCACACATTAGAAACTTCCACGCCTATAGAGAAGCACACATCACATTCCTGGTATTCGAAAGAGTCACAAATGACCCAGAATTCTTCATATACGATCATAGTGATACAGGAAGAGTCTTCGGAATATCCAAAAACACAAAACGAGTCAATGACGTGGCTGCAAAATGCAACAGACCAGGCTTCTTCTACACAACACCAGAACTATGCCAGTTATTTAATGAATTCGCAGATGCCCGTGATATGACGCAATTGATTGATGAGCTAAAAAGCACGTTTTCATTTGGAAAATACAAGTTATATTGCATAAATGAGGAAATACTAACTGTATTCCAAAAGAAGAATGGTGGCAGGACAGCTGAGGCCAGAGACATTGTTAAGGTGAAAGAGAGTGGATTTGGTGAGTTGTTGCAGCTTGTTGAATTAGATAACGATGAGTTGGCCTACCTCTTAAATTATGAAAAGAACCTATTTCAGCTGGATGATACGAAATATTATTACAGTAGGGAAATCACAACACTATTGGACTACATAAATTTGTGTAAAGAAATGGAGAAGCACCTGGACAAGCTGCTGAACAACGACCGCATATCCCAGCATACGGAACTGTACAAAAACGAAAAGAATGGGAGTGTATACAATCTGTTGAACAGGCTCGAGCGAATGAATGTGTCACACAAGTTTTCTATCGCATCCAAGAAGGAGGCACAAGAATACTACATAGAACTAACTTCTGGTGAAATAGTGGACTGTTGTAGCATCAAGGACGAGCTATTTGAGTCAGAAAGCGAAAACAGCGAAGATGAGAAGAAGGAAACCTTTTTTGACGAATGCATAGACTACATGAAGAAGACGATGAGACAGGGCAACGTGGAGCTGGATGAGATACAGAAGAACATCACACTCTTCAAAATATACTGGAATACGTCACCACATGAAGTACTGGAAGCATATGCGATGTTTTTTGTGGAAATAATTTTGGATGAGTTGGAGAAGAGACGGGACAAGACCAAGCAGAATACGACAGTTTTGGAAGACTTAGTTTGCAATGCAGCAGACTACTTCTACCTGTTGACAGAGGAACTGTCAGGAAACATCGATTTGCAAAAGTATTTCATGGATGTTCTACAGGAGAACATAGAGGAGGAGTTGAGTGGATCCATCAAATACAACGTGTTCTATTCGTACTGCTATCTACTCAAATCATCAAGAACAATCAAGAAGTCGCTTCTCAAAGTATACCTGAAAGATATGACTGAAAAAGAAAAAGAAGAAATAAAGTAGAATATACCCTGAATGTTTCCGAGTTTTTTCAAGACCAAGGAGTTCCTGGAATACGTCTTCTTCAAGTTCAAGCTATACAAGAGCACGTACAACAGTAGAAGCTGTACCAAAATAACACACAACGAAAGAATAAACACAGGGAAAACATTAGTCATCTTGCACAAACTAAAAGCACAGGATAAAACATTTCTGCCTCCAATATACAGAATAACAAACCACAGCATATTCACAAAGAGAGTTGTACCATATTCAAAAATGGTAGGACTGACATATGAATACAAGAATTACGTGTTTCATAAAATGAAGGAGGCGTTAGAATACTTGAATGGAATCCACATCTCACACACTGACTTATCATTGGACTCATTCTTCATAGATGAAGCAGGGAATCCAGTTATCTGTGACGTAATAAACCTAAACACGGTGCAAGATGAACCAGACGACCTTAATGATTTAGCCAGACTATGCAAGACTGAGTTGAAAACAGACCTGGATCAGATCGGAGACTACGAAATATTCGTGAAACTGGAGACTTTCTTCAGCATGTTTGTTCAGATGAAATTTGAAGAGAAACAGGCCTACTTGGAAGACATAAAACAAGAGAAGAAAAAGATGCCAGCTGTGGTGAAATTGAATGTGTTCAATGCACTGGTAGCATTTCTATCAGAAGATGCGCCAAAAGACGAGAAGATGCACGTGCTTGACTTTCTGAGGTGTTTTGACTCGACTCTCTTCAAGAAAAACCAAATTCAGCTATTTCGCGTAATTGATTACAACGTGAGATTGTACCTGCTTCAGGCGATTGAATCGATAGAGAAGTTGGACGAGTGTGCCAGTGACATCGCATTGGGAATCCGTGTGAAAGAGAAGCCATTGCGGTTTGAGACACTCAATTTCATATTCAAGTACGACAAGAAGTTCAGCAAGAAGTCATTTGCCATATTCATCCACACCATAACAGCCTGTCCGCTTGATATAGACACCACACAATACGTCTGCAAGAGACTCCTTGAAAATGACACATTTCACCTGGTTACGTCTCCAATTGTGAACAAATCAGCATCATATGAATTCCTAAGGAAGAATAAGAAGGAAAACAAGGATTATGCCAGAATACTCTATAAGGCATTATTCAGCTTCCTGCTGGCCAAAAAGTGCAAGAAAGACGTCTACGACTGCTTTCTGAAATACTACAAGGCATTTGACAAGACCAAGGTTGCCTCTGAGCTGCTACCCATTCTCTGCTCCAGATTGACTGACAAGGAGTACCAGGAAGACTGTTTCAATCTCGTTGAGCAGATTGTTGTCTTTCTGAAAGAGAACAGGTTTGAATTGGAGCAGTCTGACTGGAGCATAAACAAGATAAAAGAGCTAACGAAATCAAAGAGTGAGAAAAGAGAGGAGGCCATTCAGAACAAAATTGACGAAATAAAGGCAAAGAACAAGGGATCAGAAGAATGGGAGGAACAAGAGCTGTGATTACTGTTTATTGGTGGTCTGGCTTCTCTCCTCTCTGGTGCCTGGATTTGGTCTTATGAAGAGCAGTGCATCTCTTCTTTTCCAGAACAAACTGCTTGAAGAAGTGCGAGTTGTAGAGAGAGAGGCAGATCAATGGCATTCTGTCGTCTGCGTCATCGAACCTGTCTTTGATTCGCTGAAGCAGCTCCTCTGAGTGGCAGAATGGCTCGAATATCTCAGTTACTGCAGGCATGTTGTTCTCAAGGAGCTTGTTTGGTATTGTGCTGCCGTGAGTGGATGCGAATAGCGTTGGAAGTCGCTCTGAGTGGTTTTCGTAGTGCCTGGAGCAGAGCGTATACTGCACCGTGTAGTATTTGTTGTCGAATTCCTGCATGGCCTCTATTTCAAAGTAGTGCTCAAAATAAGGGCCGCCGCAGAACGAGCACTCTTTGACACCAAGCATGAAATTTACGAGATTTTTGGAAAAATTCCGTGGTATCCGCTTGTTGTTCCGTACAACGTGTCGGGCGCATTCTTCGAGCATCGAATGCGTTCCAATCTGCCTGATGGACGACTCGGTGTATTCTGCAATTGGATTGTTGTCTGTCAGAAGATTCGACAAAAATGGCAGCTTTAGCAGCTCCAGTGGCAGATGAGTCAGACGGTTGCTATCCAAATGGATGTTCTTGAGACTCTGTAACTTCCCAACTGCACGATTCAGTATCCTGAGTCTGTTATTTGACAAATTCATAATAGATAAGGCCTTAAGTGATGCAATTGAATTTGGAAGAGATTCGAGCAGATTGTTGGACAGATCAAGCTCCCTCAGTGACTTGCAGCAGCCCAATTCCTCTGGTAGCTCCCTTATTCTGTTTCTTGACAAAATGAGCATTTTCAGGTGTCTCAGGTGTTTGATTGAAAATGGAATTCTGGTGATGTAGTTGCAGCAGGCCTGAAGCACCTGAGTCTGTTGCAGTAGCCCAATATTCTCATTCAGACTCGAAATGTAGTGTCTACACATGTACAGATGCTTCTCCTGGTCACCTGTTGTCACAGTGACCTCACACGTCTGTGAGTCACTCTGGACATTCTTCATCATGTGGTAGAACCTGTCTGTCTTCTCCCGAAGCTTCTCGAGTCTCCTGAAGCTGATTTCCTCAAGTGGCTTCTTCTCAATGAAGTAGCGGAAGTTGTTGCTGAACAGCTCCAGGTGGAGATCCAGCTTCAACTTCTTGTCAGCCTGGGCAATTTTCAGGTCGTACGAGAAGAGATGGTCTTCCAAGTTGTACGACCGATAGAACGCCGGCATGTTTCGGTTGCTCTTTGCTATCTCCATTTCCTTATCAACCATTAGCTGGGTCTGCCCCTTGATTTTATGTCCCTGAAACAAAGGGGTATTGGTGAATTATGCGCGTGTCAAGTCTATTTACGCTTATGAAACAAACAGATAAAAATGCGACTGTTGCACTGGGATGCACGTGACAAGTCTGGATCTGTCCAAGAGGAGATACACGACAGTCCCATACGACCAGATTGACGAGAATGTCAACTGGCTGATTCTGAGTGATAACAGAATTCGGGTAATTGATGAGAATATTGCGAGATTCTCGAAGCTGAACAGGCTGGCGCTGAACGACAACCGCCTTGAGCGAGTCCACTCGAGCATCGGAGAGTGCCAGAGCATCAACTGGATGGATTTCACCCGAAACAGACTCAGAGACCTGCCGCCTGAGTTCGGCCGCCTGACTCGCGTCACCGGCCTCGGCCTCTCCGACAACCACTTTGAGGAGATCCCGGACTGCGTCTTCCGCCTGCTCAACCTGCGCAAGTTCGGCCTCTTCTCCAACAGCATCCGCTGCATCCCGCCCAAAATCAGGTTCTTGGTGAATCTGGTCAAAATCGACCTGAGCAACAACAGCATCAGCGAGATACCTGAGGAGCTGACTGAATTGCGCAACTTGAACTGGCTGAACCTGAGCAACAACAAAATCAAACAAATTCCAAGAAGCATAAACAACTTATGCAACTTGGAGGAGCTCGGACTTGGAATGAACGAGATCGAGGAGCTGCCGAACGTGTGCAACCTGAACAAGCTGAGGATCTTCCCCGTCTTCAAGAACCGAATTGTTCGAATTGACAGGTCGGTCTTTGGGCTGGCCGTGATCGAGAAGCTCGACTTCTCTGAGAACCAGATCGACGAGTTCCCCTACGCCGCACTCTCCAGCCCCACTCTCCGATACCTGAATCTGCGAAGCAACGGGATCAAACTGGTTGATTCGCAGCGCCTGAAGGCCACGAAGTGCTCTGCAATCAGCCTCCTCGACGTCAGCGAGAACCAGCTCCAGTTTGTCCCGTACAAGTTGTTCAAAATGTTTTCGACCAGCACGTCCGTCCGACTCTCAGGAAACCCATTCGCCTGCCTGCCGCCTTCAGTCCCAGCCTCGCAGTCGCTGGTCGAAATCTGCTTCACCAAAATGATCCGACTCGAAAACACCGTCCCAACCGACCCGTGGCTCGTCCGCCTTCAAAAGAAGCTCACTGTCTGCGACGCCTGCAAAAAGCACTTTGTCGTAGACCCCCACAAGGTCTACCTTGAAAGCTACTTTGAGCCAGAATCCAGGTTTGTAGTCGAAACGAGTCTCTGCTCCAAGACGTGCTTCACGCTATTCAATACGCAGAAGAATATGCAAATATAGATCATTTATTTACAGATTAATCAGATTGGTAATCAGATCAGTAATCACATCACAAACATCTCCTTTCCATATGGATCAGTGAAGAGCATCTTCTTCTGCCTCTTTCTGGTGAGTCTCCTCATCAGGGTGCCCCACAAATTGTACTGCAAAGTGACGAAGAAGACGGATACGCCCAGAAGCACCCCCAGGGCGGAGTAGTCTGAAACCACCCCTCTCTTCAAATCAAGAAACATTTCGTGCACCTGTCTCCGCCCAGATCCAGCAACAATTTCAACCATCATCCCAACCATCATTGTTCCCAGAACAGCAAAGAGCAATGCGACCACGATGTTCCTGATGAAGTAGTAGACGACGTAGAGGATGCAGATGGCAACAAGTGGATTGTGGAGGAATCTGATCACACCGTGTACGTCATCAGGGGCATTTGAAACAATCTCATTCAACTCGTTCTTGTACTTCATGGAGGCAGCAAATACGGCTGAGACGTAGAAGATAAATACGATGAAATACATCAGCTGCGTGAAGAAGTAGTTGACGACTGCTGCAATCACGATGGACACAACGAAGAGCTGTGGCCTGCTGAACTGCTGCAACATGTCAGAGGTGCCCTTGAGAAACACGTAGTCTCTGGTTGATGCAACCAGAATCACCGTCTTGATCTTCTCTTGGACAGAGAAGACCAGGCAGCAGAGCAGGGAGAGTGTCGCAACCCACCTGTTCTTGGAGCCAGCAACTGGCAGGGCCACAATTGCACTTCCAATCAGAAATGACATGGCGTAGTTCTCACCAGTCGCAGTATCAGAGACAATTGGAGCATAGTTGCTCTCAAACAGGTCGATGGTGTATTCCATTGCAGTACAAAGGTGACTGAAGACCAGGATAAGCGGCTTCTTGTAGATGACATCCATGGAATCCATTGTTTGGAGGACAAATAAACAGATTTAAAAATAATAGAGCAATACGTGTGATATGAGTAATTTAATAAGGTGATGTGAAATGAGGAATGTGATGTTGAAGAAGAAGAAAGTGACGTAAGTTGCAGAATGAAGAGGAGGAGCACTCTTTTCACCCTATGAAAAAAACAAACGAATCTGAGAAGAGGCAGAGGCGCGTATCATTCCATCCAGCACAGGCTGAGAAGAAGGAGGATGAGGTTGAGCAGCAGAAGATCGATGTCTCCTTGTTTGATACGCAGAAGTATGCGGAGAACAGTTTGATAGTGGAATTTGACAAAAGAAAGAGAGAGGGACGAATGTCACTGGATCCACTCTGCAAGCTGGACATTGCCGATGAATCAGTCCAATCAGAGGGGCAGTTGAAGCAGGAGAAGACGAAAGTGAACTACAACTTTAGAGAAAAGGCAAAGAGAAACAATTTCGTGGATGACTTCATGTACGGGTACGAAATCAGGTTTCTGGATAAAATAATCACAAATATGGGAGAGAAGACTGGGCAGCAGACTGGTGGAAACAAGTACAGTGGAGAGAAGCGGATGTGGCTGAAGTACTCTCTGAGGCCACGAGTGGAGTTTCTGAAGGGGATGGTGAGGTATCTACAGGCGCAAATGAGGGTGTTTCAGAATGAGATAGACGTAAAGCAAAGGAGTCTTGACGTAAACAAGGTTAAAACAGGTGGATTGAAGAGGCACAGAAATGAGAGCAGAAACAGGGCCAAATTGGAGTGGTACGCGTATAGAAAGGTGCAGGAGACGCACTTCAATAAGACTATTCTTGAGAATGAGCAGAAGATGCTGTTGGAGAAGGTGGATGCGAGTGAGAGGCTGAGTTACCTGAAGAAGGAGATTGAGGAGTTGAAGAAGACCAGGGCAAAAATAAAGGAGAGGATTGGAAGTGTGGACGTGGCCATTGGAGAGAAGAGCATTCTGAACAGGGAGGAGTTAGAGGACTTGAAGTACAAGTTGATGGAACAGGTCAACAGGTCTGAGGTGCTGAAGGAGGACGAGGAGATTCTGAAGAAGAAGGTGTTTGAGAAGGAGATGGAGTGCAGAATTGTACGAGAGAGGATCAAGGAGCTGACAGCTGACATTGGGAGACTGGATTGCACCATTCTGGGGAAGAATGCGGATGACAGCCAGCTTGAGAATCTGAGTAGAACAAATCTGCTCTATGAGGATGTGTTTGGAGTTAGACTTATTAAGGCAGAAACAAACAGAGTTGTTCTAGGAATATGCGGGTTTGAATTCACGTTCATGCTATCAGGTGGATCAAACGTAAAGAGCTTTGTTTGCTCAAAGAAGAATAGGTTCGACAAGGATGCGCAGATCTACGACACATTCTTCGTGGAGAACATGCTGGCTGATTTGATAGAAGCTGATTCGGTGGAGCCACAGGAAAGAGTGGTAGAGAACAAGGATGAGGCGTATGCTGAGAAGATGGTACAGAGAAGTCGAAAGAGGAGACTATCAGTGGCACAGGGTGACACAATGCAGGCAGATGAGTTCACAAACACCCTCAACCTGGAGAATACGCTTGATATTTTTATGGTTGAGAAGTTACAGGAGGAAATGGGTGAAATGAGAGATCCAATTGGATCATCGATGGAATTGGAACAGTCCCATAAATTAGACGAATTGGTTCACAAAATACTCTACAAGTATCATACAGTGAACAGTCTGATGAAGGAGGTCTGTCGGATGCGAGACTGGTGCAACATAGACGGCTTCTACGTCAAGAACAAGATCTACTACAGGTTCTACCTGCAGACACTCAATTCAGACTGTGGTCTCCTGGATCTGAGCATCGATAGGATGTTCAATCTGATCCACGATAAGCAGATTGTGGTGAATCTACGGAACAACGTGGAGGGAATCAGGAAGTACGTGAATGAGTTCATTAGCAATAAATAGGTTGAAATGAAGTATTTTGGTAAAAGAGTAGAAAAATGGCCATAAATGCAGGAAAAGGAGACTGAGAAAACAAAGGCAAAGCTCGAGTTCAAGTACAAGGTGGCTGCACTAAGGGCAGATGCATTGGGCAGAGTTAGAGGTGAGTTGGATGAATTAGACCTGGATGTGCCACTGCTTACGCTTGTGAAGGCGTATCAGAGGCACCTGCGTAAAAAAGAGGAGCAATGCAACGTGGAAATGAACAAGATCGACGAGACCAACACGACTAACACGGCAGAGATGACGAGCAACATGAAGGAGAGCACCCTGGTCAGTGAAAGCAGTGTCTTTGCCACGAGCCAGAAGAGCACAGTCAGGCCACGGGGCAGGAAGTCGCTGCTTGGGCTTGTTCATAGCTCATCCACTGAGTCGCAGTTGCCTCGAACCAAATCAACCAAAAAAAACATCAATTTGGTAGTCCAATCCATCGTTGATGCCAATGACAACGATTCAGTCATTTCTGACTCGATGTCATTCTTTAGGAAGTGATAACTGCCCCAATTTTATTATAAATTCTTAGGTTGAATAGTCCTTGATTTAATTTAACTTAATTAGTGGCTGTGACCGTGGCTATGATCGTGTCCGTGTCCGTGCGCTAGTTCCACAATACAAATTGTGGTTAGGTATCCCAGGGTGAGTAGGATGATGTTGAGCCACTTTCTCCGACCATGCATGCAGTGACCCATTCCTTCAAAGAATACGACATACATCAATGATCCAAGAGCAAGTGCCTTGAAGTAGAGGGCCATGAACTTGTGGCTGTTTCTGATGACCCGTCCAACAAATATTGCAACAGGCGTAAGAAGCACGAAGCAGCAAAGAAGAAGCGTGGCATGGCTCTTCTTCAGCTTGGACGAGTAGAGTGCCATTCCTATTGAGAGTGACTCCGCACACTTGTGAAGAAGGAGCCCAACAATGTGGGAGCTGAAGATCGTCGCACATGTCGTATCCAGTCCTTCTAGAAACGAATGCAGTGAAATGGCAAATAGAAATATGCATAAACTGGTGTAGTTTCCAGTTGTTTTGATGAATTCCAAGTGGTGCTGTCCAAAGAAGTCTTCTTCTTCCGTGCTACTGTCGTGGGTGCATGGTATCTTCTCTGTCTTCTCTACGTTGGTCTCGAATGTCACGGGCTGGTCACCCTTTTCGCTGTTTAAGGTCGAATTGGATCCACTTTCGCCTCGAACCACCTCCTCGTGGTGGTGCTCGTGATGGTGCTCCTTTACGAAAATCGATTCAACTGCAATCAGTGCCAGAACAACCAGTCCAATATAGAGGTAAGGCGTCCTATTTACGTCACAGTCTCCAGTCATTTCTGGTATCATATCGTAGCAGATGTTTCCGAAATTGATTCCAACAATCAGCGTATTGAATATGCTGAAGATAGTCCCACTCCGTCTGCTCTTCTTGATGAAGAGTGGCACTAGACCAGAGCAGAGGGATATTCCAGTCATCAGAGAAGCCACCACCACGCATCGAGTGAGCTCGTCCAGTTTCGACATGGGTTCCCTCATTAAAAATTTACTACAGCTAATTGATTGATCACTCTTTAATGTTATTGAGGAGATCTTCGATGCTCATTTTTGTTGGAAGATGTGTCAGGGGCTTTCCTACTATTTTCACCACATCAATTTCAACCAATTTGAGTTGATCGATGACATCTTTGCATGACTTCTTGGTGAAGACCATTTCTGCCTTTGATTCGTTCTTTTGCTGGTGAATCTTGTTTTGGGTCGAATTATCAAGGTATTTTTTATCGCACTTGATTAGGGTGCTTGTTAGGGCACGGATGCTGTTGAGATTGAGATCGCCAATCTTCTTATCAAGAATGGTCTCTTCTTCCTTCGTTGCTTCCTCATTGTACTCCTTGGTATTTCGCTGCAGGTTCCAACGGTATATAAATGACTGTAAATCACACTCAGCCTGGTTAGCCAGGATTCTGGTTTTGGACAGTTCTTGATATTGCTTCATAAATTGATCAATTTCCTTGGCGACTTTGTTGAGATTATCATTTAGGTCGTGGACTGTGGCGAGATACTCTTTGGTGGTCATTTGTACCGTGTTAACTGCATTCTGGTGCTCCACTTCCTTCTCTTTCTTGGTATTGATGTTTAGGAGCAATTCCTTAAGATAGTCCTTGGAACTTCCGTTGATTTTGTTGTCCTTAAAGAATAAGTAGAATTCAAGAAGATACGTGAAGACACTCTTGTCATCCAACTCATCGAGACGAATGAGGTCTTCGATGTCAAGGAGTCTGTTGATTCCAATGGACTCTGCAAATGCAAACGCCTTTTCCAGGTTGTTTCTCTTGTTTTCAGGCGTGTCTGTTTTCTGATTGTAGACACCAGGATAAAAGTGATCAAGAAGCATTAGAAATATAACACCATCACTGAATGAGGTGGTGAAGTTGGTGATTTTGACTTGGAAGCTGTGGCTTACGATCATTTTGACCCAGGTGAGAACAGTGCTACGCAATTCACTGGAATGGCCATCGGAATTGGCATTGGAGTTGCTAGTGGAATGGCCATCGGATATTGAGAGGTGGAGAATGATTGTCCAGATCAGACCAAGAATCAGCTTCTCATTCTTCTCGTAGATGTCTTCGGGACCAATATTCACCAGGATGAGTCCGAGATCCTGTGAAATGTACTTCAATAGCATGGATAGGTTCTCCATTTTTACTATTTTATGCGCAACAAGCTTAGAAATTTCAGGTGGATTCTTTCCAAGTGCAACTAGTAAATTGTAGAGTGGTATTCCATCTCTGACTTCTTCAAACAGATTGGACACAACCTTCATCTTGTACACTCTTAGCTTTGCATTGATCCAATTCGTGAATGTTTTAGTTTGCATGCGCTTGTAGAGGTCCTTTTGGTTTGTTTCAGTTGTCATGGGTTAAAATTTCCAAGTATTGATTAAATACACCCTGTTGCAAAAGTTTGTGGACAGCCATATTTATTCTGTCCTGTCATAACAGACTATGAAACTTAGGTATTCAAGTTCAAATATTATACATTAAATAGAAATAAACCTATCTAGACGTCCATTTATTGATCTATTAGTTTTTGAAGGGTTGACAAAAAAAAGATCAATATTTTGTTGCAAAAGTTTGTGGACTTTCTGTTTAATCTTCTGTACATTGATGGTAACCGCAATAAACTTCCTGTTTAGTATTTATAAGATGAAACTGCTTATTTAGGCACGTTGAATTGCACCNTACACCCTGTTGCAAAAGTTTGTGGACAGCCATATTTATTCTGTCCTGTCATAACAGACTATGAAACTTAGGTATTCAAGTTCAAATATTATACATTAAATAGAAATAAACCTATCTAGACGTCCATTTATTGATCTATTAGTTTTTGAAGGGTTGACAAAAAAAAGATCAATATTTTGTTGCAAAAGTTTGTGGACTTTCTGTTTAATCTTCTGTACATTGATGGTAACCGCAATAAACTTCCTGTTTAGTATTTATAAGATGAAACTGCTTATTTAGGCACGTTGAATTGCACCCTAACCTTCCTGAACGACCACTTTCAACAAATCATTTTGATCAGCAATTTTTATTCATTATGAACCTTTCTGATAATATATTATCTCATTTCCTCATTGGGATTGTGTCTGATAAGTTAATATCCCTGTTGAGTACCCCAATACCTCATCTACTTCACACTTACTGCTCTTTTTGTTTGTTTGAACTAAGGCAATATTTTTTTAGTAAATCAAATAGTGATCAGTAGATCACATGTACCTAGAAGGTATTCTTTTAATTAGCTTAATACAGTTACAAGAGATGATTATAACACCAATAAGTTACAAATAGAGCGTACCTGAAATTGTTAGACAGAAAAAAACAATATTCAAATTTTATTCCATTATTGAGGTTGAAAAAATCTTCTTACTCATCAATTGTATGCGGGTTGTGCTGTACCCCATCATTTTTAAGCAATTTAAACCTCTTCACATCATTCCAGATGTTTCCCTTTCTTTATACAGTTCAATTAGCATGTTTTTATGTGATCGTTTTTGAGCTTAAGGTTTCTTATCATCTAATAGTGTTGGCACAAGCCTTATAATTCATTTATAGCTGCTTGAACCTACTACAATATAATAAACGCTCGTTTTATACATATTTGTATATGTTTCTCCTGCTATAGCCCTCTTGAGCATGATTTCTAGAGAAATGAACCTGATCATTAAATGAAATACTTACTCCAACAGCCTTTTTGAGTGCTCAGAACATACAAAGGTATCCTTAACAAGGTTTATAGCCTCTGTAACATGCATAGCAGCTATTTATATGTTCGTGTCGTAGCAGATCATTATGAAATTGTGTTTAGTTTGATCACTATTAAAGTGATCTCTTGTTCAACCTTTAGAAATGCTTTTCCACCTGATAGGTTTTTAGACATGTTAAACATTAAAATAAGCATGGAATTTTGTGCCCGCTTATTAATATTGCTGTTGTAGCGTTGTCCACAAATTTTTGCAACAAGAATTTAAATCATTTTTGGAAATTAGTCCCTATCTGTTCAACCATCAAACCATTTGAGTTCAGATAAAAAGAAACAGCAAAGAGCAACGTAAAAAGTGTATCGCGTAGCATAAGAGCCGTAAAAGAGAGTATATCAAGAAGTTTATGGCTGTCCACAAACTTTTGCAACAGAGTGTATCTGATCAATCTTTAATTTCGATTAATACAGTGCTAATGATTAATAGAATTATTGAAACAGTCATCGACACAGGGCATATGGTGTTGGGTGGTCACTTCAATTTGTGTTTGTTTATTAACCCATGCAGATAACCAACGACTTCAGGAAACGCATGATCATCATGCTAATTGAGGCACTGAAGGAGCATCCGACGTTCTCAACTATTGAGTTCTCTCTAGTAAAGGAAGCTGTTCTAAATAGCGAGCAGCAGATATTCCAAAATAGTAAAAACAGGCAAGAATACATCATAGCAATTAGTGGGAAGCTGGAGCAAATTAAACAGACGCGGAGTGGTCCAGAAAGAAGGCAGACTGCTTCAGGAATCCAAACAAGCCAGAATCCAGGCAGTAAAATTGATGATACGCATGGATACGATTATGGAAGCAGAACAAGATACGAAACACCCCCAGAAATGGCACGGCATAGCAACAAGTTCAAGCAGACTGTAGGAATATACAATGACAAGGAAATAACAGAGAAGAACGTTCATGGAAGCAAGAAGATATCTGCTGCATTTCTGGATGACTTTGATGAAATATTTTCAAAGAGAATGAATAGTAAAAAAGATAAGAAAAAAGAAGGAAGCAATACGATGGCTGTGAATGTGTCACAGAGTGAGATGCCACGAGATGTGAACTTCACCATCAACATTGTGAAGAACAAGCCGACTGAGAGAGTGAAGGAAGAGCGAATTCAAGAGAAGGCGCCAAAAGTACCCGATTTGGAGTCAGAGGTGAAGGAGTACATCAGAGAAAATGGTCTAAATATCGTAAAAGTGGAAGACGAGAATGATTGGAACGATACAATCGACTTTCTGCTTAGTCTGAATGACAAGGACGAGATGCTGGTGATGCAAGATAAATGTAGGAAAATTAAGTTTATTAGCAGGGAGGAATTGGAAAATAGAATCACCTGGTACGAGAATAACCTAGATAACAGCATGGATCAGAGTTATAGACCACAATGATAAATTAGACGGTGATCTACCACTATGATTGCGTAGCTTCGTTGTTTTCAGTATGCATTTTGGGCTTCTTTTGGATGTAATTGTATAGAACAATCCCAATAATGAGTGCCAATATCAGGCAGCATGCGCCTATCACATTCCTATATTTGATCGTATCTTCCTCTTCTTTTTCTTCCCAATCAGAGTCTTCAGGCTGAATTACAGCACATTCTTCTTTTAGAGCAACTACAGATGTCTTCTTGACTGGACTTACATTCAGGGCTGTTATAAATCCATTAGTGAATTCATCTCGTATCTTTGCCTCCTTCTCATATTGATCCTTATATTCCTCTATTCTTTCCGTAAATAGCTTTAAGTTTTCAATTCTCAGAAATGCCATTTCATATCCAAGTCTGCTCCACTCTCCATATGTCTCAAAATACACATTGTTTGATAACATTGATAACATCTCATATGGCTGCAGTGTTTCAAAAAGCAGTAGCTCCGAATCCAGTCTACTGTATTTGCGTATTTTCGTTATATCATTCAGAACAAGTTCCAATGCAATCACATACTTCTGTTGTATTGTATGTACCTGATAATTACTTATATTCGGTTGTATGATCTGAAATAACTCATCCTTCTTAAGGTATTCATCATAGTTTGATTTGATAGTGATGAAATCAAACAACAGGGTCTTCTCGACATTAGCCATTGCTATCGTTGGCCATTCTGGATCATTTTTGTTAATGGATTTATATGGATCACCCACATTCAAATAAAATGAATCAGTTGCATTTGGGGTATTTCTGATATAAACAATATTTGCTTTCTCAAACTGCGTGTTGTTTACAACGATGAATATTCCAGGTGATACAGCTAGCCATTGGTTTGCTATATCAATCTTTGTTGCTCTTCTTGAGCTTATTTCCCCATACATTGATAATATGTAAAGAGCGGTCGTATTCTTTGTTGTATCCACTAGTTCAAACATTATGAAATTTAGCCGCAAATAGTCTACTTTGACCTTCATTGGTGTATTGAATATCATTTTTATGCTGAGATCCATTCTATTATCAATGTCTTTGTAGCTCATTTTTGCAATTTCATTGATCATTTTATAGTCATTATCAGTGTTTTTATTGTGTTGATTGATGAACGTGCATAGCCTTTTTACTTCTGATTGGCACGTATTAAAGTTATTTCTGTTCTTCATGTGATGTTCTATGAACATCTCCCGTACTATATTGATCGCCTGTCTATCCTCGTACTTATTAAAATGAGTATTTTGTATTTGCCTCTCAAATGCATTGAAATTATGCATCAACAATTCGTTTTTGTATCGTATAAACAGCCCTAATTTCTCACCGTCTTTAATGCTGATGTATAGATCATCTTTAATTGTTAACAGTTGAAAGATAGTTGGTATTGCACAGTATACAGCCAAAATAAATAACATTTAGGGGAGAAAAAGGAAATTAATTTATATTAGAATAAATAATCAGGTGATTTCTGGAATATTCATAATTTAGACAACTTATACCCAATTGATTATTCTCTGGACCTAGTTTACTAATTTATACGTTTTACCCTACTTTCTTTTCCATATATGTAGTTCAACACAATGATCAATACTGTCATGCAAAATATCAAAAACAGCATCATTATCCCAATGATGTAGTTCTTCCTTGAAACTATTTCCATATCACCATAATGATCTGATGAATCCTCCAGAACTATTTTGCTTTCTATGATCTCTTCTATTTTATAGTCTATTTTCTTCCTTAATGCGCCTATAAATCCCACATTTCTCTCATTATTTTCCATTTCAATGACATTGCACCTCTTAAACAAATAGCCACTAACAGATTCGTGCATATCCTTAGTTACGAAATCCTTTTGTGATTTGTAATTCAAATACCAATCTGAATACGAGGTATCGATTGATACGTTACTGATCAATATTGCACATATCTCATACGATGTAAAGTGTAACATCAGTATTTTGATTGAGTCTGCCATACTGATGTGTTTTCGTTTACTTTCATCCTGTTCTGCATTTCCTCTTGATATCCAGTCAATTATCAAATCCATTTGATATTCGTAGTAAATCACCCAATTTAACCTTGGCACGGTATTGATCAAATTATTCCTGATATGGTTGAATATTCTGATTTTATTCGTGTACACAATTGGGATAGTTGTTAAATTGATGAAACTGCCCAATATCCTCTTTTCCACCTTCAATGTATCCTCCCTGAAGTTGTAGGCGGAATATGACAGTAAAATTAGGATTGGATTGAAATTGAGTATCGTACTATCATCCATGATCCTCTCTATTGTTATTGCATCATATATTGTTTCATTAATCACTTCTATATCCTGTATTCCATTGGGTGTTTTATACTGTATTTTTTGCTTCTTCCTATTGAAATCACCAATTGATTTCAATTGTATCGAATATAACGAGATGGTGTTCATCTTCTTATCAATTAGATCAATAATAATGTAGTTCTTGTTTGATGGATCAGTACACATCTTAAATACTGCATTGTTGACTTCTTTCCAGGTATCATTATTTAGATCGCCTCTAAAAATGGACTCACTGAGTTGTTGTAGAAGATCAGTCTTGGTTTTAGTTCCATAATTTGAATCCGATTTGTTCGTTTGAATAAATGTGTAAATCAATGCACAATGTGTTATAAGATCAATATCATCGTGTTGGTTCATATCGTATAAAATTGCGTATTCCAGAAAGGTGTTTATGGCGTATTTGGAAGTGTGCTGGATGCGTGCAGCAAGATTATGCTGAATATAATGTGAGTAGGGCACTGAATGCATTTTTGGATTGTGAATCTTAATCACCAGATCAGATTGATTCATATTCTCCAATCCAATGAATATGTCACTTATGTGCTGTTGTAGAACTATTCTGAAGCCAATTACACCATAAATCCATAGCATATAAATTAATATCATAGGGCTAAAATTAATAGTGTTCATCACCCATAGGCTGTGAATAAATTGCATGTCTTAGTTTGATAGGTTGATTATGTATGCAATTATCATTTTCATTACTCCCTATAGCTCAGTGGTAGAGCATTTGACTGTAGAATAGGCTGTAATCGAAGGGCCGCTGGTTCAACTCCGGCTGGGGAGATTTTTTTAGTGCTTGAAAAAGGAGCTCAAATTATTGGGTGTCTCCTTGAGACGCAGTTTCTCTAGCTTCTTGGACAACTTGTTGTTGTATTCATCCACCTCAACATTCAGATCGTAGTATTCCATTCTCTCAATGAATTCAAGAGCAGCCTCACATGTAGTCAAATAGTAGAGATCCTGGCCACACCAGTTCTTGGAGACCAAACAATCACATCTGACATTCATGCTGAATCCATGATCACATTCCTTATCACATGGCCTAAAGTACTCTCTTCTGAACAATCTCATGAATCTGATATGGAGACTCAGATCCTTGATTTTCGTCTTAATCAGGCAGAATATTACAATCGATAGCATCTTGTCATACTCGAGATCCTCTCCAAACTTTCTGAACATGTTCTCAAATGCCACCATCATGTAGAATGTCTTTACAGATGGAATATTGCTCTTTGCAATTCGTATGAAGTCATTTATGCTTCTTGATAATTTCTCATTTTGTGCATAAACTCCATCCAATTTCAGGTGAATTGGCTTGATCCACTGGTATAAAAGAATCTTCTCATTCACAAATGCATCTGCATCACCTCTGTTGACTCTGAACTTGTTGAACATGCTGTACATCACCAGCTTCTCCACAAATAGCAGCCCGTATTCACACTTCAATTTGTATTTTTCTGCAACCTGTTCGTAGAATGCTGTCAACTTCTCTCTATTTGTGTATATTTCCTCTATTTCATTTGTAAACTCGTCTATTGCGCAATAAAGTGTCGTCTTCTTAAGCTGTACCACTGCAACAGTGCAGATGTTCTCACATTTCTTTTTCATCATTTCCCCAGGGTGAATTGTTTTGAATCCAAAACAAAACGCACTCGTAAACCAGGCTACGATTTTCGCCTAAATAAAAAGTGCAGTCTCACCCACCCATTCGATTTCAACAGCTTCAGAACGTTGTTTCTGGTGTATTCCTGATCTATGAAGTATTCGTGTTCCACCTTGTTGTACAACTTGTACAGCTGTATGCATTTCAGAGAGATGAATCCCTTGCTCTGCAATGAGAAAAGCGTGTTCTTTTGGTGTGGAATTGGTAGCAGTGAGTTGACTGTGATATCCTTATCACTAATAAACACCTTATTCTTAATAATCTGATACATTCTGTTTGATGCCGTATCACTCAATACCGTTCTCATTGCACTGTTTTGCAACAGTATTCTCTCATCATTTGTGAAGTTGTACTTCTCATCGACTATATTGAGTGCTGCTAGCCACTCTACGCCTTTCTTTATTTTTATGTCTTTATGCTCCTTGATGAAGTTGACTTTGTCCACAATTCCAACGTGTATCGTATTCTGTAGCACTTCGTATGCTTCTCGAACAGTTGGATGGTATCTCTGACTCAGGTACTCTCCGAATTCAGTACATATCATCAATCTGTCCAGTATTCTAGAATCAATTGTGTAGTAGCACGTATTCCTTCTACTTCTTTTGGGTCCATTTATGTCTTTAAGTTGTGGCTGTTTTTCTACAAAAATCCCAGCCTGTTTTAACAAGGCAATTTCAGCACTCTCCTTTTTGCTGCCTACAAAACCATTCACCAATGCATCCTCAAAAACACCCTTAGAGACACTGAAGTTGTTTCCAATGTATTCTTGATACATTCCGTAGTATTGTACACGTTCTATTTCCTCTCTGTTCAATCTATAATACAGTTTTGTTCCAACTTGTTCAAATATCACGAAATTCTTGTGACACAATATTGCTAGTGTGTAATATACCTCTTGTATTCCACTATCTACACCTTTTGATAGTGCTTCTGCATCTGCTATTCCCCATCTTATCAGATACTTCACTATTTCATTGATTCTACTGCTTTTATAGATATCCAAGTTCATTTCAGGTGTTTTTTAAAATTTTTTCCAATTTTGCCCACGGATGGAGAACAGGAAATTCAAGGACAATCAGGCACGTGGTGAAATGTGGACACCAAAGACGCGACTGGGATTGTTGGTCAAGAATGGCCACATCAAAAGCATAGATGAGATCTTCAAGCACTCTCTCAGAATTCAGGAGCCAGAAATAGTGGACCATCTGCTGGGAAAGGACAAGTTGCAGGAGGAGCTTCTCTCAATCAAGTCAGTCCAGAAGCAGTCTAAGGCTGGTCAGAAGACGTCCATGAAGGTTGTTGCAATTGTGGGCAATGGAACAGGGTACATTGGCCTAGGAACCCATTCAGCACGAGAAATGAGCACTTCTATCAAAGGTGCCATTTCTAAGGCAAAAATGAACATTTTCCCAGTGAGAATGGGCCAGTGGGAAGGACTTGGCACAAACAAGCATACAGTGGCATGCAAGGCATCTGGAAAGTGTGGGACTGTCATTGTGAAGGTTGTTCCAGCACCAATTGGAACTGGAAATGCGTGGTCAGACATTCAAAGGCGTATTTTCGAGCTGGCTGGAATCCAGGACATCTTCATTAAGTCGTTTGGGTGCACCAGGACGACTGAGAACCTGGCAAAGGCAACGCTGTTGGCTCTGAAGAAGTCGTCTGCGATGTACATTCCATCACAGTGGAATGACAGCAGAATCAGCGAGAATCCATTCATCAAGCACAGCGATACAATCAGGCAGCTTGAGAAGAAGAATCTTGCTCAATGAATAAATTCATGCGATACGAACAAATTCAAATGCAAATTTTTGAGCCGAATGAACCAGAGGAAAAATTGCACGAAGAATCTTACGGTGGTTGAGGAGAATGAGAAGGCGCAACGAGACGAGACTGTTCTGCTTCCACTGGAGATGCTGGTGTAGATACTGTTTGTGATGCTCTTTGCACTTGTTGTGGTCACATGCGAATACGTCCTCTGTGAGTCTCTCTACCTGAACAAGATTCTCTTTCTGCTGGTCTTCCTGTGGACCCATACACCATTCATTCTGATGTTCTTCAACATGGGGCGTCTGAAGCTGCTTGCTCTCATAGGCATCTTTATCGTCGAATGCCTGCTCTTGATTCTGCTCTTTATGATGAGAAATAGTCTCTTTATTGCACTAAAGCAGGACAGGAAGATGCTCTCTGAAAACATGCTTCATAGAATAGTGAATAAGCTTAATTCCAATGAGTCATGCGTGATATTACTGGTTGGAAACAGAATCAAGGCCGAGTTCATTAGGGCACTGAATGAGTATCCTGGATACAAGGAGAAGCTGAAGCCGTTTCTCTGCCACTCTGAGAGTCTCAGGCACAAGATGTCTCATCTGCTTGAAAATAGGCGATTCAGGGAGCTGACTGGCTACGAGAAGAAGCTTCTCTTTCTGATTGAAACCAACGAGCAGTGGTTCAGCAGCCAGCAGCTCTACCGCCATTTTTCGTCCTAAAAATTTGCCCATGAACCGAGTTTCATGCAGCTCCAGTGAGGAAGAGATCATCAAAAGAAGCAGAAAAATAAAAGTGAAGGAGGAATCTGAGAGCAGCCTGGTTGAGGGCGGTGACTACGAATACGACCAAATTGATCCACTCTTCTACGAGATATTTGGGGCTGGAAACGAGTACAACTACATTTACGAGAAGGAGGAGACAGAGAAAGAAGAAACAGAGAAAGAGAAGGCAGAGGAGTTGATAGTGGATGAGTTCGAGTGCTGCGAATACGTCAGAAAGTACATTGAGAATGCAGACAGAAATGCAGTAGCCTGTCTGCTACGAGGAGAAGCACTTGAATTCGTCTGCTTCCACATGGATGCATGTACAATCACAGATGGCCTGAATATCCTACGATTTGTGAATGAATACAAGGAGTATTGCAGAATGAGAAGAGAAGAACGATTCAAGAATGCATCGCAATACGACACATCCAGGGCACTAAAAATGTACAACAAGAAAATAGAAGACATTGACATCAATGGCCTGTTGAAAGTGTCCCATTTTATAGAAAACATGCGAGTATCAGAGAGACTGTACGAACCAGAGGGAAACCTGGCTGAAAGCTTCTACAAGTCAAACGAGTACACTGATGCAGCAAACCAGCTTGGAAACCACCCTGTTTTCGTAGAACATGTGCATAGATTCTATGAAAAGGCTCTATTGGACTATGTGACAGCTCATGGCAACGAAAAGAGCATTGAACGAATCAAAGAGGGCGTATTGTGTGATATCAGGGACATTCATCTTCCTATGCTGGAGAAGCTGTACATGTCAGACACGGATGAAGTTGGAAATGGAATCAGGCGGAAACTGTTCAGGGCTGCCTACGATAAAATCAACATGGACTACTTCAACACGGTCTTCAGAAATCTACAGAAAACTGGGCAAATTTACTCCAAAAATGGAATAGAGGAACTAACCAACATGTTGATCTCACTGAAGGGGAGACCTGGAGAGTATTACGGCCTCTATTGCGACAGATCGACTGTCTACATCGTGAAAGTGGATGAATTCAGCAACATCGTGGATAAGAGGGTCTTCAAGTCGCAGGCCCAGCGAGCTGAAATCTGCAACTACCTGGAAACAGCCTCAAACGTGGTGGTTGCGTCGAATACCACGAATGTCAGGTGGATTGTCGAGGCAATCAGATGCCCATGCTACTACCTGCCCAAGTCATTCTCCTACTTCAAGGAAAACAAGGAGTTCTCAATCCCCTACAACATCGCATGTGCTGTTCAGAATCCATCACTTTATTTCTCACGATGCATAAATGAGGGTGTTAAGGTTGAATTGGCCAACTCATTCGTAGAGACCGATGTGCTGAGACAGGCCATCACAGTCTCCACTGCCACTGACAAGTTGGACTTCAAGGGCACCCTCGACTCCCCATTTGGATACACGTTCTTCAAGTTGATTGGCGTCTCCCTGGTTGGAATCGAATTCGACTTCAAGAAAATCAGGGAGCTTAGAAACCTGGAAATCGACTCATTCACCCCTGAAGAAGTCAACCGAATATTCACGTTCTTCAAAGTCACTGACTCCCCCAACAAACTGGACCACTACAACATCCACCCCAGAAACTACTCGCTATTCAACGTGATATCGTCCTGTCTGGCTGATATCCGCGGAAACAAGCAGAATCAGGAGGAGATGATCGACTACATGCTCAACAACCTGAACGAGGTCTACAGCCTCGACTTCCTGAACGTGAACTATCCAAGCACATACATTCATCCAATGAGTGGAATGGGAATGCTGGTCAAAAGAGACCACTATTTTGGAGGAGTCAATGACAAAATGGTCTTCGAAGACATCATCCCCCAGAATATCGTGGATAGGCCCAGTACTGAAATTGGGGTACTGGGAGAGAGCACTGGTGTGGTATTGATCAAGAATGACGACTGGTGCATAGTGGATGTCCATGGCGTAAGGGTGTTTGTAGGGAGATGCGATCCAGTTGAGGTGAATCAGATCGTAACAGTCTGCCTCACTGAGCCAACCTACTCGCAGCTGACGTATCGCGGTGAGCTGGTTCCAAACCAGGCCAAGGAGGTCGAATTCAAGAAGCATCGCCTGTTTGTGGACTATCCAAACAACGAAATGCCCATTTTCATCAGACAGTCGAGGAGTAGCGAATACTTCTGTAACGTGGCACTGAGGGTGGAAAGAGGCCTCTACTTCCAGTACAGGATGGAAGAGGTGGAACGAAACAACGAGATATTCTACGTGATGAAGAGACCAGAAAAAGAGTACACTTTTGACAACCTGGACGTGTTCATTGAGGGCTACCTGAAACCAATGAACAGGTACGTTCACAAACTGACCACTTTCAAGTACTTCAAGACGAGTCAGGCGGAGGCAGAGGAGTACGTTGAGGCTGCTGGTGACAGATACAGGAGATACGCGTGCTATTTTGACAGAGAGAGTCCAGGACACGTCACGATGCTATTTGCTGAATTCAGACTCACCCTAAGGGTTGAACTGAATTTCATGGTCTACAAAAAGATTCTATTTGGGTCATTGGAGGAGTTCAGCAACTACTGCAAGAAGATGCATCCCAAGTTGTGATCAATTTGATCAAATTGTATTTTGAGCCCATTGATGAGACACGTCAGAACAATCAGAGCCAGTAGCCCAATTGATGCGATTGCTCATTTTGGAGGGAAAGTGGTGGCTGGATCGTACGAGTACAACTCAGAAACAGGAGAACGCACTGGTGAACTACTTGAAATACCAATGAGAGACAACCAATCTCATACAACCAGAATATCCAATACAACTGGTACACTATCACTATATGCCACTGATCAATATCTATATGCAGCAAATACAGACAATATCACAGTATATGATACTGATTTCAACGTAGTCTGGTTCCATCAAACTGATACGGGTGCAATCAACACATTCGTATTCAGAGGCATTGATTGCTTCTACATATCAAATACAGCTGGTAGAATACTGATAATTGATGATCAATACAACATTATCAGAGTTGATGTATCAACTCAGCCAATTTGGGTAGTGAAGGAGATTGGTGGCAAGTTGTACTGTGGCACTGAGAGTGGTGATCTATATCTGATAGAATGGGATTTGAGTAGAATTCTGATTGATGGAAACAGACTGGGAATAATTGACGTGGTTGAATTCAATGGGAGAATTCTGGTTTCAGGCTACGATGATTTGGTGGTGGAGTATTCGATTAGTGATCAGAGGAGACTGGCTGAATACACCATCAATAAATCACTATGGAGAATGGTGGTCCAGAATGATAGGCTGATTTGTGCAGCAATGTACGATGGACTGGTTGTACTGAACAAGAAGTACGAGGTGACTGATCAGTATCAGACAGAATCAATTGGATACGGAATACTGGTGATGGATGATGGAATACTGATCAGCTCATTCTACACAAACACAATTGAATTACTAAAATAGTTGATTACTCGTATTATTGGGAACTATCAATATTCTAGTTGATGAGAACTCGTATTCCTGTGAATAACCTATTGTCCTACAAAATGGTATTAGTACGCCTATTCATCATCTGATACGTCAGCATATGACACATTCTTCTCTGCCGCAATTCTATGGCTGCTTCGAACCATTTCAATCGCATTCTCCTCTGGTTTCATGTAGTAATTCACCACTTTCCTTCTTACGGTGAAGTTGTTCTTTCTGTAGAACTCAACTGCCCTGGTATTGCTCTCCCTCACAAATAGTTTGATGAACTCGTTCTCGATGTTATCCACAAAGAGCTGCACCATTCTGGTTCCCAGTCCCAGTCTTCTGGTCAGAAATGACGTACTCAACGCGTGTATCTGGTATCCATCGTACTTCCTGAACTCTCCTTCCTCAGTCTTCAGCCATTTGCTGATATTGAACCCAAATATGTATCCATATACGGCAGATCCACTTGTCAAGTTGTTGTAGTACTCCTGGCTGCTATTTGAGTACGTAATTGCGTAGAATGGCCTACTGTTGCGTACCATGTACCCCAGGTAGTACTTTAGAGTGTAATTCTCACAATAACTGTCTAAGTTGCACGTATCAAGCATAAAGATGTCTTCAGGAAGGAACTTCTTGTACGAGAACATCAAAATGGATGAAATATTTTGGTTTTACCCAGAAATGACGTCTAAAAAAGTGAGAAAGCACTCTGGGATACTGTATGACGACAGATTCAAGACAAAGGCCACTGTTAAGAAGAAGATGGTGGCAAGAAACACCGTATTGGAGCATTCGAGACTGAATAAGCTCAATGAGAGGCTGAATATTCAGAATTCGAATGAGAGAATAGTGGAGGCGTATTCTGGGATACTTGGAAGCGTAGATTACACGATGAGTCTTCCACCAAGGGTGCCATACGATGGAATTGCACCAAATGAGTACAAATTGGTTGAAGAAGAGGCATTCAACCACTGGAAGCACCTAAATGAGGGAATGGTCTTTGAGAAGAACATTGAGGTGTGGAGACAGTTCTGGATTGCGTGTGAGAGGGCAGAATGCATTGTACAGATTGTAGATGGTAGGAATATTGAGCAGTTTGTGAATGAGGACATCAAGAAGGTCTACCCGAATAAGAAACATGTGATCTTATGCAATAAAATGGATTTGGTTGAGAATGGAACTGTTGATAGGGCCAAAATGACTAACATGATTCATTCCAGTACAAAAGAGACCAATAGGAACCTGATTAGTGCCCTAATGGAGTATGGTAGCACTTTTGTGTTTATTGGCTATCCAAACGTGGGAAAGAGTAGCACAATAAACATGATAGTCCAAAGTAGAAAAGTGAGGGTATCAAGCACTCCTGGTAAAACAAGATACATTCAGACAATCAATGGATCCGACTTCACCATCTACGACACTCCTGGACTGGTATTCCCACGCCACAGCAAAATAGACCTGATACTGATGGGAGTGATCAATATTGATCACGTGATGGATCTGAGACAGTACGAAAGTGAAATAGTGAATCGTGTTAGTGGAAGCAGAATGGCAGGAAAAGAAGGAAATAGAGGCGTGGCTGATCTGGGAGAAATGAGCAATGCCAGAGGATGCACCAGAATGGAATCACTGAAAATGGTTCTGAAGGAGTATTTGGATAGAAGCACCTAACAAGCTGATCAGTGACTATTTGTCCATGAATATCACAGGTGACTCCCTGATGAAGTTCACGTCCACCTTGTGGCCAAGCAGCTCCCTGATGTTGTCCAATCGATATTTGATCATCGATGGCCTCTCGAGGCTGAGCCCCCAGGCTATCACAGTGACGTCATCATCGAATCCCATTGGCCTCAACATTTCTGGGCGGAATATTCCGCTGTTTCCAACCTCGATCCACTTCCCAAGGCCGTCGTGGTACCCGAACACCTCCATCGATGGCTCCGTGTACGGGTTGAATGCCGGCTTGAACTTGATTCGCTCCATTCCCAGCTTCCTGAAGAACGTCTCCAGAACGTGAATCAACTCGCGTAGTCCTTGATTCCTCCCTGCTACAACCCCCTCAACCTGGTGGAATTCAGCCAAATGAGTTGCATCAACAGTCTCATTCCTGAACACTTTGTCGATTGAAAAGAGCTTGGCATTGAATGGCCTGTCTTTCTGGTACGTCCTGGACAGTTCGTAGAGCATTCTGGTTGATATTGCGGTGGTGTGCGTTCTAAGGATGTTCTTCTTGGCCTCGCTCACATCGAAGCTGCTTCTGTGGCCCAGTGACTTTGGGTCCCTGATTTCCCCATTTTCGCTGACTGCTTCTTCACCAGAATGTTCTGAAATGACCAGTTTCAGGTGATTCGAATCCACGTCCACCAGGTCGTCGTAGGCGGGCTCCTCGATGAAGAAGGTGTCGTGACACTCTCTGCTTGGGTGGTCCTGTGGCTGGAAGAGCGCGTCGAAGTTCCAGAAGCTGCTTTCGACGTATCGAGCCGTGTTCATTTCACTGAATCCCATTTCGAGGAAGATTCCTTTGATTTCTTTTCTGATTTTGGTCAACGGGTGCAATGAGCCTGGAATCGGTAGGAGACCAACTGTCTCAAAGTTGTACGGCTTGAACAGGGAGACATCCGTGTTCAGGTTCTCTGTGGTGAGCTCCACCTGCTGGCTCGCTCTCTCTATTCCGTACATTCTTCCTCTTCTTATTTTGTACTGGTTCTGTTTGACGGATTCAATGAGTCCACGTTTCTTCATTTCTCTATCTTCTTCGGTAGTTAGGGTCTTTGGATCCAGTAGGCTCTTTCTGGTTCTGTCTTCCACCCCATCACAGATTGGTTGAATTCCACCACTTTCCTGTCTAATCCACTTGTTCTTGAATGCGTACTTCATTCCTGTCTTATCCTGGTCATTGATTACTCCATTCTTCCTCAACTTCATCATCAACAGGTATTCTGGTGATCCATTTCTTACCACCTCATTTCCTGCCTCAGTCAGTGCTATTCTATTACTGGTTGTGATGGAATACTCTACGGTCTCCTTGCTGGCTAATGAGAGCAGTGCTGCGTGTATTTCAGTATTGGATGCACCTAAATCAGCACTAGATATCTCAGGAGTCTCTTTCAGTAATTCGACTATTTTGGTTTCTAGGTCTTTCATGCGTAGGGATGTGAAAAGTTTTACAGGCATCACAATAATAGAATAAGTAAAGGAGGTAGTTAGGTAGGTGGGTAGAATAAGAGTAGACTATTCTAATAGATCCAATCTTCCCATTCTTCCCACCTTTATATCCTTTCTATTCCTCCTAATAAACCAGTCTATTTTAACCCTAACAAAATGGGACAGAAGCCAGGAAACATTGAGAAGCAAACAGACAACACCGCCATCAATCTCAAGAGGAAGAAGCGCGTCAGAGACTCAAAGAACAAGACGAATCTGCCGTCAATTGCGCCTGTTCTGAAGTGCAAGCTGCGTGGCCTGAAGCTGCTGAAAATCAAGGCCATGATGTGCATTGAGGACGACCTGCTGAACTTGGCAGACGCAACCATCGACAACGAGAACAAGATGAATGACAAATACGTCGTAGATCAGCTGAGAGGGAGTCCACTTGCAGTTGGGACACTCGAGGAGTTCGTAGATGACACCCATGCGATTGTTAGTTCACCAAATGGATTTGAGTACCACGTGAACATCCTCAGTTTCGTAGACAAAGATCTGCTTGAACCAGGATGCACGGTGCTGCTGAACAACAAGGACCAGAACGTGATTGGGGCACTGAACTCACCAGACGTGGATCCACTGGTCTCGGTGATGAAGCTGGAGAGGGCGCCTACTGAGACATACGCAGACATAGGCGGATTGGAGTCACAGATTCAGGAGATCAAGGAGAGCGTGGAGCTGCCACTGACTCATCCTGAACTGTACCAGGAAATGGGAATACGCCCACCAAAGGGGGTGATACTCTACGGTGAGCCAGGAACAGGAAAGACGCTTCTGGCCAAGGCAGTTGCAAACCAAACCAGTGCCACCTTCCTACGAATAGTTGGATCTGAGCTGATTCAGAAATACATGGGAGATGGACCCAAGTTAGTTAGGGAGATGTTTAAGGTTGCTGATGCGCATGCACCCTCAATAATATTCATTGATGAAATTGATGCAATAGGAGGAAAGAGGTACAATACGACGTCATCAGGAGGAAGAGAGATCCAGTCTACGATGCTTGAGCTGCTGAATCAGCTTGATGGATTCGACACCAAGGATGACATTAAGGTTATTATGGCAACAAACAAAATAGAGAACTTGGACCAGGCACTGATTCGACCAGGGCGAATTGACAGGAAGATCTACTTTGGTCTCCCAGACACCGAGACAAAGAGAAGCATCTTCAGAATCCACACTGGGAAGATGACACTGGCAAAAGACGTGGACCTGGAGGAGCTGGTTGCGGCAAAGGAGGAGCTGAATGGGTCGGACATCAAGGCCATTTGCACAGAGGCAGGGATGTGTGCATTGAGGGAGAGAAGGCGATACGTGGTGATGGACGACTTCAGAAAGGCAAAGGAGAAGATATTCTACATAAAGAAGGGAGACACGCCACATGGGTTCTATGTCTGAGAGACGAGGCTGATTAAAATGTGTGCTCTGAAGTACCACGATGCATCAACAGGTGGCTTCCGAGGAGCAGCTGTGCTCAAGACTGGCAGGAAAAATAGAGAACTATTCACCCGTGGTATATGAGCCAATGATTGGGGTAAAAATAGTGAGAAATTGAAAGTGGAATAAGCATAATTTATGCTAATAGAAGCATAAATCAGAATGCATAAATACTCTAAGATTGGTTGCACATTCTGAATCACACTGTTTGTGCATCTAAAACACTCCCTCAAAACACTCCCTGACAACAATACGAATGATATTCAGCTACTTCCACTGCATATGGGCAGTAGACAAGTCAAACTACTTCAAATTCGCAGAGAAACTCAAGGACAGTCTGGGAGACGACGACCTCAAAAAGAGCAGTCTCCTGTGCAGCACAAACAACAATAAGGCGTGTACGACAGACTGCATGGCCACCAACAGCTGTAATTCGCCTTCTACGACCACGGCATCGACCAAACCAACCCTCTCATTTTTGAATAGCGGTGACTTCTGCAAGTACATCACCTACTACGATACAATGCCATTTGTCAATCCATTGGATAAGATGATCTATACACGAATATTGAACGAGAATCCAACTGAATTGGCACTCTGTAGGAACAGGATGTCCTGTGATACGACCAATAAGAAGCCTGAGATAAAAAACAATACGATCATAATTCAGCCTGGTAGCAGTTGTAGCACGAAAGAGCCTACAATTCAAACAATCACCAAAATAGTCGATAACTGCAATCGTACGATAGTTGAGAATGGGCAGACGACTGTTTTAGCAAAGCCAGGTGGATTGGGCTGTGTTGCCACTGCAACTGGGCCAGCTGTGACTGTTGCACCATCAACTGTGCCACAGCAGATTCAGACTACGACTACGACCACAACATTGATCAGTACAACCCAGGCTACTCTGACTAGTACAGTGGTAAAGCCATGTTTCATCACAGTATCACAGCCATCAGTGGTATCAACAATAGTTCAGAACAGACCAGTAGAAGTGATTAGACCAGCACAGTGTGTGACACAGAGTAATAGAAAGAATATTGATTCAGAGACATTGAAGAACCTGACAATGTTGATCAAAGAATTATTGGATAGTAAAACAGTGACAGTGCCAGTTAAGAAAGAAGAGAAGAAACCAGAGCAAACTAAGGAAGAGAAGAAAGAAGAGAAGAAGCCAGAGCAAACATCAACAAAGACCACTACACAAACAGCATTCAAAACGAAGACACAGACGCAAACTCAGACACAAACTCAGACTCAGACAGAAACAAAGACACAAACACAAACACAGACGCAAACAGAAATCAAATCAAAACCAAAGGAAGAAAGCAGCACCAAAACGTGTTCAAAATTGACTAAGGGATCCAACGTATTCAAGAATCTGATTGCTGAATTAACAGGAAACAAGGCAAGTCACCTGATTGGAATTGAGTACCTGAAGAATAAGTTCAAGGCGAATACGCCAAGTAGACTCTGTGAGAGTGAATCAGACAGCAACTGCGTGATGCTGGATGATAAGATGAAGAGGGAATTGAAGAAGGAGTTGCAGAAGGAGATAGAGCGAAGAAGTAGGGAGAAAGAGGAAGAGTTCAACAGGAAGTTGGATGAAAAAGAGAAGGAGATCAAGACAATGAAGAAGGAAATCAAGAATCCACCTGTGACCAAAAAGAAGGCGGAAAAGGTGACTACGAATGATTTGGTTACTGAATTGGTCAAATTCATCAACAAGGACAATAGGACAGAGGAGGATGTTCTGAAGATGTTGGACCTGATTGCACTGGTGAAGAACAATAAGAAGAAAGGTGATAAATACACCAGACTGATGTCAACAGTCACAGTCACAGTTGAGAAAACAGTGAGTGTGGGAGAAGCAGGCAAGAAGAAAAGCAGTGCATCTGACACCAACTCAGTCAGTACAGCAGCAATAACCAACTTAGGTGAGTTAATCAGGGTAGTCAGTTCCAATACAGTTAGCCCTAATACGGTTAGCTTCAATACAGTTAGTCCTAACACAGTCAGCTCCAATACAGTTAGCCTTAATACGGTTAACACAGTCAGCCCTAATAAAGTCAGCTCCAATACGGTTAACACAGTCAACTCATCCAACACCACCAAAACAGCACAGCCACCTACCACATCCTACAATGATGAGAATACGATACTGAACAAGATTAAGAAGCTGATGAGACTGGAGCAGCCTAAGAAGTACTACAATGAGGCAGAAATAGAGAGGCTACAGCTGGAGATAGAGCAGAGGGACACTGAGATCAAGGAGTTGCAGAAGAAGCACAAGGCAAAGAAGATAGAGGGATTGGAAGAGGAGAAGTTTGAGAATCTGAAGAAGAAGTTGCAGGAGTTGGCTGAAAAGAGGCGTAGAATTCTGAATGAGCTGACTACCAAGGAGGAGATGACGAATGATGAGATCTATGGAATGGAGGCCAAGGAGTTGAGAGAGAATGCGAAGGACGATCTAAGGAAGTCAGGTGATGGTGATGAGAGAATGACAGTCACAGCCACCAGAACAGTATCAGCAAATGGAGCACGAAAGAAGTTCAGCAAAAAGAAGATGGAGCAGATCAAGAAGAAGATTGAAAAAGAGTTGAAGAATGTAGAGAGGTTGAGTAGCAGCGAAGAGGAAGGGGTAAAATCAAAGTCAGTAGCAAAGTCAAAACCATTAACATTATCAAAGACAAAGGCAGATAAGATGGACAAATCCATAGAAACAGACAAAACTGATTGCACTACCAATAATTGCAGAAGACGTGTTGCAATCAAATCAGCTGAAATCAAACTGAGAGACACCAGAAGAAACAAGAACATCAAGATCAACATACCAATCAAAGAGATAAATGATGCAATCAAGGAAGTAGAGGCGAGAAATAAGTAAAGAGTGATAAAGAACCTGTAAAAATTTACCCAATGACAGGGACAGTCGCAATCACGTTCAAGAATGAGACAAAGAGCCATCCAGTTGAGAATGAGACCAAAGTGAGTGATATTGTTCATAAACACTACAAAAGTGATGGAATCATCACATGCAGAATCAATGGATCACTTTCAGACCTATGTTCACCAATTGGTGAAAACGGGGAAGTCGTCCTCTACGACTTCAGTAGCCAGGATGGAAAACACGTCTTCTGGCACTCATCTGCCCACGTCCTGGGAAACGCACTGGTCAACCTGTACGGGGTGAAACTGGTGAATGGGCCACCTGTGGAAGAGGGCTTCTACTACGACATGGAAACAGAGAGGACATTTGGGGAGAACGACTTCAGGGAGATAGAGAAGGAGTGTCAGAGACTGATGAGGGCGAATAGTCGATTTGAGCGGATTTACAGAAAGAAGGACGACCTGATGGCGTACTACGAGAACAACAGCTGTAAGACGTATTTCATAGGCAGAATTGAGGATGATGAAATCAGCTGCTACAAAAATGGAGATGGCTTCCTGGACATGTGCATGGGCCCACACCTGGGAAGCACTGGTCAAATTGGGGCACTGAAGGTGACCAAGGCGTCCTCGTGCTACTTCCTGAATGATAGTCGAAATAGGACACTTCAGCGCATCTACGGCGTAAGCTACCCAAACAAGGAGGAGATGAAGGCGTACGAAAGACGGCAGAAAAGAGCAAGGGAAATGGATCACCGCAAAATAGGGCGAGAGATGGAGCTGTTCTTCTTCCACGACTACTCGCCAGGAAGCTGCTTCTGGCTGCCAGATGGGGCTGTGATCTATAACAGATTGGTCAGCTATATCAGGGAGGAATACCTGAAAAGGGGATTCAGGGAGGTGATTACGCCAAACATGTTCCACCTTGATTTGTGGAAGGAGTCTGGCCACTACGAGAACTACAAGGAGAACATCTACAGGGTGGAGGACGAGGAGTACGCCCTGAAGCCGATGAACTGCCCAGGCCACTGCGTGATGTTCAGGAGCACCGACCACAGCTACAGGGAGCTGCCACTTCGATACGCCGACTTTGGCGTGCTTCACAGGAACGAATGCAGTGGGTCTCTGACTGGGCTGACTCGAGTCAGGCGATTCCAGCAGGACGATGCCCACATATTCACGCCAGGTGGCCTGGTTAGGAGCGAGATACTCGGATGCCTCGACTTCCTGAAATGCGTCTATGGGCTGTTTGGATTCGAGTACGAGCTGTATTTGAGTACACGCCCTGAGAAGAGCATGGGCGAGGTGGAAGAGTGGAACGAGGCTGAGGACGCCCTACGAGACGCAATTGTTGCCTCTGGCCACTCCTACACCATCAACGAGGGAGATGGTGCATTTTATGGCCCAAAAATAGACATCATTCTGCTTGATGCATTTGGGAGAAAGACGCAGTGTGCGACAATTCAGCTCGATTTCCAGCTGCCAAGGCGGTTTGGGCTTCGATTCAAGAACGAGATGGGCGAGATGGAGAGGCCCGTGATGATCCACAGGGCCATTCTGGGCAGCATCGAGAGATTCGTTGCCATTCTGGTTGAGTCGTATGGGAAGAATATGCCATTCTGGCTCCATCCAAGGCAGATTGCCCTGATTGGAATCAGTGAGGCAGTGAATGGGTATTTGGGTGGAATTCAGGCGAGATTGAGGGAGATCAGTGCGGATATCGGAATCAGAAACTACGTGGATTCAAAGGACACCCTGGGGAAGAAGGTGAGAAAGGCCACCTTGGACGGATGCAGGGTGATTTGTGTCGTGGGCGAGAAGGAGGCTGAAAATGGCGAGATCAACGTCAGGCAGGGGAATCAGAATGGGAATGTGGGCGTGGATGAGTTCTACAGGGTGGTGGATGGAGCACTACGAAGCAGAAGCAGGGATCTCACATTCACCCTGAATAAATGAGCTACAGATTCATGTCGTGTAGGTCTCGTCTGAATGTCCTGTAGACCTCAGTGCATTCTCCATCGCACTTCTTGTTCTGGCAGAGGCAGACGTAGACTTTGTCGTCGTTCTTGATTTGCTTCAGGTTGAATTGGACAATCTCATTCTTCAAATTGGCCTTGAACTTGTTCTGGAGGTATTCGGAGACAGTGAATTTGTGGAGCAGAATCCGCTTGATATTCACCGTGTTTGTGGTATCGGTGTCAACAGTGGTTGATTTGTCTACGATGAATCCGTTGTTGCTGACTGTGCTCTGAGATAGGGCTGCTTCCCGTGAATCGTACACTTTATCAGTGATGATGTTTCCTGTTTTGGTATCAGTGTATTCTGTATCATTCAGTGGCCTGAATTCAATATTTTCGTACATGTACAATATTCTTCCATTCTTGTGGAATACAGTCACGTTTCGTATTTTGAATTGGCTTGGTTTTCCTATTTCCAGGTAGTAGTTGTAGAGTCTGCCATCTGTTGGTATGTACTTGTATTCGTTGCTAAAATCATCCAGTGTTAGTTTGATATACTTGATTGTTTTATTCTTTGACTTTCTATCTTCCTCCTTGTACTTGCTGAAGTATATTTTGTTATTTGGCTCAGTTCGACGCTGCTGAATGTTCAATTCCGTAAGTGACCTGTTTTCTCTGAAACTCTGTTTGGCACTCTTCTTCTCAAGCTGGCGCATGGCATCGGATCTGTCCTTCTCACTCATCTTGAGCATGTTGCCCTTTTTGTCGAAAAAGGTGGCCTCGACTACTCTGATGGTGGTGGCCTGGATCATATAGAGTATGAACATGTTATTTGTTGACCAAATTGTTTTATGGTCAAAACAATCAAATTGATCTAAAACAGTCTGTTGGGGGTGTCTTCGTAATAAGGTAACTGGTGGATTATTGTACATGATTCAATGACTTGTTACTATGATATTCGTATCAATGCAGTTGAATGTTAGTGTAATAGCAGTACATATGATGAATACCACCCCAAACACAATTAGTTCATTACCTGTCAGTTTCACTAGTTCAATCTTCTCATACAGAATATTCCAGTCGAATAAATTGTCACAGCACAAGAAGAGCATCACTCCAAATGAAATGGAGAGGAATATGATGAATTTGGTGTTTCTGATTCTACTCTCTTTGAATGCACCGTAATTTGCGAAGAAACAGACCTTGATCAAATACAACCACATTGTGACGTAGAAGAGAAGAGTGGCCTGGTTTGACTTCTCGTTGATTTGGTTTTCTGAATCTGATTCAGACAGTTTGGATAGCATGTGTGGTGATTTGATGAAATATCTGCATGTAATGAAGTACACCAGAAATATCAGAAATAGCTCAGCCAGAATACGGCCAATTTGCATATAGATTTTGACTTGTGGTCTGTGTCTGTTTAAGACCTTGCTGCTTTTGAACAAGACCAGAAGATTGGCTAGGCCGTAGAGGCTAAGCAAATCATTAATGAGACTGCAACCGTCACTGGGGAAGTTCATGTCGAATAAAAGTGCAAGCATGGCCAATCCAGTGAGTACCTGGGCATAGAACACAAACTTAAACTGACTGAGCCCAGTGACCAGAGCTCCCTTTCCTTCTTTGATCAAATCCAAAACAGAATTCAAAGACTGTGCTGTGAATGTGCTTACCAGATTGTTAGATCCATCTGAAAGAAGCAGTCCCACATCAGCAGCACCAAGTGCACCTGAATCATTTGCCCCATCTCCACAAAACAAGGTTGTTCTGTTATCAAATTGTTCAACAAGGTGCTTCTTCAATTCAGGTGTGAATCTTGCAAAAACAATACCCTTATTCAGAATCAGCTTCCTATATTGATCAATATTAATCAATTCATCATAATCACGTGCTTCAATTGCCAGGGCATATTCAATCTCAGTACAATCGTCATATTCAGAATACAACTCCAATTTGTTCCTATCAAATCGATAGTCATCATCAGCCACACAAACCCATTCGATATCAAATTCCTCTCTAAACGAATCCAATAGAAACTTCGTATTTCTGGTAGAAGACTCCTCATTGATAACTGGAAAGATGACTGGTAGATCAACTGGAACCATTCCACTCTCCCTTGCTACAGAAATTGCTGTTAGAATCGAGTCACCTGTGCACATTCTGCTTGCGATACCTGCATTTTTCAGGTCTCGAATCACCCCCTTTGTCTCTTTCTTCAGGTTGTTAGCGAAAACAAGGAATCCGAGAAAGATGAGCCCATCTTCTGCCATTGTCCTATTCTGCTTCATCTTATCAAGATCATCTTCTTCAATGGTCTTGTACGCTAGCACCACCGTCCTGTATCCTCTCATTCCAAACTGCTTGTTTTTCGTATCGAATTCTGCTGGAATCACCGTAGAACATTTTGCAATGATTTCTGGTGCACCCTTGCAAAATACGAAATGCTTCCCAGTCAGTTCGTTTCTTACAATCACGCTCATTCTTTTCAAGGTGGAGTTGAATTCGAACACGTGTAGAATTCTGAATCTGCCGTATTCAGTCTCAATCAACTCATCCAAATTGATCTCTTCCATATTTGATTCTCCAACCAGAACCCTATAATCCTGCTCCTCTTTCGTGTTATTCCTATTCCTGCATTCCTTTAGGAGTGTTTTATTTGCGCTGTTTCTGACGTATTCGACTGTGATTCCATTGCTGGTCTCAGTCAGCTTTGCACCTGTAAACAGAAACATCTTCATATCCAACACATCTCCGCTGTATTCCCCATTGATTTCAACAATCTGGTGACACGTGGCCATGCACAGCTTAGCCAGGCTGTCTTGGGCAAATTCACCTGCTTCACGTATTTTCTGATCGATCGTATCAACACATTTCACTTCCAGTCCAATCTCCGTCAGTGTCCCCGTTTTGTCAAAGACGCAAAGATCAACACTTCCAGAAATCACAATTCGATCTCTGTCATTGCAGGAGATTCCAAGGCCACGTAAAACGGAGATAGCCCGTAGGATTCCGAAGCAGTAGCAGGTGACAAGGGAGGGAGAGAAGACTGTGGCAAGCAGATCAAGGCAGTAGACGCATGCCAATCCAAATCGGACGTATTGAGTCATATACGTGACAAAACCCAATACAACGAGGATTGTGGCCATCATCAGGTAAATTGAGATCACGAAGGAGTCATTGGCAAACTGGTTGTTTGGCTTTTTTCTGATCAGCATGTTTTTCACCAGCTGTCCACTCTTTGTTCTTCTTCCAGTCTTCACAACGATTCCCTCAGCAAAACGATGTGTTGTCAAAGCTGGTTCAAAACTCTCTGGCTCAGTCTTCTCAACAATATGTTTCTTCTTGTCATCCATCAGGTTTCTGACTCTCACCAATTTGGAGCTATGACGTGTTTTTAGCTTTGAATTGCATTCATTTGAAATGCTTCGAATCACCCTTGTTCCAGCATAAATTATGTCATTTGTTCCCTTACAAATTGGCACAGATTCACCTGTTAAAAATGTCTCGTCTGTTATTACGTCTCCATGAATCAGAAGTGCATCACACCTGAATGTCTTTGTTGGTTCTATCAAAATGATGTCTCCTGGGAATATGTTCTTGTAGCTCACTGCTTTGTATTCCACTACCCCTCTTTCATTCTCAATCCTTTTATGTATTTTAACCTTATTTGTCGAACGAATTTCCTGTTTAAGCTTGCTATTATGCATGTATTCTTCATAGATGCTCTTAAAGAAGAGTGTCATGTAGATAACACCTGTTACTCCTGCGTATATGTAGAATCTGATTGATATCCAGACAACCACTACGCTCATCTCCCATAAGAAGTCTATTTCAAAGAAGTTATCTTCGAATATTTCCAAGGGTGTTTTAACGGGAACCCTAATTTCATTCAGGCCAAATATTATTCGTCTTTCAAGTGTGCTCATTTGTTCAATATTCTTCATTGAATAGTCCGGTGATACGAATTGATTCAGTTTGAAGTCAAATATGAATCTAGAGTAGGGTGTATCAAGAATCTTTGCAACGCCCTTCTTTTCGTCAATGTACCTTTTCAATAACGGTAATCCTGATAACTCATCTAAGTTGTTTTCATACAATTCCAGCATATGAATCGAATGTAACTCTTCGTTTCCATATTGATCAATTAATATCACGTGTGTGGCCTTCTCAAATGTCGCATTTACATACTTGAACTGCAAATGTGCCTTTTTGCTTAATTTGCAGAGCACATAATATATTGAGCATGTTAATACCGTTAGTATGATCTGGTATACGATGCTTAGTTCCTTAATTGCAATAAAGCTGATTGTCTTTGATTTTGTTATTTTCTTTGTAACGGACATTTAAGGGGTCAATGCATTTAAAATGTCTGGTTGAATTGATATGAACCGAATAATATGTCCAATACTAGAATTGACATAAGTCGAGTGGTAAATGACTTGTTGTTTAAAGTATTCTCTTTGTTTATTGAATATTTTAAAGATAAAATCCTGAAAATGTTGATTTTTTGTTGTTTTATTTTTAAATTGTAGTAAAACAAGGCCATTAGAACATTCTTACATTTTATAGGCCCAATACATCAACAAATATCCTATTAATCAGACATAAAACCTTTTTTGGAGTCTTCCTAGAAATCAAACACCAATTTTAATTGTTCTGGCTTATTATCTCAACTTAAACAGCGTTCTTCTGAGTCAGCCTCTGCCTTCTTCTCCTTTCTTTGAGTGCTGGAACCACGAGCATTTCTACGAAATAGTTCAATATCATGGAACCTATCAATATGCATGGTAGAATTGCAATATTCAGGTTGGTTAAGCTCTGAATCTGCATATTCTGCACCACAATCATCGCAATTCCAAGTGTCAACACCAGTACACGATTCATGAAGAATGATGGACTGATTTCACTTGCTGAGAATTCAAAGAATATTCCAAGTATGAATAGGAACGGAGATGCCCCCATCACAGACTTCCTGAATGTTATCGTGAGAATGCAGCTTAACAGAAATGCCCACGATGCAATTCCAACAAAGAACTGAATGATTCTCACGTACATGATAAATGACATGATAGTGATCAGTGTGATGTGCAATGCTGGATGCGTATAGATCTCACCACTTGCAAGGAATACCAGGAACTCAGCCAGAATGGTAGCACTTATTCCACCTAACACACACTTCTGGTATTTCTTCACTTTCAGCAATGGCACTGTGGCGAATATTGCCGTAAACAAATAGTAATAGCTGATTAGAAATCTGATTGTGTTGTAGTTTGCGTGCATCAGCCCATCACAAAACGTCTTCACGTAGGTGTAGCCCTCTCTGAAGTCAAAGATTGTTTTTATCATGGGCTAAAAATGATATTTTTCCTATGATTTTGATTTAAGGGGGATGCAATTCGACTACAAGATTTCAGGCTGATGCTCATGCGATGAATTCACCGTGTTTTGTTTGCTCTGTTTATGCATAGCCCCAAAATGACAAAAAATTTCATGTACGGCGACAGGACGGCTGAGACGCAACGAAAGCAGAGACAGGAGGAGAATGTGGAGCTGAGACGCGTTCGAACTGAGGAGCTGCTGAAAAAGAAGCGCGAGGCACTCGAATCCACGACCAATGTTGTATATGCTGCATCAAGACAGAAATTGGAAAGCTACCAGCCTGAGGACATCTACAATGGAGCATATGAATTCAGACTGGTTCTATCACAGGAGAATAATCCACCAATCCAAGCCGTAATTGACTCAGGAATAGTAAACAGGGTTGTAGACCTGCTTGAGCCATCCTTCTACGTAAACGCAGGCATTGCATTGGAACGAGCCAATGCGATAAGAATTGAATGCGCATGGATTCTAACTAACATATGCACAGGAACGCACGAACAGACGCGAGTGGTAGCAAGAACACGAGCACCGATGCTACTGGTTGAGATGCTGTGCGAAGAAGACCACGGTGTTGTGGATCAGAGCGTCTGGTGTCTTGGAAACATAGCAGGAGACTGTGAGGAATTCAGGGATGCGTTGATTCAGATGGACGTGGTGGAGAAGACGATTCATAAGATCAACAAGTACGGAACAGACCAGTTGAACATCAAAATACTAAGGAATCTGCTCTGGCTGCTATCGAATTTGAATCGAGGCAGAAATCCATCGCCTGAAAAAGAGAACATGCAGAAATCACTGCTGGTGTTTGAGCAGTTTTGTTTGTCTCAGGATGCAGAGACAGTTTCCACCTGTTTCTGGGGCATTTCGTACATTTGCGACTCAGACGAGGAGCTTACGACCTACATCCTCAATTCGGTGATGTTTAGGAAGATGTACGAGTTGCTTAGCTCATTCACGCAGTACTTGCAGACACAAAGAGGAACTAAGTCAATTCAAACAACAATATGCATTTCTGCGATATCGCCATTGATTAGAACAGTTGGAAACATCGTGTCTGGGTCAGATGAGCAGACTGAGATCGTCATCAAAAGCGGAATCATCGAAATGCTCCCAGTGATATTCTACAACTTTGGTAGCAAAAAGATCGCCAGAATCAGGAAGGAGATCTGTTGGACACTCTCCAACATATCTGCTGGTACAGTAAACCAGGTTAGGCATCTGTTTGACAGGAGATTCATCTCAATGCTCATAGATGCCATTTCTAAGTACGAGATATTCATTAGGAAAGAGGCTATTTATGCATTAGTAAGCATATCTGCATTTGCATCAAGTCAGAATCAAACGAACGAATTATTGGATTTGGGAATCATCAAAGGACTCAAAAAGTGTATTGAATCATGTGCAAACTACCCGGATGTGCTGGTTCAGACATTGGAAGTCTGTGCGAATCTGTTTGACGGTGGAGAAGAGATGTTGAAGAGAACAGGCGTAAACAGAGTTCATGAGGAAATGGTAAACAGCAAATTGGCCGATATGATTGAGGATTTGCAAGATGTCAGGTCAAATGTAGTTGCAAGCAAAGCATACGACATCATTATCAAGTATTTCAATGGTGAGGATGAAGATGTGTATTGATTGAAGACGTATAGGAAGAATAATAAATGAATTAATGATGAAATCAAAACATATTACCAGGTTAATCACCTATTCTGGATTTTATCAATTTCTCATGTTAAATACTGTTATTTATGTTCTTGGTATCTTATATATTCTCTCTAACCTATTTTCTTCACTGTTATACATCTCAAAACACTCCTTCAGCCCAATGTTTAATACTTTTGATTCCTGGTAGATCACATAAATCGAATATATGTCGAATATAATGTTGAGTAAAATTGTACCGCTTGCTTCAAAGAACTCAGACTCCGTAAACCAAATCAACTTCGATTGCATCAGAATAATGCAGATCAGCTGGCTTGTTACGGCGACCTTAAGAATAGTTCGTTGCTCTCTGTACTCTTCATTCAGCCTACATGATAATAAAAATACGATCAGTGTAATCAATAGCAAATTGGCTAACCTGATCAATATGTCTACGATTATGCCAATTGGATTAGTATACTGTACAACTTCGTGGGTACCGTAACACAATCCAAATAATACCACAAATATGTATGTCACCAGGAAGAATAAGAACGGGACTCAGAGTCCATGGAGTTGCTGTCTTTTCTGATATGCTTCAACAAGTTGTGCTTCACTGGTGTAGGCTGATATCAGCGATGTTGATATAAATCCAATTTTTTGATGGAAATCAATGGTAATTATCACCTCAAATAACATGAGAAATAAAATCATTGCAACTAATTCGTAATGCACTGTCAGATCAAACTGTCTAAATATCACCAGTATCTTGATTCCAGTAAATACTGCCATTGGATAGAAGAATATCAGTGCAATGAATGCGGTATAGTATATTTGCACATCAACATTGCTCATTGCATAGACAAACACTGCCAATGCCATCATATTAAACATCATCAATTTGCTCAGCTTGTTCACAACGAATATTTTAACTGATCTCGTATTGGTTTTCTTGACTGGTAGATGTAACATGAATATTATTGTATTTTTCAGTATGAAGATCACCGTGTGAATCAGTAATCTTTGACTCATTTCTTTCTGAAAACCTGCAATATATTTCATAGGGCTTTGGTGTTTATTATTCTTCAAAACAAAAGATGATCAGTAATCGTGTTTTTTATGAAATTGCACTGCTAACATCACACTAGTTTGTGACTATTAGTTTGTGATCGTAGCAGAAAAAGCTAGTTAAGGTGTCAAAAATAATATACAAATATTCCAGAATGCATTTATGACGGTGTTTCATTGCTAAATAACTCATATTTCTCAACTCTTACTCTGTGATCTAAAAACATTTCATCTAAGAATCAAAGTTGTCCTGGTCACATGTTTTTCAACTTTCCCTCCAAAATTCCATATAAAAAACAGCGTGTTTTGTTACCCCAAGATGCCAGGAAAGAGTGGAAAGAGAGACGTAAAGAAGACATCATCTGGAGACAAAAACAGAATGTTCTTTAAGTTGACACAGGTTAAGAGAATTATGAAGCACACCACGTACATGAGGGTCTCAAAGGACGCCCAGATTGCGATGTCATCTGCTCTAGCGTACATCATTCTAGAATTGCTGGATGGTGGTAAAACAATGGCTCAAGACGATGGAAACAAGAAGAAGATCAGTCCAAGACACCTGAGTAATGCAATCAATGCAGACGGAGAGCTGAGTTCATTGCTGAAGGACTACGTCATCCAGTCAGGTGGCTGCAGAGGATTCAGGCTACCAGAAGTCACCAGAAAGAATTAAACAGTATGAAGAGTGTTTTACAAATAAAATAAGTCACTAATGTTCTCTTTTGACTCGTCATCTTGTGCCAGGTATTTCATTAGGACCTTTTCATTGTGTCTTATTTCATCCAATTCGATGAATTTCCAACAGTTTGTTTTCTTGTTGTTTCTAGTGGTGGCNTAAACAGTATGAAGAGTGTTTTACAAATAAAATAAGTCACTAATGTTCTCTTTTGACTCGTCATCTTGTGCCAGGTATTTCATTAGGACCTTTTCATTGTGTCTTATTTCATCCAATTCGATGAATTTCCAACAGTTTGTTTTCTTGTTGTTTCTAGTGGTGGCAATTTTGATGAATTCAGGGTGTTTAGAGAGAACCTGTCTAATATTATTCTTCCAAGTCACAGAATTAGACTGTAGGAATATGTGTGGATATTTGGCAGTGGCATATGCAAATACCTCACTACTGGTTGCGTGACACTGTTCGTAGTGTGCTATAGCATCTTTTATGAGTTCAAAGTACGTGAATGGTTTGAATATCTTCTGCTTTCTCATGCATAAAATGTAGGAATTTGTTTGTGAAACAAAATGACATGATTTTATGCTAAGTATTTCAACCCATAAAAATGCAATTTACAACAACCAACATAAATCACAGAATAAAGCATTTGGAACCGATTTATACGATCTGTTCGGATGGATTAGGTTGTACTGTTTCAGGTGGAATGAATGGCGAGATGAAATATTGGCAATCTAATTCAGAGAATCAAGCATCATTCAAATTGGTAAAAACAATCAAAAAGCATTCAGGTGCAGTTACGACCTGTAAATTTACGACAGATGGGAAATACCTGATTTCTGGTGGAGATGATGGGCGAATAATGATACATGAAGATAGAAAGGTTGTTAAATCAACCAAACCATCAACCAATGACATAATAGCTTTAGAAACAACCATGTTAAAAGAGACTTACTGCATTTACGCCTTGGATATTGCCAATAGAATACAAGTGTATCAATTCACTGAATTGGTGCCATTGAAATTGGTTGAGACGATTGAAATAGATGGAGCTGTTCTAGCCATAGCAATAGACAATATCAACATCAATTCACTGGGTGATCTGTTTATACAGACAGAAACAAAGATACTGAAATACAAAGGCATGAAATTTGAAAAAGAAGTCGCCATAGAAAAAGGTATACTCGTGGAGCATATGGCTGGTAAGATGTTTCTATTTGGACACTACTTAGCCATTGGTATACAATTCAACAATCGGGAACACACTGTTGATATTTACACAAGAGACCTGAAAAGAGTTTACTCACTTGTTGGCCATATTGCACCGTGTGAAGTAGTAACATCCAAAGAATTCAATCTAAGGACTACAGAAAAGGTTGTAACCAGTTCCATTCTGGTTGCATTTAGCCAAGATTGCTCAGTTTCATTTTGGACTACGCTGTCATGCAAACCATTTTTGCTACTTAAGAATTTCAGCAATGGACCTGCAATGGATTATTATTGGAATAAGAACAGTTTATTCGTGAGTTTCTATGATGGAACTGTGAAGCAAATTGAATTCACATCTAATGAGATTTCAGGAGAAAAGATAATTGAGAGAAGAATTGAGAGTATGCCATTCAGTGTAGCAAGCAGAAACATGCTAAAGGAACAAATTAAAACACCTAAATACACACCAGTACAAAGGAAAAGCACAAATGTAATGCAGGTCGATTTATCTGCTTTAGGAAAAGAGCAAAATAAATCACCAGAGTTAATGAGCACAGGAAACAAGGAACAAAAGAGAGCTAAACCAGGAAACAAGGTTGATATAGGCAGAATAAAGCAAGTGCAAGCAAAGTTGGAAGAAGTAGAAAACGGTAATGGAACAGTCCCTGAAAAAAATGAAGAAAACAAAACCAGCGAGAAAGCACCTGCAATAAAAAGAATTAAACCAACACTGATACGATCAGAAAGCACACCAATGACTAACAACAACCTGAATTATAGTTGCAACGACACATCAATATCATTCACATTTAACAACCCATCCATTCACATTGCACCAACGCGTGAGTTCATGCATTCAGTTAAGCTTAATCATGATTTCATGCTAAACAACATGTGCATGAACATTGAATACAAAGACAAGGCAATTGTAGGATATAGAGAATTCAATGACAGCTTCCTTGAAATCTACAAAATACAGCTACAGAGTCCGGTACACATAAGCTATTCAAGTGAGCTACTATTGATTTATGAACACAGTTACCTGAAAATATACGATATCGCAAATGGTCAACTTCTCCACCCATTCATTTGCAAAGAGATAGCCTACCTGTGCATTACCCACAACAATACAATTTTATCTGTTGATTCACGTGGTAAGATTGAAATGGTGACACTAATTGTAAAGAACAAGAAGCTTGTTTTAAACATGGAAGTCAATTTACCTAAGCTACAGAAATTCAAATCAGTTGATGTGATCATGGGAAATCCAGAAAGTGGAACTAACATTCTGTTAGCAACATATGAGAATGATGAGCACCTTGTTTACTGTGATAGTCAGTGGCTTGTTCTTGAACCAGCCAATACCGAACAAATGGCTAAATTGGGCCTCTATAGTTTTGAACACATGGAGGCTGTGATCTTATCCAATCGACACCTGATGAATTTAGTCAAAAACAATGATCAATACAAAATGAATGTGCTAAATACAGCATATTTATATGTTGGTAAAATGAATACCATCACAATGGAGAATGAAGCAAGGTGCAGATGGATTTTGAATATTGTAAGAAATGTAAGCGATGAAGGAATGTCTGAACTCAGAAAAATCATCAATAACAAGGACGGTGGACCAAAATTGATCTTCAAAATGGATCAGTAGAACGTTTCAATGAATTTTGAATTTTTATCAAATTTATCCCATAATGCTGGATGATTTTGTGGATCTCTCATTGAAAATCAAAAAGGATCCAAGCACCTATGTGGATGAATACATTAAGAAGATTCATTACACCAATTCACTCCTACAACTCAACAAGATTCCACTATCAGAATTAAAGCAGGTGCTACTCTTCATAATCAGAAATGGAATAAGATACAAGGAGAATGCAATAAGACATCACATCCGTGACATCATCTACTACAAGAATAATACAACAGTTTTCAGCCTATTCAATTACAAAGAAAAACAACCACTGCTAAATGAACTGATTCTACTGCGTAAGTATGAAGTCATTACAGGTGTGGAGTTCTTTGATATTTTAATTGATAACGCATTCAGTTGTGATAAAATGGTGGAATATATGGATGAGAATGTAGTATCAGTGCTGACAAAATACTATTTTAGCACAGATAACTGCAAAACAAAACGAGTCACATACTATTACACTATGAAATATTTGGAAAAATACGGTTTCAAGGAAGAATTGGGCAATTTGCTACTTGATCCCATTAGCAAATATCATCCCAAAATAACCAAATACGCACTCCTCTATTTCAATGATGCGCTTGATATCAAAATATGTGATTTTGATGCTGATTTCCACAACAGATTGATTAGTACAATTTATTCATTGATAGTGAATTGCAAGGATGAAAACATCAAACTGTATGTTGAAATATACACCAAACTATCTAATGATAGAGATAGCATTCATCTTGATAACATTCCAGTAATTAGAAAATTGATCAATCAAATTGACCTGAATAGTCACATTGCACTAATTAATCAGGTGATACAGAAGTGCGATATCAATGAAGTTTCCAGAGTATTAAGAATAATTGATGAAGAAATGTTGAATTATAGAGAAGATGATGTGGTAGCACAGGGAATGAATTTACTACGGGAAATATACAAGAGATATATGAACACTGAACAGTGTAAAATAAAGAATGAGGTATTACAAATAGCAAGCAGATATGAGAATAGCAAAATAAGGAGCGTTGAATTTGGATACAGAAGCATCATTAATTTGAGTAAGAAGAAAACACAAATTGATCAGGAAAATAGAGAAAATGATACAGAACAGGAATCTATTGAGGAGAATGAGTTTAAAATCCATCGTAAACCAACAAGAGAAGAGAAAGAGACCAAAAGAAAAGAAGGACAGTTACGATCGAAAGAAAAAAGAAAAGAAAACAATGGAAACAAGAAGAAAAATAGTCACAAGAAAGGAAGAAGCAAAAAGAGTGCACGTTCAAGACTATTCAAGACCAAAAAGAAACAGTAGAGCTGATCAACATTCACATAACATGACCGTTTACCATGAAAACTGATCAATTTTGGATTTTTGCCCCTGTCGATATCACCCTCAAATGACCAATGTTTTTTCAGTAACCATTTTAATCGATTATTTGAAACTAGTTTACTGTGCAGAAGGAGTCACTTATGATTTAATCAAAGCAGAGTACGATTTAAGTGAAGCAGAGCAGCTAAATCCCACAGAACAAACAGATGGAAACTTTCTGGTTTTCTCAGACATAAAATACGACAATAGTGAAATATCAGCAGTGATAACAAAAATAAATACAGAAACACGCAAAATTGAGAAAGAAGACATCATCACAGAAGAACAGGTAAACGCATTTCCAAATAAACTGATTACAATTGTAACAGATGAGTATGCAGAAGAAAATGAAACTGAAGGCATCTCAAGGGTATTTAATAGTGCTGAATTGGATGAGATAACTTATGATGAAGCAATTGATCAAATCAATGAATTGGTGGAAAGAAAATCACATGAAGAGAATGATATGCCACTATATGTTCTAAAAGAAGTGAAGAATACGATAGTTGAACTTGGAAAGGAATGCAAGTTTACACCAGAGAAGAAAAAGGAGAAGTTGGAAGCCAATTGTGAGAAACTACCTGTTTTTATTCAGGTTAAAGACATAGATTTTACTGAAAATGCTATATATCACGTGTATATTACATTTATAGTAGATGGAATTGAGAAGAAAACAGAAATAATAAAAGTGGCAAGAGACAAAAATAGTGGACTGAAGATATTTGATCTAAGAGAATACGGAAAGAAGAAAACTACAAAAAAGGTATCTAAGAAAGAGGACTCTAAGACACCAAAGTTACTTAATCAAGAAAAGAAACAGAAATCTACATCACTCAAATTACTGATATGTGGATCAGTGATTTTAGCAGTGATAATATTTGTAGTGGTGCTATTTATTACATTAACATCAAAGGAGAACAAGTACAGCCAACTTGATGAATCGGCATGGAACCTGTAGAATGAAAATAGTAGCAAATTGTATCAAAAGGTTCCCAATAAAACAGTTTGAATAGGTTAAGCTTAATTTACAAACAAAATGTTATTTTGCATAAAATAGTTGAGCCCATGTTTCTGGATCCTAACAAACCATTCTCAGTGTTTTCGAACAAAGGAAAGCTGAGTCAATGTGATAACGCGTTAACTGCTGCACTCAACGCATCACTATGTGTTGCCCTAGTAAGCAAAGATGGTGCTGTCCTGTGCTCTCATAAGAAGCTTCCCAAATTAGCAAACCACCAAACATACAACAAAGTCTATAATGTGTGTCCTACAATAGGTGTAACCTATGCTGGTCTTCAGCCTGATTTCAGGGTCTGCTTGAGCCTAGCACAACGAATATGCTTCGATTACTATGAAATCTACAACAGGTATCCCAGTCTCTCAGTCTTCGTCAATGAGTTTTGTATGACAATGCAGGAGTATTCACAGAAAGGCGGTCCAAGACCATTTGGTGTTTACTTCGTCTTCTCTGGAGCCAATAAGGATGGAACTGTTGGGTTGTACAAGGTGGATCCAAGTGGAAGCTATAAATTTGCTGAAAGTGCAGCAGCAGGCGTAGGCTACGAAAGTGCCACCAACTTCCTGACTCGAAGACAGGGTGTTCTGGATGACAATATTACAGCATGCATTGGGGCCATCAGAGAGCATGCTGGTGTTGAAATCAAATCAGAAGACATTTCAATGGGTGTTTTCAAAAATGGTACTTTTCACGTTTACACCCTGGATGAAATAGAAGAGCTTTTTTGATCAATTTTATTTACAATTCAATTGTAGTGAAATTCGTTATTCCATGGTCACTGATTGATGATGATAGCAATTTGATTTCAATCAAGTCATCCAAACCAAGTTGCTTTGTTTTCAGGACTTCTTCATCATTTGCCAGGTGATACACTCTTCCTGGATGAAAGAGTGGATTGATTTTTTCATTGAAGTTATTTCGTATTCCCCGACACTTTTCCAACAGATGTTTCTTGCTTTGTTCGTTTAAGCTCCGTCCTAATTCATCTACACACACTTTCAGGAATATTGCTGATCCCTTACTTGCCTGTGGAACCACATCATTTTCATATACCCAACTTACCATATTGTAGCCCTGTTGTTTATTAGCCCATTCCCGATCTACTGTTGGTGCTGGACTGAATGACACACATGATATGCCTGTTTGTTTTAGTCCCCTTTCCCCCAGTATATTCTGCTCTACCATGGAGACATAGCAGAGCTGTGCAACAGATCCACCTAATGAATGTCCTGTTATGACAATGTTCTTGTACTTTTTAGCATATTCGAGTATAGCAGCCATCCATATACTCTCAAATACACTTTGGTACTTCAGGAATCCCTGGTGGGTGTAGAAGTCACCATATGGTGAGCTAATGTACTCAATGTTCATGTCATTTGCTATTTCATCCATTCTACCTGTACCTTTAAATGCTAATACCAATGTATCTGGTGAATGTTCAACCAGAATAAATCCAATATACGAGTCACCAGATGTGTTTGCCATTAGTAATTGGCTCCTATTGCATTTTGCTTCTAAGCATATTGCATCTACTGCATCTTCAGCCTTTGTATTCTCAGCTATTAGCAAATTCACATTTTCTTCAGGATATTTTTCTAATTTGTATGCAGCAGAGGCATACTTTGCCATCTTAAGCGTGTTAATATCTTCATCTTCCTTATTCAGTATCTCGTATCCATTCAGTCTGTTTACATTCTCTTTGTATTCCTGTTCATACAAGCCCGATATCACCTTTACTTTACGCATGAATGGAATTATTGATAGAATTGACCTGCTTTGAATAATTACAAGGACACTTCTTCGTATTGCAAGTGTGTTTGAAAATAGCCCCTGTTTGTCAGAACCAGTGTAACTAAGCACATCCATTGAACTCTCTGATACCCCTGTTTCATGTTTTTCTGTCACCATATTTGCTATTGATTCCGTATATGCCTTTATTGTCTTTACAATCATCGCACTCTTTTTCTTCAGGTGCACAATTCTTCTTTTGGATATCTTCACAGTATACGACATTTCGTAACTGTATTCAGGGTCATCAACCTTCTTTAGGCTGAGTTGGTTCTGTCCATCCCTGAATAAGAATTCCCCATAGTACGTCTTGAACATATTAGTTGTCTCTAGAATCACAGATCCACCTTCAAGTTCTTCTTTAGTCAATGAGAATACGAAATTACCAGAGCCAAAAGTATAGGCCAGCTTCTTCTTGTACTCATTCGATCTAGCAGAGATGCACCAGTTTCTGTTGCTGATGTATCCCCATGAAAATGGAGTGATCTCGATTTCAACTGTAAATCTTCTTGGTCTTTTGATCTTAGTCTCTGATGTAGTTCCGCTATAACTGTCAAAGCTGCTCTGGGAGTCTTGTTCAATACCGGACAAGCCATAATCAAAATCACCAGGGGCTCCCGAAGTAAAATCAACTTCATCTGCCTCATCGGGTAAATGGAACTTGTTCAGGTTCACGAAGAAGTCAAACAGCTGCTCTTGGAATGGGTCATGCGTGCTTGAGCATCTGACTAAGCCACATATCAAACTATGAATTAACATGGATGATATTTTAACAAATAAATAAATCAACAATTCAAAGAACTTATGTAAAAGGAATAGAATTTGATATTTGGATTATGTAAACTAATAAGGCAGAATGTATAGTCGCTTTGAGTTTGTTGTGGTGATAAGAAACAAAACAAAAATTCTTAATAAACAATAGGTTTTGATCAATGATTTAATACCATTATGTTTGTATCAATGCAATCGAATGTTACTGCAACAATAGTCAATATGGTGAATACCACTGTAAACACAATTAGTTCATTACATGTCCGTTTCACTAGTTCAATATTTTCATACAGAGTATTCCAGTCGAATAAATTGTCACAGCACAAGAAGAGCATCACTCCAAATAATCTGATGTTTCTGATTCTGCTCTTTTCGAATGCTCCGTAATTTGTGAAGGAACAGACCTTGAACAAATACATCCACATTGTGACGTAGAAGAGAGGCCTGGGTTGATTTCTCGTTGATTTGGTTTTCTGCAATTTCCTCTGGTGAATTTAGATCTGCATGCTATAAAGTAGACAAGCACAGTACTGTGAGAAACTACGTAAGTTTAAAATGAGGGTTCATTTTTCATACAGGCATTAAGGAATTAATTTAATACCCGACGTATCTAGCGTCTTAAAGCAGAAAACTTGGATCAATGAAAGATATTACAGGTAGGTATACAAGAATCGCATGGGTCTACACAATCAGCATACAATACAGAAGGATGATGCAAGTACACGACCAACAGGATTGAATAGAGTCTTATCATCACTGCCTGGTTACCTCAATACATAATGGTGTTTCTAGTGATAACATTGTTGCCGTTCAATCCAATTGTCAGGTTGAAGACAATGCGTCGTGTCTGATATATTTATTGCTATTTTTTGATCAACAATTCATAGTATATAAACAGGGAGAAGCCCAAGAATAATCAATGCGTAAATCATCTAATCATAAGCGTGTCTGTGTCAAAGCTCACTGTGAGCCACAGTACGTCAATAAAAATAAACAAAAACCATTCTGATTTTTCCATTTCCTTGGAAGAGGCCGTGTTGTAAAACTGTTTGTGTGTAAATATGTCGTTTTCCTCCTTTTCCTGAAAGCATTTGTTTGTTACTGTGACATTAGATTCAACACTAATAAAAAGGGTTTTATTACTTCTAAAAATTTACACAACTTTCAGATACAGAGAATAAAGACTGTATTAAATTGTTCGAAACACACCTAAACAACAGGCGTACAGGGCTAGCCAACCACAATTACTAAAAACCCTTTATGGATAAGTTGCCCAAAAGCATGCTGTCGATCATTAATGATCCAGCAAATTGCAAGTTGTCCAATAGGACTGTTGTGATTCACGACAAGCATTGGTTTTTTTTATCAAAATTTACTTGAAAGAACCCCTGTCATGAGTGAAGAAAAAGAGTCCAACCAACGAACGAATGGGGACGGCCGAGAGAGCCAGCAAGGGGGCGTGAGTCCCGGCTGTGGCAGCAGCCGTACTAAGAGAGAACCGGCACAAGCGCCGAAGGCTTGCAAGGTTGCGAGCATTGATCGCTGGGGCCCAGCACCCAGCGGTAGTTCCCCAGCCCTCTAGGGAACTACCCCAACTGGCCTTTCTGGCTTCGGGGCCAGCCAAGTTGAAATACCTGAAGAGGAGAAGCAACAGGATGAGAAAGAAATGAGCAATGAGAATATCGGGGAGGAACCCGAAGGAAATAAATCTCAGGTTTGCCTTTGTTCCGTTTCCGCCGGTACTAGCAATAACATTAGCAAAAATGTGCGGGTGTAGCGAGGGAGCTATCAGAAAGTACAGGGGTCAAAAAGTTTTGTGGCGCATTGGAAAGCCAAATGCCTTGACAAAACGAGAAACCAACATCATTTTGCAAATTTCACGTCAGGTTACCTACAAACCAGTAGCGATGGCGTGAAATTCGCAGCTGATATGTTTCAGAAAAAAATTGATGCCTCGTCAATTAGAAAAATATTGAAGAGTAGCGGCTACAAGAGCTACAGAAAGTCAAAGGCCCCTGTACTTTCTGATAAGCACAAGAAACAACGACGAAAGTACTATAAGCTGTACAAATCGTACACTTATCAGGACTGGAAAAAATTCATTTTTACGACGAGTCCAGTTTCAGGATTGTGGGTGCAACTGGTGGCCAGACCTACTACAAAGAACGACGTAGTCCGGCCCCTGAGCACCGTATAACCCGAACTAAGAAGTTTAGAGGTGGTGGCCTGATGGTTTGGGGATTCATTTCCGGGGCTGGAATTTTTAAGGTCTATCCTATCAGCGGTATGATGACCTCGGACAAATACATAAGTCTGATTAGGGATAAGGTTCTTGATGACCTCATTGTTTCCGGGGTAGACCTTAATTCCTCTGTCTTTATTCAAGACAATGCCTCCTACCACAAATCAAAAAAAAGACTACAGAGTGGTTCTCTGAATCCAACACAAGGGTGGCTAAATTGCCATTCCACGAAAGTCACTACAACGTTTGTTCTAAACTTCGTAATCATCTTTATTAAGTTATTTGCTATATCAATTTATTCTTCATAATTCAAAGTCATCTTATTTAACTTGATTCTCATCTCATCGTCCAAATTCTCATTAGTTGATATCATACGATTACTTCTTTTTATATTCTTCATGTCGCTGAATGCTTTCTCACAACAGTGTGCTGGACTGAAACATGCCAGGTATTTGGCTGCAAGAATCCTTAATTTTGGAACACCATTGATATTTCTCCAAACTTCTGATATGGGGATTTCGCTACTAAAACGATACTTGTTTCTTACATCTGCTTGTACGCTTATCAATTCCAGTGACAGCTCATCATCCACATCTTCAGGGTTGATATCAAAGGGTGAAAAAACAAGCTGCATATTGGACAGCTCTGTTCCAAAGTCAATGAAAAGATTTTCATACGCTTCTATCATCAGGTTAAGCGCAGTTTTCAATTCTTCCTTGATTCTTTCTGGCAGATCTTTGAACATATACTTTTCAGCAAGCGTTATGAAGAATAGTTTCGTCAGCTTTCCACATTCTACGTTCTTCTTAACTAGCTTCAGCGTAGTCAGAAACTCGGTTACTGCCACATAGACCTGGTAGACATTCTTCTGATTACCTTGTAGTTCCAGATTTAAACGCTGTTGATTCTCTACCATATCATTAATACACATCAGGCTTATGTGGAATTCTTCGTCTGCTAGAACGCATTTCATTTCCTTGGCTTCATAGAATTCAATTATGGGTTTTCTAAATTCCAACACCCTTGTTAACAGTCTACCGTTGGAAAGCCACCTTATTGATGAATAATATGGTACGGTTATGTATGCGACGTCATCGCATTCGATCAGCTTTTCTTTGAACTGTATGTGGTTCACTGAACTACCACGTATGTAATTCACGATGTCAACGGCCTCCTTCATAGTATTCATGAATATACACGCCTTAGCACACAGGGCTTGCTGGTGGATTATGCACTTCAGGTAAAGGAAATTTGTGAATTTCCCACTGCTCCTTAGCAGTGTTACTAATCCCCTCTCTTTACCTGCCATCGCAGTTCCTCCATCTGTGCAAACAGCTGCAAGCTTCATAGGATCCAATGAGAATTCCTTTATCACCTGCACAAACAGTTCATATATGTTCACTCCTGTTGCTTTATCCTTCAGAGGTTTCATACAAAGAAACTCCTCTCTTATCTCAAAGTCCTTTGTTACGAACCTGATAAAAAATATCAGTTGCGCGTAACTAGCGACGTCCAAGGATTCATCGACAGCGATGCTGTACCAGATGAGTTTATCACCACTTAGGTCTGAGATTAGCCTCTCTTTTATCTGCAGAGCTAATTTCTGCTGCTGTCTTCGAATTGTTTGTCTTGACAGTCCCACACTTTTTACCATTGTATCATTCAGGTTCTTTGTCATTAGGTAAGATTCCCAGAATAAGGGTTTCAGTTGCTCACCTAGTGAGTTTGATAGGGAGTTCTTTGCTAGAAACTCCGCTACTCGGCTTCTAAATACGTTCTTAAACTTTTCATGAGCGTCCACAGTAATATAGTTTCTTTTGTTTTTGGCGTATTGCTCTTTTAGTTGTTTCGCCTTTGTCGTCCTTTCTTTACCAACAAGCGCATGTTCAGGCGAGTTCTTGTGTCTTCTCATGTAGTGAGACTCGCAATTAAATCTTTTCACCGTTGTCATCCTTTTCCCGCAAAGCAAGCACATTGGCATGTTCTCATGATTGATCATATAGAACTGTTCTAGCCATTCTTTTTTGTACTTTCGAATAATAGTTTTCTTTATGGAATAAGACCAGGGCATAATTAAAAGTTTTTAACAGAGTCTTGTCTCACTTAAAGCTACTTTAGAGAATTATTGAACGGACTCTGGGAACCACTCTCTTGGTCGCCTTTGAACATTTTTGTTTAATTATGTTTTCAGTCGTACCTGATGATCGATTACAAACATTCAACTTTGTCTTAGAGATCAACAATAGATAAAGAAAATGTGATAAAAGGCAAATTTTATTTACATGGCACTTTCTCACTAAAAAGCCTAAGAAAAGAATGTAAGCAGCTTAAATACATTTTGTCGGGTCTATTATGCATCTTAGTTGAGTTAAATACCCAATAATCAATGGGTATTTAATATTACATTCACAATAATCACTAAAAAATCCAGTTTCTTTACATGTATTTGCAGCCAAATATCTTCTATTCTTCTCTTATATAGTTTTGTATTTTCCTTTCTTTTGTTTAGCATCATTTTATTTATAACCTGAAAAAATATTGCCATCATATTACAGTTCCTTTTTAAACAAATATATAATTTTGATATTTCCATATTACAATTCAAATTCTGCTGATTGTTTACCCTCTTCTGAAACATTTCATCCACTGTTGCTATTCCCAATCAGCCAATTATCATTGTTATTGCCGTTATTATTTGATCATTTTCATCCACATCACGTGTTTAACCCATCCTCTATTTACATTCCAAAACACTTGTTTTATCTTGTTTTATTATTTTCCTACTCTAAATATTCATGATGGTTATGCTATTCTGGCTGTATTGCATACTCCGGGTGCAATGTGAAGAAAAGAACGAAAAAGATAAGAGAACATTTCTGATTAATTTGAATGAAATTGATTCGTCAAAATCATTGCTAACTCAGATATATGATAAAGCCATTGGTCTTGGATTCAATTTCAATAAGTCAAACGCAGCTGCGCCTAAAGACAAACCACCGGCACAGAAACCAAAGAAACAGGAAAAGCCTCCTGCACAAAAACCAAAGAAACAGGAGAAACCAAAAAAGCAAGAGAAACCAAAGAAACAGGAGAAACCCAAAAAGCAGGAGAAACCTAAGAAGCAAGATAAACCTAAAAAGCAAGATAAGCCAAAGGATAAACCCAAGTCAGGTGATAAACCCAAATCGGGTGACAAGTCAAAAGGCAAGTCAGGTGATAAGTCAAAATCAGCAGATAAGTCCAAGTCAGGTGATAAGTCAAAATC